TAACTCAAGAAAGGGGGGCCCAGTAGATCTATAAGGTCGCGGTGATTAACTTCCCCCCTCCCATACAATCTACATGTATGGTATAAATACACATTTTACTCTATAGTGGAGTAAAAACGATATCAAAATGTGTCAAAAAAGTTTTTGGAGGTATAACTACATGATATCTATACAGGATTATCAGTTAGGGCTTTGTGCATGTGAAATGACTAATTACGACCTTTTTGGGGGGGTCAGAAATTTTTTATACAGCAAAATGTCAAAAATCTGTCAAAAATGTATAACCATGTTTTTTTTACCTTTCCTACGCGATAACTCCTAAACTAATCAACTTATTCACAAACTCTGTTTTTTAATCGATTAAGAACACATAGGCGGTGATAGCTCAGGTAATTAAAATTCCATAGCAAGAGTATTTTTTTTTAGAAAATGGATTAAACTTCAAACATTAACTTTATTGTATCATGATTTTCGGTAAGCGAGAAACTTTTTTATTTGAAGGAATTTTTACATAGTATCTGCGTATGAAATAAAGTAAAAATATTGAAAAAGCTTTTAAAACATGGTACAATCTTCTAATGCTAATACCACAGAATATCTAGCTACGCAAGCTTGCGTAGCTAGATATTCTGTGCTAATACTTTTCTAGTTATCCTAAATTAAATTTACGAATAGGCCGCGCGCGAGACCACTCGGGCCTCGCCGCCCAAAACTCTTTGATTTTATTTGGCGGCACGGCGGACGCGATGTTCCGTAGGCCTATTTCTGATTATGTGCATTGTACCTGCAGTTTGAAATTTAGTAAATTGTGTACGTTATAAAAATCTGGCTTTTTTAGTCAGTATTGGATATATTTTTGGAGATGGATTTTTGCCATTTTTACGGAAACAGATAATTACGTCGAAAATACTTGTAAAATGATGTAAGATGAAAATTCTTTCAGTATAATTTTTGCGTTGTTAAAATCTACTCTGCAATTATAATAATAATAAAAAATGTCTATACCTATGTGGCGGATTCATCTCTCCAAAAAAATTCTTTATGGGTATTTCGCCACTCAAAATAAGATAGTTATTTTTTGTAAACACTTCTGGCGTTAAACCTAAACGGACACTGCTTGTCAGAAGTTATGTTTACAGTTATACAAATTTGCCTAACAAAGAAAAAAATGCTTAACGTTTCGGAAAGTTTATCTCTTTCCGTCGTCGAAAGCAAAGAAAATACATAGATTAAAGAAAAAAACTATTTAAAATATTTAAATTCAACTATTCGAGAACATTTTACTTTTTTAAAACAGATACGTCTACAAGAAACCGTTGACGTTCTTGTTCGTTGTTTTTTTCTTGTAGACGTATCTTTTTTAAAAAAGTAAAGTGTTCTCGAATAGTTGAATTTAAATATTTTAAATAGTTTTTCTTTCTTTATTCTTTGTTTTTTTTTTTTGCTTCCGACGACTGAAAGTGATAAACTTTCCGAAACGTTAAGCATTTTTTTCTTTGTTAGACAAATTTGTATAACTGTAAACATAACTTCTGACAAGCAGTGTCCGTTTAGGTTTAACGCCAGAAGTGTTTACAAAAAATAACTATTTTATTTTGTAGATTTTTTTGCTGTGCAGTGGCGAAATACCCATAAAGGATTTTTTTGGAGAGATGAATCCGCCACATAGGTATACATAGACATTTTTTATGAAAAATAATATTCCAGGGCTATTCGAGGACTAACTTTAGTTGCCAATGCCCTTTTTAGGATTTTGTTTTAATCTTTATGTAAGTGGTATGAAGAGCAAAATTAGAAAACACAAATAATAAGACCTATATTAAAAGAAGAAATTCGTAGTTTAATAAAAGAATTTCAATCCGATGCAAACTTCAAGCATCAAAATTCAAACAACTTTTTTGTTTTCATAAAAAAATATTACAAAAATATGTCATATTAAATCGACACCTACATACACGGAACTCACATATTAAATAATTATTTAAAAAGAACAAGAATTTTCTATATTTATTCTAAAACATAAATTAATGCCACATCCGCCACATCTAGCACGCCGTACAACGTGATGCAGGCCGGGCGGTATAGCGCGGCGTCCAACTATAGGGCGCGCACGGGATAATGATAATTTTAAATCAGAATAACTATAAAAATATTAGTAATAGAAGGTTTAACAAGTTTCAAAAACTTTTTTAATATTTTTTCTTTATTTCATACGCAGATTCTATGTAAAAATTCCTTCAAATAAAAAAGTTTTTCGCTTACCGAAAATCATGATACAATAAAGTTAATGTTTGAAGTTTAATCCATTTTCCAAAAAAAAATATACTCACTATGGAACTTTAATTACCTCAGCTATCACCGCCTAGGTGTTCTCAATCGATTAAAAAAAAGAGTTTGTGAATAAGTTAATTAGTTTAGGAGTTATCGCGTAGGAAAGGTAAAAAAACATGTTTATCCATTTTTGACAGATTTTTGACATTTTCCGATATAAAAAATTTCTGACCCCCCCAAAAAGGTCGTAATTAGTCATTTCACATGCACAAAGCCCTAACCGATCATCTCATAACGATTTTATGTGGTTATACCTTCAAAAATTTTTTTCCAAAAGGAAGCGACTTTTCTTAGTGATTTTACTCCACTACTAATGATTTTAATTGTATTTGTGATATTCAATATCTTTTTTTTTTCTTCTACAAATCAATTAAGCAAGGAAGCAAGATGGCCTGAATAAATATAAAAGGACCGTCCCTTTTCATACCAGCCGGACCATGAAGTTACCCCCTTCCCCTTGCTACGCACCCATGGTCCAAAAATCTACCTGTCCCGTTTTTCTATCGGGGTCCCGTTCTTGCATAATTAAAAATCGTTTTTAGTTTATTTTTTTTTTCGCTCCATTCTCGGAGGCCTTACAAAAAAACCACCAAGAATAAGTCTCGTTAACCCGTGAGAAAAGGATCAAAACCGCCGAAAAAAAAATTAAAGGAGTATGACGAGGTACCTGGCGTTTTTTCGTGGGTGCCTTCGCTCTTCGCCTATAAGATATTCAAATGGTTTGTTGACATTCATGTCTCTGCATATTAAATAGGCTGACATGCGTGATTTTTTCTTAAGTTCACAAGCGAATATTTCCTTTGTGTTGGGGCTGGTTGTTTAAGAGTTTTTTTTTGTCTCTTCTGTGGTCTAAAAAGGCTGAGCTCCTTGGGATCATCTATTAAAATCAGTTTTTTTTAATCGCCGATGTTAGAGCCCGAAGTACTTTCTCGTGAGAGATGTTTTTTAATGGCATATCACGTATAATTGTAATAGTAACAAATGCACCACATGTTTGACAATTAAAAAAATCCAAACCATTATTCAACTTTTTAAACTAGGTAGTAATTTTTTTTCCTCCCCCCTATTTCAGATTCTAATAATTAATCCCACAACAATTATATTTTATTTAAATATGGGCTCCGGCAAAGCCGTACCATCCTTTGCTCGAAGCAACTAACGGAACTTATTTTTACCCCCGCTTGTAAATTCGTTGTGGATAGAGCCAGAATATTAATTTTTACTAATCATGAGGACATGCTATAACTGGCTGGATTGCCAATATATCTATATAGTAATTATACCTCATAGTTTATTAATTTTCACTTGTCAAATTTCTTTTATTTCGACAGCGACTCACTAACAGATCATTAAAATTCTAATGTACTTCTAGATGTGTCACAGACTTAAAATTTTGAATTTTAGGTAGCTTTATGCTTATAACGAACGGAAAAAATGAAGTGTCGAAATATCCTTATGGATTAAAAGTAGGCATATAGCCGCTACCGGTAACTGAATATCCAGTCGACAAAAAGTTCGAAAATTAATATTAATCGATTTGACATTATCTGATATTATTTGCGTATCAATGTAACAGCAATAATTCAAAAATTATCAGTTATCACTAGTCAAACTTCTTTGATATAATTTTGAAATATCTATGCATTATCCGAGAAAAAAATAGGAAGATGACCTACAAGAAGATAAGAAGTAAGAAGTCTCGCAATTGCCAAGTCATTATAATTATTACAGAAAAAAAGGTCTAATGTCGATACTAACAATTTATAACAAAATTTTGAATTTTAAATAAATTGACTTGGTTTTACATGAGATCTCACAACTTTTTAATTGTAGTGGAAAAATTGCCTTGCCAGACTTGACATTTTTATTCTATTTTTTTGATGGAATACTACCATACGATCGAAAAAAAAACGGCGTCAGCTATGGCTATGAAATAAAGATCGCTGTCATTTTATATTAGAATTATATGGGGAATGTCATCGATCGTCATTTGCAAGCCAACTGGACGCCGTTTTTTTTTATATATATATTTATTTATTATTTATTTTATTTTTTTGTTACCCTTTTTTTTAATTTTTAAAATTAAACTTAGAGCTTTTAAAAAACAAATTTTGACGTTGTGGGCTAGTTTTTAAAATATAAACTTTTAATTAATTGCTTTAGAAAGTCTTTTTACTTTGATGTCAAAATTTTTTGATAATTTTAATCTCACTAAAAATTTCCTGAAGAAATATTACTGTGTTCCTGAAATTGTTAATAATCATTTCCGAAAGCTTCAAATTTTAAAAAAGTGTTTCAATTACAATATGATCTATTATACCTTCTTCTAAAATCAAAAATAACTGCATCTTGGTTTTCATTTGGTCGTACGGTATAGAACGTACTTAAAAAGCGAAATCTTGCAGAATATTGACTTTTTTATACTTTTAGCGTTGTATTTAGTGAAATTTGTTCTTTAACCCAATTCATGGGCTGTAATTTTAATCCTGGCTTTACTTATATAGAAATCTATAACAAAAAGTGGTTTAAGCTGTTAAAAAACTGCGACGTGTAGCCAAGAATGAAGCCTGATATATTTGTGTAATCGTTTTGATACGAATAAATCTTGCTTTTTAACATTTTCTTTTAACGATTTGAGATTAACATCGATTTCTTTTTCGTTTTTGCAGTGTTTCCAACGTCATTTCCCAGCAACCAGGCTGAGCTACAACTCTTCAGAGTGATGCAAAATGCCTCTTTGCTTTTATATTTGGACCCTTTATTAGAAATGGGCGGTGATGATGTCGAATCATTGTGTGACGCCGGTGAAGACGAATTTCTAGAAATTATGTCACTTGTTGGTAAGTAAATTTCACACACAACCTAACATCACACCGAAATTATTTTCTAAAAACATGATATTATAATTTAGGAATGGCATCAAAACCTCTTCATGTACGAAGGTTGCAGAAATCGTTACAAGAATGGGTAACAAATCCCATAAAATTTAAAATGCCTCTAGTGCCTGGAGAGGACTTTGAAATAGAACTGTCCAGTCCTAGAGTGACTAGCAACCACGTCTTTTACTCTGCAGACAGTGGTGAAAGTTCTAGAATATATTCGCCATCTCCAGCAGAAATATGTGCCTTACCACCTGTAGCTAGTCCTGGCTTAAGTATTAATAGCAAAAGGTAAAAAGGGAAATATTCTAATAACATTTTTGAGATTAAAGCTTCTGACTGCTGATATTTCGATAACTTAAAATACAAGACATCTCAATATGATGTGACATATTTAGAACAACATAAGTAATAAAATCAATTAAATCGTCTTAACAACATTCCTTTGATTGCTACCTGTAATTAATTTGTTTGTACTTGTTTTTCATAACATTACTCATGCGGTAGTAATAAAAAATCAATACATTGGCTTTTCTACCGGCCTTCCCAAAGATTCCTAGTGGTAAAATAATTTAATAGTGAGCCTTCAAACAAAAATGTAGTCTACATTAGTAGACTTATATCACAGCTTATTCAGTACCCAGCTATCCATCTTCACTTCTACGGCTATTTCTCTATACATGCCAGTAGTCAGAACACTAACGTAGATCTTTTTGTATGCAAAGATTTTGGTTTTCTATTAAAGTTATACCTTTTTTAGGCCTTACTCACCCCTTGACCCATCTTGTCCCCCTTCCAGTAGTTCCAGCCCTAGCGGTAGCTCGACCATGACTCCAAGCTTAATGGAAAGTCAAATTTCAAAATTGGCCATTGCAGCCGAAAGACTGAGCAAGCAGTTACCAAACATGGAACCCAAACCACAAAACGCTAAAAAGAAAGTCTGCAAAGAATTAGAATTGGTAATGTCCATGCCAGAGAACGATCCAAGGAGAATGGACGAGATTAGAAGATATGCAGCTATTTACGGAAGGTGAGAAGTGTTATATTTAGTCCTAATATAAAACATTAATAGTGTTATATACTAATTCCCAGGTTCGACTGTAAAAGGAAGCCGGAAAAGCCCCTTACCCTGCACGAGTTATCTGTAAACGAGGCTGCTGCGCAGATCTGTAGGTTCATTCCTGCGCTGTTGACTAGAAGAGATGAGCTGTTTCCTCTAGCAAGGCAAGTTGTCAAGGATAGCGGTTGTTATTATTCCAAAACACAGTAAGTGTGATATTTGCGTTACATCCCAATTCGTAAAATGTAAAACAGACTTTTATAAAAAAAAATTTAGGTAATAGGTCAATCTTCTGCGCACTATAAAGAAGATAGGAATAATATGTCTCTATAGGGATAATATCTCTATAGGGATAATATCTCAGGACTCAAGTGAAACAGTATCTGTTTGTATCTCATGTTCATTATCGTATGGTATTTTTAGGTTATCAGCAGTTTATCTTAACAAACAAAGTAATATGGGACTAAACCATGACAAAGAACAGTCGCCTGATGTCAGATTGCAGGGTAGGTTCTCTATGGATGGCGAAGGACAACACCACAAAAGAATTAAATTAGAACCCAACTCAGATAACGATGAACAACGTCAGGTCAGACATATCCAGCAAAATAGGCACTATTTGCAGCATACGCAGCCACATATTATCATTAACCTTGACGATTAGATCTTTGATGCTTTGCAGTAGTATGACTCGGTACTAACTAAACTGTGATAATATAACAAAAAATCTCCTTCATAGTCCAAAAAGATATCAAAAACAAGCTCAGAAATTCAAAAAAGCCTAAGAATCAGTTAGTTTGACTGACTTTATATATACAGAGCCCCCTTAAAAAGTGCAGATAATTTTCAGAATATATCAGATTGTCCATTTTTACTAAAACATGAAAAAATAATCCCACCATATATCTCTACATTTTTTAAGTCGCTCTGTATATAATAGATATTAATTGAAGCAGAAGGGTAACAGCATAATTAACAATGTACTAAATTATATCATTGTTTTAAATCTCGCTTCAGTATATAATGCTTTAGTTGGCTGTAATGCTTGTAGAACAACGCTATTTTTAAAGGTAGGTATTTTGTTTGCTGTATAAATTATCGCTTCTTTATTATTTGTGCAATTTAGCTTTCTATTGGTAGTTTGTGATAATTAATATGTTTTATGTATAGTGATTTAATTCTAAGAAAAATCTTTGGGTGATTATTTTTACGAATGTCTTTAATTCAATCTTTTCTAGTCATTGTCTAAACAATTCATTAATAATTTAAGAAAAAAGTAGCATTTTGTTTTTGATCACAGATAAATGAAATTATATTGAGATAAAATTAAAGATTTTTCATTATGAAGTATCAACTTCTCTTTGAGCTTTTTTATATTTCTTTTATCTTTTTATGCTTATTTTTATTAATATTTATTTTTTCCTCAATTTCCTCATTCCACAAATTAGGTTTCTTTTTTTTTTGGTCCTACTTATTTACATTTTCGTCTCAACTAATAAGTGATAATATATTTTAGAGGTTTTGAGTGTCAGATATTGCGCATATCACACTTGAGTACACCTACTCTTCGCTATCTCTATGTATTACACAGGCACAAGAATTATTTAGACATAGCCCATAAAGCTCTTCAAATATTCAAATATTCTTGATAGGAGGGGGGGGGGGTTCTACTCACTGCCCATAAATTAAAATGAAATAGACTTACTTGATTGTCAATTTGAGGCCTCCTTATCGTACCAGAGTCTCATAGGGTTTCTCTAACTCTTATTCTCCTCTGACTGATAATTACCTCTCACCATTTATCGTTGGTACTGATTACTGTACTAATTAGAAAAGAAATGGTCCATATTCTTGCTGAATTCCAATAAGTCCATCCTCTACGCCCAACAGTTAAAATGCAAAAGAATTACTTCGTTCTTTTGTATTATTTATTTATCGTATGGCTCATATACATGCAAGAAAACCAGACACTTAAACATAGACATAAAATAAACTACAATGTAAATGAAAACATTACAATGTAAATATAAAAAAAACAAGTATAATATAAAAAGACAACATAAAAAACGTATTTACGAACACTATATATTAACATCTAGATGCCCTATCCATTCCAAAGCTGATGGAGAAGCCTCCAGAAAATCACTCCAGTCATCACCATAAGCGCGTAGGTTGCACTCTCTAGTTATGTGATGGATGGTTTGGTGAGGGGATCCGCAATCACATTCTGGGGAAGGTATTTTCCCACTCATAAAGGGAATCCGCACATCTTCCATGGTCAGAGCGTATCCTATTCAAAGTTGACCATGTTTTCCGGTTTAGATCGGTACCCGGTGTCTGGCAATAGTTATTTTCGAACCAGGAGTATAGGCGAGCATCGGCCATTTCTCTCCATAACTGAAGCCACTGTTCCCGAGAATTGTAGTTACTGCTTTTTAGTTGTTCAGCTGTTCGCAAAGGTGGATTCCTCGACTTAAGTCTATTCACCTGTAAAGCAGGAAGTGTTCCATGAACCGGTAGCCTTGGGGTAGCTATTATTTTATCAAATTCTCTAAGAAGAGCCTCGTTTCTGCGTAGATTTGGAGGTAGGATGTTACTCATAACTGGAAGCCAGTAACTAGGTGTGCATCTGATTGTCCCTGTAATCACTGGTGTTGTTCAGCTGTCTGTCTACGAGATTTGTGTGGTGGCTGTTCAACCACACGGGTGCACAATACTCTGCCACACTGAATAGGGCGGAGATTCGAAGTGTTGTTGCTTTTGCACCCCAAGAAGTACCACAAAGTTTTTGTATAATGTTGTTTCGTGTTCTGATTTTCCCAGCAACATTTTCTAGGTGTTTTCGAAATGAGAGTGTACGGTCTAGAGTAATCCCCAGATATTTTGGATATTTGTTATTACGCAGAGTGGTGTTACCAAACTGGACGCTTATTTCAGTATTCGCTAGCTTGTTATTAAGATAATGTCTGTCTGTGTAATGATAGATTTCTGTCTTATTTGCACTGGGTTGAATTCTCCATTTTATAAAATAGGCATTCAAGGATGCGAGATCCTTTGTAAGCATTTCTTGGGTTTGATATAGCGATTCATGTTCCGTTGCTATGGCTATATCGTCTGCGTAACAAAATTTTCTAGATTGCGTATCTGGTAGGTCAGAGATGTATAAGTTGAATAAGAGAGGGGCGAGAACGGAGCCTTGGGGTAAGCCGTTGTTTAAGTTTTTTAGGTTTACTTGTGCTCTCTCCCTGAAATACTTGGATATATCGGTTAGTTAGCATGTTGTTGGTAACTCGAGCTATAGTTTGACCAGTAAGTGCTTTAAGTAATTTATAAACCATACCATCTCTCCAGACTGTGTCGTAAGCGGCTGTTAAATGGACAATAGCTATGGAGGTTTTAAGCTTAAGTTGGAAATTTCCTTCAATGTGAGATGTAAGTGCTCGAACTTGGTCACAGCAACTGCGTTTAGGAATAAAACCTGCCTGTTCAACTGGAATATGGTCTAAGATACTATCCTTTATTCTATTGAAAATAAGTCGTTCTAGGAGCTTATAGGTACAACTAAGAAGGGCTATGGGTCGATAATCCTGAGGTTGATCTTTAGATTTTCCTGGTTTTAACACAGCTATTATTTTAGTTTTCTTTAATTCCTTTGGAATGTTGCCGGTTGATAAAATTCTCGAGAAGAAATTACAAAGCCACTTGAGGGCAGGGTTTCCAGCGTAAATAAGGAATTCTGGATGAATGTTGTCATATCCAGGAGCTTTGTTCGGCTTGATGTCTTTAATAGCTGTGACTATGTCTTCAATTTCGAAGGGCTGTGAATATTCCGAGATATGGGGAGTGGTTGTTCTTAACTCCTTCAATTTCCTCTTAATCTCAATTGTGTGCTCCTTATCACGTCGAGACCTAGATGTCTCAGCTATATAATTTGCAATTTGATTAGCTGATATTTGAGAGCTTGGCCTATTTTGTCTTGTTGAACCTCCTAAATTACGTAGAAGGGTCCAGGCCTTCCTACTAGATCGATGGAAGTCTGTGTTTTCCACTGTTTCAATCCAGCGGTCTCTTCTAGCAGTGTCTAGACTATGGAGGAGGTTATCTGCAACTTCTTGATCAACGCTCTCTTTGAATTCCTCGTATAGATGTTCACTGTGTTCGTTCCAGCCCGGTATGTATTCTTTTCTATGCCCCCTAGGAAAGTATTTATTCGCTGCTGAAATTACGGCCCCGATGAAACGATTATAGTTTTCTGGTTCAGGTGGTATAAAGCGGATACATTGGTCTAATTTTTTGTGCATATTGGTCCCAATTAGCTTTCTTAAAGTTCCATCTAGGACGAGGTGTGGATCTGACCACAGGGATTGATACACCCACATTCAGGATCACTGGTCTATGTTGGCTGTGGGGGAAGTCACCGGCAACTTTTCTTTCGACTGGCAATGGAACGCCGTTATGGTTACTAGTAACAAAGCAGAGGTCTGGATTGTAGTCTCTTCTGCAGGCAGCAGATCGAAAAGTACCCTTATCTTTGGCATCGAAAATCAGGGGTGAAGGTTGTTAACTTCCGCCCAGTCTGCTAAAACAATGCCATTTTCATCATTAACAGTATAGTTCCACTGCTCGTGGTGGATATTAAAATCTCCCGCGAATATTGTTGGATGATTCAAGGCTGGGAGGATGTTTGTAGGCCACGGTTGATTTGGTGGTTTATATACATTGACAATGGTTGTTTCTTCAACTTTAATAATTTTGTATTATTATTTTACCTTATACTCACCATTTATCGTTGTCGGGTAATAGATCTGTCGTAGCTTCATTTTCTATTTCAAAATTATATCTGGAGAGGTACCAATAATTTTTTGTCACTATCCGAACTCGACATTTTTAACAGCTTCCAGCAAAACACGCAATACAATGTTTTCAGCTGACAACTTGAAAATTGTGGCAATTTTTGCTGTCAAACGACATTCATGGGCAACTATGATTAACCAATTCGAAGGGGGAGGGTTTTGTTTTAGCCCACTTTTGCACGATCATGGAAACTAATAATATTTAAACTTTTTGTTTTAAAATGAATACATACCTATATAACGACTTTCTTAATTTCAATATTGAATATACAGGGTGGTCCGAATTGTATTCCGGAAACTTCGGCAACATATTCTGCAGATAAAAGTAAAAAAGTTCGTATAAATGTATGTCCTAAAATGCTTAGTTTCAGAGATACAGGGAGAAGAGTAGAAGTTTCATTTTTATTTCTATTTTTTCCAAATAATTTCTGAAGTAAAGTCAATATTTGGATAAAAATTGGTGTCTGGGAGTATTTTGACATGAGAAATTTGATTTTGATGTCAATATGACTCCTACTAGTAGAGGGCGCTACCTACATGTGTTTTAACTGTTTTGAAGTGTAATAACTTTTTGTCCATACCTGTATAAAACTACAGAGCGAAAAAATATACATCTCTGTGACTTTTTACGTAAAAAATATCTCTTTGTAAAAATCCCTACGAGCAACCGTTCTTAAGATATTTAGAATGTAAATAGTCAATACATGTATGTCATTATTGACGAAAAATAAACACGTTGAGTAGATATAGTTATTTCACTGAAATAATAAATTTGGGAATTTTTTATTTTTTTAAATTAATCATAAATTTTTCTGCAAAAAATGATGATAAATCACTTTCTGTTGAACTTTTGACACAAAAACATTTCAAATTGAAGATTTCAGTCTAATAACTATATTTAGTGAACATGTTTAATTTATGTCAATGATGACAGGTATTGATAATTTCGATTCCAAATATCTCTCAGAAAACCATTACTCTTAGCGATTTTCACCAAGAGACCTTTTTCACGTAAAAAACGTCGTAAATGTATATTTTTTTACTTATTAGTTTTATACAGGTACGGACGAGAAGTTATTACTCTTCAAACCAGTTAAAAAATATCTAGGTGGCGCCCTCTACTAGTAGGAGTGATATTGACATCAAAATCAAATTTTTCATGTCAAAAAACTCCCAGACACTAATTTTCATCCAAATATTGACGTTACTTCAGAAATTATTTGGAAAAAATCGAAATAAAAGTGAAACTTCTACACCCTGTATCTCCGAAACTAAGCATTTTAGGGCATACATTTATACGAACTTTTTTATTTCTTTTTATCTGCAGAATATGCTGCCGAAGTTTCCGGAATACAATTCGGACCACCCTGTATATATATCTATATTTAAGTTATTCCTTCTATATATTTGGTTTATTTAAAACTACATAGAAAAATTCACTATATACATACATCAACCTAATATTGTTAATTATTATATTAATATAGATTGATAATAAATGTTACTTTTCCCCAGGTTAGGTAAGTAATTCTCAATATCAAATTATTATGCCACTGTACTACAACATACTAATCTTGTTTTTAGAGACGTACAATAGGGCTTGAATTATTAATGTTGCATATTAGTTAGGTAAGATTTTCCGCTTCTGCTTTGCATGCACTTTATTTAAAACACCATATTATATCAGGGTCAGATTAAATTACAGATATGTGGTATATAATAGTATCTAAGGCCTCAAATTATTATATTTATATATATATATATATATATATATATATATATATATATATATATATATATATATATATATATATATATATATAATATATATATATATAATAGTATCATAGTATTATTATATATATATAATAGTATCTAAGGCCTGCCTCAAATTTACAGGGGGCCCTAGATAATCCCTTTTTGGCTTAATTTGTATAGTTTAATAAATAGGTATTTTTTGAACATTTGTATCCGATAAATTTAGGACACCAACTATCAAAACACGCTATGCTATATCATATAGCATTAGTTAATTCGGCCCTGATTTAATGCAATAAAGAGAATTGATTATTGTTTTACATCCATGTTTAATTCCTACAGGACTACGATGAAACGTTATCCGTAAGACATTCTTTGCACACTTTGTTCCACTCTCATAGAAACCAGCACGGTGTAAGGTAAGGAACTGAATAAGAAGCAACACAATAATTGCAAAAAAACTTTAATATTATTTCAGAACATCTTTAGGAATAGAATTAGAAGAATCAGATTCCCAATTCACGTACAGCAATTCTAGCTCGCCGCAGGTAATTTTAATAAAATAAATCAAGAACGCACTCAAAAAAATATAACATTATAAACATTTTATTAATTGCGCCAGTTTCAGAATCAAGACCAGGATTCCTGTTCGACGACCAATGTAAGTAATTTGATATTTTTAAACGATAAATTGCAATAAGGGCCTGAAACTGAATGTATATTAATGATTTATTTTGCATAGAAGAAAACGGAGGAAGCCATAGAAAATGATGAGGAATCAAGTAAATTTTCACCTAAGGTTCAAGTAATAGCGGCCAGTGGAGACAACATCATAGCAGTGGCCAATCCTGCTCTAGCAATGTCACCTGCCATTCTCCCAATGACATCTCTAACTTCAGTGCCAGTCCGCGAAATCGACGAAAACAACAAAGAATAGACTTTTAAAACATAATTTAGTGTACAGTTTTGCAAATAACGGTTAGACTGGGCGTTATGAATATGTTGTTTAATATATTTTCAAAATATGTAAAGAAATAACAACCGAGGAAATGTATATATCTTTATAATTACAAAGTACAAAAGATTTTAGATATTTATTAAATATAGTTGCTTTACTAGGTATTAAACCATTGTCTTTTTTTATTGATTTATGTATGTCTCTTGATTTCTTTTTCATTAGAGAAATATAGATTATATTAATTGAATATGAAATAGATATAATTTTTTTTACCTAAAATTATTCATTTACTATAAATTATTTATAAATACCAATACATAAGACATTGTTTTAGACAAAATTATGTTGTAGATTTAAAAATAAAAAATATATATTTTATTTTGATTTAACTTTTCGTTACAAATGTAAAAAGTCAACCAGGCTCATATGTTCGTCATAAAGATCATGTGTATAAAAATAAAAATAATCAATTCCGTGAACAATCAACTTGTCATTCTGATGATGCGATTTATGTTATTTTTAATACCTTCAAGAAAACTCGATAGTTAATTCTGAAATGTATGTAACAATAGGAAATAAATAATGATACTTATTTTTTTAATTAACAATAGTATTACTGTCATAATTTTTTTCTTTTATTATTTTACAGAGGATTAAAAAACTAAATGATATGTTCTCGAATCCAGTCAATAAAAAATGTCACTCTGGCATACACGCCAGCATAGTTTGGATTGGCACAACCGCTTCCATATGAAATAACCCCTACAAGATAAAACCCTATCTCATTATCATCTGTTTTTTTGCCATACATCAAAGGACCTAAAAAACCCGAAAAATAAATACTACGAAATTTTTTTCATATTAAAAAACAATACCTCCAGAGTCCCCACCACAAGCATCTTTTTTCCCAACACCAGCACATAAAACTGTGTCATTTATATCACTCAATCCAGTATATTGTTCTTTACAACGACTGTTCTCAATAATAGGTACATTTGTGACCTGTAATACATCTGTGGTTGGCCCACCTAAAAATAAAATTTTATTGGATCCTTAGAAAAATAAATTTAGATAATTTAAAAATTATCTAAATTAATATAATAATCTTTTTAAAAATTAAAAGTTATCTTACGATGTATCGTTGAACCCCATCCAGTTATGTACAAATGATGGTTTAAATATGACATAGTTCGTAAGTCTGATTCCCAAGGAAGACATATTGGACCAGTATTTTCTAAAAATAATTATTATTACCAATAAAAATTTACAATTTATTTACATAAAATCAAACAAAATTTGTAAAATTACACGCTCTTAAACATACTCCTTCGTAATTGTTACAAGATGCTATTATTAAATATATTATATAAAAACTGGACTATAGATTTTTTAAAATAGTATGAAAAACTGTCAAGAAAATGCAGAAAGACTGAAACATCAGCAAATTATTTTCTTTAAGAAAATGTAAATGAAAACTTTCACAAATGTCCTTTAGAGGATCAAGAAAAAATGTCACAAGGTTGCAAATCCGGATTATACAGAGGATATATTAACATTTCTTAGAAGGTGTAAATTCTGTAAAATGACAGAATTTCAATGGAAAGAGTTCTAATTATTACAGGGTAAAAAAGCATATTAATTATTATTGCAGGGTAAAAAGCATTATTTATTATTTTTATATACCTATATTAACATATTTTAAATGAGATTTATATACTTATTTTCTCTAGCAAAATAAAAATCAGAGGCTAACATTAAGTGAAGTTAAAAACAGATGGAAAAAATAACTAATAATTCAGGTAAAAATGAATAAAACATTTAAGAATAAAAGCTTGGAACAGGTTTAAAATTGTGTGTGTATTAATTATAGTGAAACGTTTGTTCAGATCCGGTTTACTTATGAAATATACTGTGTGGTCAATTTTTTTATAATCAAGGAAGCAAGAATAACGTACCGATGCCATCGATGTTCCTAGACAACACAAGTATTGCGATATCGAAAAGATACCTATTTTGCGCATAACCTTCATGAACAATCCTTTTCGCAATTGGAATATCCACAGGATGTGCTCCGTCATCGTCTTTGTACAGATTTATTTCACCAACGCGCGCCAAATATCTAAAAAATATTTCTAAATTAATGAAACGAACCGCAATGCACAAGTACAGCTCGTCAAATATAGGATGTTATTAGAATTTCTCGATACAGCGCACCTCGTTCGATGCGCAGTAGAAAGAATCTTTTTTAGCACGCTTTTTTTAGTAACAAAATCTATGAACGTTATTTTAAATTATATCAAATAGTTTTATTATTTTAAATGCAGAATACGTCTATAAAACTTCTTAAAACAGTCTGATAGCATCCTATATTCGACAAATCGTAAAAAGCAATGGACCTACAGGTCATCACGAACACAGTGAGCTGCTGTTAGAACGTGATTCTTGGTGATCAACGTACCACCGCATAGCCATCGCGGTTGCTGTGGATTTCTCGTATTTTTAAAACCTAAGGCAACCATCCATGGGAAGTCCCCTGTAAAAAAGACATGTATATTGGAATCAAAAACCGACACACGGTATAGTTAGAAAGTTTGATAAGAATTAACTAATCTAAATTTAAAATACTGTCTAAAGAAAAATGACAGTACAATAATACATAACCATACGATCGAAAAAAAATTGGCGTCAGAGTATGGGGAATGGCAATCGATGATAATTTTGGCGACGTCAAGCCCTAGACGTCATCACTTTTGGCCCGTACTTTTCTTTATTTTTTTTAATTACCCTGGCTGCCAGTTGTTCTTAAGAAGGTTGTAATTTAATTTTATATTGTATAAAAATTATTTTTAAATGGTATGGCTTTAAATTTCCAGAAAAATAATTGTTATGTTCTATCCTATTTTAGTCTTTCTATCAGCATGTCAATTTTCAGTAAATGACGACTAGAGACTGACCTCGCCAAAACTATCATCGATTATTGTCATTTCCCCATCATAAGGTATTTTTTAGCAACATTAACAGTAATGTGAATTTTTACTTATTTTGCTTCGTAAAATGTAGTTATCAGGACTTGATAAATAGCCCACTTTTTTCACAACAGACATGCACGTAACCATCTGTAGGTATATTATTATTTAGATCAATTTAATAATTTTAATAAAGCTCACGCAGTTGTAGTGTTGATGCTATGGATATCATTTATTTATTTACCTAAATGGGCATTAATTCCACCAACAATTTTTGGTGTAGAAAGGGGACTAAGGCCACACTCTGGAGGAGCCAGTAATCCAGAAGGTTTTTCCCCAGAAGAATCTATATTAGGCTCAGGACCAATAGGCTCCTAAAAAATCTATTGAAGAAAAATCTGTTATAAAAAAAATTATTACTTACGTCTGGATTTGTTGGTGACCTTACATTTGAACTTGGACAACAAACAAGTACTGTACTTCCAACATTACCGCATTTTAAAGCTTGTAAAAAAGTAACAGTTTCTTTGGATAATAATTTTGGTTTAAGTAAATTCAGGACAAATTGGCATTTTGGTATAGGCGTGCACAAGCCGTTTTGTCCGTTTGGTATATTGCATTCTGCTCCCTCATCTATATCGATATAAATTTTAGATAAAAAAAAATGGTATAGAGTATGAATAAATTCATCATAGTCTAACTTAATACCTTTTCCATAACTATTATTATTTCTCAGAAACTAACAAAATGTACAAAATAAACTGTGCATATACACATATACGTCTAAGACGTCTTGGGGATTCCTATTTTTTTTCTTTATTTCTATCTTGTTATTATTTCTTAGAAATTAATTCAGAGAAATTATGTACAAAACAGATTGTTTATGTCATATATCCTACGGATTTACCGTACGTTTCCTTTTTTTTCCTTTAAAAAAATATGAATATAAAAAAATGTTTTTCTGAATGCGTTTATGACCTATACAGGGTGAGTCTTAAATAAGAGTAAATATTTTAGGGGTGGTATATTTAGATCCCAGAAACACGTCTATGAAGTTTATTCGCGAAAAGATTTTTTCTTGAAAAAGAAAGAAGAAAATTGGGATTTTTTTTTAATGTTTAGTTAAAAAACGTAATATATTCATAATATGGCAACATAGGTAGTAGATTAAAATTATAAAAAAGGAACCCTAAAAAAGATCCAGTGGTTCTCAAAATATAAGCGAAAAATCAATTTTTTTGGTAAATTTTCAAAGTCAAATATCTCGGTTATTTTGAACTTAATTTGAAAAACGGTAAAGAGAAAATATGTTTCTTTTATCGAGATCTACCAGCACTAAAAATATATGCACTTATTAGCAAAATTAGTTTCTACATGTTATTCAATAAAATACTAACTTGAAAATTAATAAAATTATTTTAATGTGTTAAATTCATCATATTTTAACATGATACCTTTCTATTATCCATTATTATTTCTCAGAAACTAACAGAATGTACAAAATAAACTGTATATATACGCATACGTCTAAGACGTCTTGGGGATTCCTATTGTTTTTTATTTCTATCTTAGTATTCTTTCTTAGAAATTAATTCCGACAATTTATGTACAAAACAGATTGTCTATGTCGTCCGGGTTTACCCTTAAGGGTTTACCGTACGATTTCTTTTTTTTTTCTTTAAAAAAATGAATACAAAAAAAAATCTGTCTGCGCCTATGTCCTATATAGATATAGATAGAACGTGTATTATGACATAGAAAAATTAGTTTCTAAACGTGACAATTTTATAAAAAAAAAATAATGAGCACATTTCTACCATTATTTATTATTCAATAAAAAACTAATGTGAAAATCAGTAAAGTTATATATGTGTTAATTTTTATGGTCCATATAAATAATAATAATAATGTTATTATGTAGAGGTATGTCTTAAATAAAATTTATTGTATAATATATTATTTTAGAGTGATAAGAATCCACAAAATACACTTACCTAATGCTTTAATTCTAGCAAAATAAACAAATAAAACATATAGAAAAATTACACAAATTCTGGTAGAATTACGGAAATACATGTTTACGTGTATTTACAGCTTCTTGTTATAATCTTTCCTTAGCAAGATGCATCACATATCTTTATTACAGACAGACTATTGGTGTATTGGTGATTATTTTATAAATATTACGCTGTTTCATGACGTAGTCCATAAGGTCCGTCACGGTCAACGAAGAAGGTCGTTAATTCGCTAAGAGCGCCACAATTTATTAAGAACTTTACTTAAAAAAACACCTAACTTATCATTATGTGGTCTATTTATCAAATATACAAATGTACTGGTGCTGGTGCATTTTTGGGTAATATAGTTTCATTCTTTCTTTATTAATGTTCTTTTATATATAATTTCCAAGTTGCATTGAGTTCTCTGGATTAATTTTATAAAATATGAATAGCTTAAATCGACTGAAAAAGCAAAAACAAAGAAAAACTCTTAATAGTTTATAATAATAACGGAGGTAGGGGGATGTGCATGCATATACACATACGAAGAAATTATAATCATCATATAATCTTATTCTTGCTAAGGTCTATAAGGGGTGGTCAAAAAGAAATAGTAATTATTTTTTTTTGTGCGGTCATCTTTACTATCGTGTAATATTAATTAAACTAATATAGCAGATACACATATTGGTATACCCAAGGTATACCCACATATTTTATTATCAGAGCTATGGAGTGCTTTATCAGAGCCTTCGTAATTATCAGCTTTAATATGGCGACCACCATAAGATGGGAACCAAATAGTTTTAAAGTATATTAAAATTATTTTTTATATAACGTATTTGATGAGAACACTTTGGATGCACACTCATCGAAGGTAGTTATGTCCACACAATATGTCCATGTGGTCCATGTCCTGTGAATCCTGTGAAGCTCCAATGTCTTTGGAAGCTCCTTATGTCCTATGTGGTCCTATGGTGAAGCTCGAAGCACAGAAAACATAAATAATAATATTACCATAGGAGAATTAACTAATATTACTGTGTTATTTATCTGTGCTCGAAGCCCACCACTATATCTCTGTATTATACCGATCAAATACGTTTAAAATAAAGTATTTTATTTAAACGTATTTGATACCGATATAGGTAGTTCAAATATTTGTTACTGGAGTAATAGAGTATAGGCAACCAAAGATACAAAGTTTTGTTACAAAGAGGGCGTTGACAAAAAACGGGGTTTTTCCCAAGGATTTTTCACCCTTATTTCTATAAAATGTTTTTTCATATATTACATTACCCTGAAAGTAATAATCAAACATTACTGTCTGTCAATTATCTCTATTATATTATAATCACAATTATAATATGCTCTGTTGTGCAGACTGTCTATGATTATAGGTTATAGTTTTATTATGGTGATTTGGGTGATGTGTGATGTGGTGCTCTTGCTTTTGCTTTCTTTAATTTGAAACATCTTCAGATCGGATTTAAGGTAGAATTTCTCATGTTTTTGTGGATGATAACAATTTGTGGCTAAATTAATCAAGCCAGAATAAGAATGTGGATTAATTTTAATAAGGCGCATGTACAATACTGTGAGTGAAGTACATATTTTATGATTGGAGTTGGCCTTTTCCTAGGAAAAATGGAATGCATGGAAACATACTTCAATTTTAATATAAAACATATGGAATATTGATGCTATGAATAGCAGGTCTATAGAGGAAATATTATCAAAGTTATCCATAAAATTTAATAGGATATTTTGTGAAAAAGAATTTGTATGTTGTGTATGTGAAGATCTACAAAGAATTATTAAAAACGAAAATAAATGTTGGTAAGTCTAGTCTATTGTTTATCCTTGTATTGTTTACAACACAGCAATATTCATTGTCAAAATGTTTACTATACCTACCTATTTAAACTACCCTAAATTATATACAATGAATCTAATGATTATTTCTAAAAATAATCACAAAGATGGAAGTTTCAGTAATTGTTTCATATTGACATAAGAGAATTATTTAATAGGTAGCATAATATTACAAGGAAAAGGAATTGGAATGGCATTTAAATAGAGGTGAAAGTTATAACATAACTCCTTGGTTATGTAAAGAATACACAAGGTTGTCACTCTTTGCTATTTTTCCTCCAACAAAAAGTAGTTGTTTATTATTAACAAAACATTTTATATAATTTAGACTATTTATATGTATTTATAAATTATAAATAGGTAATACATACTAGGTATCACCATTTCTTAGTAACGCCAGAGGTAGCGCAATAGGAACATATGGTAGTGTCTGGTAATCTGGAAAACAACTATATGATTTAAATACCGATTAGTAGGTGGTCTCTCTATCCATATACAGGGTGAGTCTTAAATAAATGCAAATATGTTTAGGGCTGGTAGATATCGATAAAAGAAACATATTTTTTCTTTACTGTTTTTCAAATTAAGTCCAAAATAACCAAGATATTTTACTTTGAAAAATTCCAAAAACCACTGGATCTTCCCTGGGTTTTCTTTCTTGTAAATTTAATCTACTCCTACCTATTTAATCTATTCTACCTATGTTGCCATATTATCAAGAAATTATGTTTTTTAACTAAAAAAAATCCAAAAATCTTTTCAAAAAATTCCAAATTTTCCAATTTTTTTTCGCGAAAAAAACCTCACAATCGTATTTCTGGGGTAGAAATATACTACCACTAAAATATTTGCACTTATTTAAGACTCACCCTGTATTTTTCAGTCATAGCATGTATTTATAACTTTTGAGACAAATTGCAAGGATTTAATTTTAAGAATAAATAATATATTATTTTCAATGTGGCAACATTGCAATGGTCAGAAATTTTACTTTCATTCGTTTTACTTTCAGTGTATTAATCTTTCCCATACTCAGTCCAAATTATCTAAGAGTTGTTCGATATCAAGCTAAATTGTCAGATCTAGCGGTAATTTCTTTGGGAAGTGGAAGTGCCAAATCTGTGGGAATATGTCAAAAAAAGTTTTTGTAAGTATATACTACCGTATGATCGAAAAAAACGGCGTTCAGATGAAGTGGATATGACGATCGATGACACTTCCTATTTAATTTTCCGTACAAAATGACAGCGATTTTGAACTGCGACTGTCGCCAGCGACACGACAAAAGAACCAATCAGATTTGTACAAAATTCAAACAGCTGTCAATTTTAAATTTAGTACAGCTCCCATTGGTCGTTTGAAGTGTCAATCAGTGTCGCTGTCGACACGACGCAGTTCTGAGAACGGGGCTTCAGAACTGCGCCGTGTCGCTGGCTACACAGTTTGACGTTTCAAACAACCAATGAGAGCTGTACTAAATTTAAAATTGACAGCTGTTTGAATTCTGTACAAATCTGATTGGCTCTTTTGATGTGTCGCTGGCGACACAGTTTGGCATTTCAAACAACCAATGAAAGCTACCAAATAGTACCAAATTTAAAATTGACAGCTGTTTTGAATTTTGTATAAATCTCATTGGTCGTTTTGACATGTCGCTGTTCTGAGAACGGGGTGACTCGCTCTGTAGTTGTCAATCTTTATAGTAAATAGACAGTTATTGTAGATTATATTCTGAATCTGAAGAAAAATATAGTAAAAATTTTGGAAGTCAGCAAATGGCAGAGAATAGCAACAGTACAAGAAAGAAAAGGCCACCAATACAACTTTATGTTCCACCTGCTCAAAGAAAACCTAAACAAAACGAGAAGAAGATTATACAGAAAGATAGACCTCAAATTGCAGGGGGTGATGGAAATGAGTCCCTTAGTTTTGCTTCAAGGGAGAAAGTTTTTACACCCTGTGTATGTTTCAATATATTTCTTAATGAGGAGGCATTTCATTTTACATAATTTCAGTATCTAGCTGATGCAGTTTTTGAAAATGAAGAACTATATACCAAAAATCATATTGACCAAACACATCCAGAAGCTTTTGATATTGATTGTCTAACTGAACCTGAATCACCAAAAAAATCTGAAGCAACAGGTCTTGTGAATAATAAACCAGACTGCCCAACACAAGATAGTGTTAATATTATTTCTGTAGCGGTGAACAAATCAAAACAAATAGATAATGTGATTGTCTTGGAAGAAAACACAGAGCCTGTTAAAACCAGGTAAAGCATAAACAATAATTATTAATTATACTATGTTTTATACATTTCAATTTTTCAGTCCTAAAATAAGTAAAGAACCTAAGACAAAGAAAAACGAGCATGAACAGGAAAAAGAAATTATGAGAAAAGCAAAACAAAACATTAATCGAAAAACGAGACCCATTATTAAGTATATAGAAGACGACAATACTTTAAAAATTGGTAAAAATGACAATGTTAACAACTGGGAAGATTTATTTGATGAGAATGGAGAATTAGAAGAAGAAATTTTTACGGAGGTATTTGTATAAATATTAATCGTTTTTTAGCTCAAATTTCGCTTGGTTTTTATAGATAATACAGAAAGTTGGACCTACTGTAACTATAGCAAAAGCAGAGGAAGATTATTCGGCCTATACGGCCAAACAAATAGAAGAATTGGAACATATGGTAGAGCTGCACGATTTTCCCGCCACGATGGAGACTCAAGATTTAATATCAGCTTTTAGTGAACTAAATAGTGACTCAATGTATGTGAAATGGGTTGATGATACACATGCTATATTAGTATTAGGCTCAAGTACACAAGGTACTAAATTGGTATATGTATAGGTACACTATATCAGTATAATCTAAATAATACTTAATACTAAATTTTCATATTTAATTTAATCAGTTCATTTTGTTTCAGCGCAAAAGGCAATGGCAATATCCAATCCATTCATAAAAGTTCGTCCTATGTCAGCAGCTAGCAATTTGACTTTGGAAAAAGCCAATCAGTTTGATTTAAAACCTGCCATGAGACGACCAGAAACAAACCTTCAAACTGCTAGGCGTCTGATCACGTCACATTTAGGTGCCAAAAGTCAAATTAGCAAAGAACAAAGTGCCAAGGAACGCGAAAATCTTAAGGCAGCCAAAGGTCCGTTTATACTTATATACAGGGTGGTCCGAACTGTGTTCCGGAAACTTCGGCAGCATATTCTGCAGATAAAAATAAGTAAAAAAGTTGTTTTCTCAAAATTTCTCAGGTCATAAAACTCCCAGACACCAATTTTCATCCAAATATTGACGTTACTTCAAAAATTATTTGGAAAAAATCGAAATAAAAATTAACATCTGCGCCCTGTATCTCCGAAACTAAGCATTTTAAGACATACATTTGTACAAACTTTTTTACTTATTTTTATCTGCAGAATATTCTGCCGAAGTTTCCGGAATACAGTCCGGACCACCCTGTATATATATAATGATACATGATACAATAAATTAGTGCAAATATTTTCAGGGGTGGTATATTTCGACCCCAAGAACACGTCTATGAGGTTTTTTTCGCAAAAAAAAAAAAGATTTTGAAAATCGTGTTTTCTTTTAAATTTCCCTGTATATTTTTCGAAGACTTTTTAGAACTGCCTGTTGTATAACTCGGTTATTTTGGACTTATCTGAAAAATGGTAAAGAGAAAATATGTTTCTTTTATCGAAATCTACCAGCCCTGAAAATATTTGCACTTATTTACGACTCACCCTGTATAAATATTTTGAAAGACCCAGTATACATTTTTGTTTTTTTTTTCTAGAATTGAAAAAACAAACACGACAAAACGAAAAAGATGCTTGGGAAGGAAACCTTAAGTCAACAGTAAACTAGCCATCAATTAATTGATAATTTTAAAATTATGAAGTGCCTTAACAATCGGAAAAAAATATATATTTCCATATTTTCAGTTTTGTGATAATATTTATATTTTTATGTTTTATTTTCTTTATTTTTTGCGATCTTTTAGATAGCAAATATTTACAATAAATGTTAACTGACTGATTTTTTTTTAATCTAACAGAAATAAGAAGGAATAAGGTCCGATTAATAAAAAATGTGGAAAATTGTATCGACAAGATTTCTATCGAGCAACCAGTAAAACAAGCTTTTACAGTATCAATTCCTGTTTCCGTACAGTCTTGAGCTTGTAATTTGACTCGACTTTAAGTCAAATTATGGAGTGTAGAGATACTACACTCCATAAGTCAAATGTAGCAGTAACTCAACTAACTAGATATACTGTATGATCGAATAAAAACGGCGTCAGCGATGGCTATGAAATGAAGATCGTTGTCATTTTATATGTAAAATTATATGGGGAATGCAAATACGTTTAAAATAAAGTATACGGAGGCTACCGAAAAAAAATCAAATTTATGATTTCGGTCTAATAACTACCGTATGATCGAATAAAAACGGCGTCAGCGATGGCTATGAGATGAAGATCGCTGTGATTTTATATGTAAATTTATATGGGAAATGTCATCGATCGTTATTTCCCAGCCAACTGGACGCCGGTTTTTTTCGATCATACGGTATTTATTAAATGAGATAAGCAGAGAAAACAGATAAGCTGCCTTTTTAAAAGCATGTTATTGTTTAAGGGGCTAAAACTATTTCAATAAATCTTGAACGATTTTATCTACTTCAGTTGTTTAAAAAGACGGGTAATGCTAATTTATTTGTTAATAAAATTAATTGAAAGCTTTTGGGAAAATCAACCAGAACGCCGACTCTGCCGAATTTGATGTCCTGTGTTGATGTCGTTTCACGAATCGCGACGCCATATTAGCAAGGATCCTATATTAGCAGCGGGTAACTCTCAGGGCCGGATTAAAACGCTTTCACAGGCTATTGTCAGAGTTATATTGAATAAGTATTTTCATTATCTGATATGTGATTACAGACTGAGCGTAATATGTTATTTCGAAACGTAAAGTTTGTATTGTATAGATACTACCACATGTAATTTTTATGCGGTGGTTTTTTTGCATTAGTAGGTAGGCAGATAATATATGCGTAGTCAAAAATTTGGAAATGGGTAGAGATCGTGAATTTTAAAAATAAAGTAAACCAATTAATTAAAGGTCAACTTTCTACTCGAACCCTTGAGCTGCGTTTTACTGGTTGGCAAAAACCCGTGGTCATCCCTACACATTTCTTAGAAGTTTTTATGGGCTGGGAAATTACGCGAATTGCGTTGCTATAGGTATGTTCTAAAGTGTAACAGTTTACAATCCTGAATTTATTTGTTAGAGGCACGTTCTGCATTTTGGGTACACATTATCAAAATAAAAATATTTTTTTTAATACTGGAAAAGTTTCGCTTGAACACAATGTTACCCAGATAAATGGGGCTCATTATAATAATAAAATTATGATTAGGTAGGTAGGTAATAAGTATTGTGTTAAAATGGGTTAATACAGTATTTAAAATAAAACAATCTATGCATTTGTTTAATATCTATTTATTTCTCGATATTAATAATTTATTTTTATTTGTTCCGCTTTTAAAATTCCTATTTATGTGATATATTCCTATTATGCCTTTGATTATGCTATAGTCGGAATTCAACTAAACCCTGACCTGCCCTGACTAAACCGCTAACGCCGCTACATTGACAGGTGTTACCCAAGAACGGTAAACTAATAGGACTGCTCATTCAGCCAAAAGTGTCCGCCAGGTGCATGCGAAAACTACTCGCTTTGTGACGTCATTGTAGCCCTTGTCATTGTTATTAGTCCTTATCCGGCAACTAATAATACACACACGTGCATTATTGGTTACCGAATGCAAAACGTTCATTATTTAGTTTATTTATTTAAACACCTTATATGTATGCAGTATAGAAAATTAACTGTATAAATCGTATTAAATACTCGGATAATGCATTTTTAAGAACAGCAGTTCCCAGTGTATCACCTTTTGCAAGCATTCTTTTTAGAGTACTTCCATATTTTGCTTCAAAATAATCAATAAACAAAATCGTGGGCACTTAGTATGCACTTTGTCACAATCCACAACACAAAATGAACGTATTTATACACTCTATAGCTCTAAAAACTTTAAAGGCACCTTTTTCACATTTAAAATTGACAAAATAATTAACTCAAAATTTCTCAGCTGTTATTTTTATAAGTTTACCATAGGCAACTAATAATACACACTATCATGACAAGGCCACGAAGGCTTTGACAACATTTTGACAAGGGCCACAATAACGTCACAACTGTCAGTTGAAGCGCGGGAAGAGGCGAACGTACGTCTTATGAGGATGAGCAATCCTATTAGTTTACCGTTCTTGGGTTAGGATCAGTTAGGATAGTGCAAGAACGGTAAACTAATTACAGGTTAACTGTTCTTAGGATAGTGTACGTTATGGTGTACGATAATTTTTAACGGTGTGTGTCTTGCGACGATAATTCTCTATCTAGGAACATTAAGAAACCAAATTTTTGTTGGCAATGCTGGTTTATTACTAGTGAAGTGGCGGAAAGGGAGAACTGTCGCGAAGGAAAATTAATTCGATAGAAAAATCCCTGAATAGGGATAATATGATACTAAAAGAACGTATTTTTAAAACCTGTTAATAAGAAATTAAAGACTTTGTTCGGAGTGAAGTGATTATATTGCAAAATAGGAACTTATTGTTGATTGATAAGTGAAAATGGCAGCCTTACCACGCAGGATAATCAAGGAAACTCAAAGATTAATGCAAGAACCCGTACCAGGAATTAGTGCTGTGCCCGACGATAGCAATGCCCGTTATTTTCACGTTATAGTAACAGGGCCTGAGGACTCGCCATTTGAAGGGGGCCTCTTTAAATTAGAATTGTTTTTACCTGAAGATTATCCAATGTCGGCTCCCAAAGTGAGATTTATAACCAAAATATATCATCCAAATATAGACAGACTAGGAAGAATTTGCCTGGATATTTTGAAGGATAAATGGTCCCCTGCACTTCAAATTCGTACCGTGTTATTATCCATTCAAGCACTTCTAAGTGCACCAAATCCAGACGATCCTTTAGCTAATGATGTTGCGGAATTATGGAAAGTAAACGAATCGGAAGCTATAAGAAATGCTAAGGAATGGACACGAAGATATGCAATGGATAATTAAGCTGTGCTTATTTATCTCGTTCGATAATATACTTAATGGTTAGAAATACCTAGATATTGAATGGGGTGGGTTGGCAAGTTGATTTGATTTTTGTTGTGGTGGATAACCAAGGCAAAATTTATGTGTTACGTTAGTTGCCTATCTACTCTATATATCTTGTTTTCTTTTAGCCATACCAAATCACTTGAGCTATTTAATCTGTCTATAGTTTTCAAACTCTTTTATCGCTTCCTAAACAGTAAGGAATTATTGTAATAATGTGTACATTACCTACAAATTATGAAATATCCGTGAGGTGATTTGGAATGGTAATTGAGCTTTACCAATTATAAAATCATTAAATTTCTTTATTTATTTTTTACTTTCTCAGTTGTTAAATTAGAAACGTGTAAAAATAATTATTCCTCAGAGTCGTATTTTGAAAGCATTCTGTTGATTATTTTACGTTAAATAATCAATTTTATTGTAATAATTAGTATGTTTTAGTTTAAGACAAAATTTCTTTCTTTATTTAATTGTATATTAATGTGGTGTATCTTTTAGTATTTTTAAAGTATTGGAAGGACTTCCTATAAAAGAAAAACTTCATACTATTTTTTACTTATATTTCAATGATGTATCTTTAAAATGTAGACCCAAATAATTAAAAAAACAATAATCATTGTAACTAATCAGTTGAGTAATATTGTTTTTGTTATTCTTAATAAGGAGTCCTTAAAAAATTATTTTCAGTTCAAGCAATTATTTTGTGTTTAATCACAATTAAGGATGAAATTTAGTTTGTTGTAAATAAAATTATGTAAGGCTTTTTACAAATAAATTTCTTTCAATAAGAGACTTGCTTTTTGTCTTTTTAAATTTAAGAAATTGAGTGAATTTCTTCAAAATGTAGAGGGGTAAATAAATAAAAACTGGGAATATAAATATATTGAAACATTTAATAGACATTTATACTGTTTGTAAACACTTAATGAACAATTAAAATAAAAGTACAAGACTATTTTAAATACTGTCATGAAGAATTGATATGTAAAAACATTATGAGTTGTCTTAACAAAAAATAGGGGTTAATATAAGCTAAACACAATTATTAGATGGTTATAACGACCAGCAGGAAATTTTATTCTAGCAACAGTCATTTGTATATCACAGAAAGAAAATAAATAGAAATACATTTCATTAACTAAAAATACTCTACTCTGGCGGCAGTTTACTGTCTTGACATTAGCACAATCTTTATTCTTATAGTGTGACATTAGTAAGTAAAACTATCTATTAAAATATTCCATTAAATGTTCATAAATCATTTAAAGACAATTTAAATTTATGTCACAAATGAAATTAAACAGACATATGTATTCAGCATTATATATTTAGCAATATTAAATAATAAAGCATTACAACATGTACATATTTCTTCCTTTTTGCACTAACTTTAATTTTGATACAATCTGAGCTATTCCAATTAAAATTCGTAAACAATACAAACTGGCTGAGAACTTTTATCATAATATAAATTTTGGACATTATTTCACCTAAAACATTTCAGTGTCTGAAACTTTTAAAATTAATTATGTTCTGGATGTTACAGTAAAAATCAAGTTATGTAAAAACTGTTACTGATTCAAGTATATCACTCTTGAAACTGCTGCCTTTCTGATTGTGTGGAATTTAAGATGACATAAACAAATATATTAATTTTTCTAAATTTTTCCTGGCTATATCAAATTATTTATAAGGTGTAAGATGGAATCACATTTATTTTAATTTCATATCTCTTATGCCAATATGGAATGTGGTATATGTTTATTATATCTTAAAGCTATCTTGTTATATACAAATGTATCAACTCATAAGTGAAAACTACAGATAGTTAAGACATATTTTATCAAGTTTCGCTTTTAGATGCTTCCAGGGTTTTTATTATATCAAGAAAATATTTTGTAAAACTTGTTTGCTAGTCTGGTATGATATTCCAAGAAGGAATACGAAAATTAACTTTACTTTTCTAATCATAAAAATGTACTTTAAATATTGAAGGGGAAACATTAACTAGAATTATATTTGTCAAATTAAATAGGTCTTACAAGCTTCAGTTAATTTGTTATAGCAGAACTTACTTGACTAGAACAAAAATCAATAGATAATACGACTTAATTAAGTTTCGTGGTGATTAAAAATACACGTAAAATCGAAATTTTACAAAAAAATATTGTCTAGAAATAAGAAAAAAATATATGAAGATTCATTAACTGTATCTTAGTAAATATATTCAGGACATATTAGGTTTGTTCCAACTTCTACAAGAATGTTTACTGTACCGTCGTCACATATACACTGATATAATTGTAACCTATTTTATTTAATTAGCATATGGAGATGGTACAGTGGCAGGGTTCTTGATACTTCTTGGAACAAACTTATTTGTATATTATTACTGGAATGCGTGAATAAGACTAAATCAAGACAATAATTTTATTATGCTAAGCCATCCAACAGTCTTTGGTATGATTTTTTTACCCCCACAAGTAACAAGTTCTTGCAAAGCCCAAGGTACAACCTATTATAGAAAGCTAAAGGCTATTTGGTATTTTCACATATCCATTAAAAATGGGAGACAGTACATTATTTTCTCTCTTCTTTCTTTTCAATTGGTAATAGAAGGATGCGATTCTATCATCAATCTGATTAATGAAAGCCAGCGAACTGTAAAATTTGTGCAGAGCGCGCAGGTCTTGCTTGTATTGTCGTCAGTCAGATGAACTAATTCTAATTAAAAATAGATCAATCTGCGTCTCAAACACGAAACTCAAAAAAACAATTCCCAATCTTTTTATATAATTATCATCTACAAATAGGCACTTTCAAACCTCTCAATTAAATTTAAATTAAATGTAAACGGGATTCTCTTGCCCGGTCAGCAAACGGAACATGGAAGTTGGCATTGTCTTCATTAGAATCTAAAAATTAAAACAGTATGAGTTATGAGTCGTAAGATGACTGGCGTTACCTCAGATTAAATATACTAAAAAATACAGCACGCCACCACAATAGCATTGGAAGTGTTCTCCACAGATTTTTGTCGCTCAAAGCAGGATCAATATTCGCGCAGGCGCCATGACCAATATGACAGTGCAATACTCATAAACCAACAATTGTTTCTAATCTTATCTTGAGGACGTTTTAAACCAAAACGCTGTATCTTTTCTATATTTAATCTAAAGACGTTACTTTTGTGGCCACAGAATTTAGGATAAAGTCTGGTCTTAGACCCATTATATTTTAAAAATCACACCTTCCTGATAGTTTTAGATATTTTTCGATTTACGCCTTATTCTCTGTGACCACCAAGTTGGCTACACTTACTTCGCCTACAGATGTTGCTAGTAAATTAACGATTTTCTCATGAGGTACGGCAACAACGCTTTGGTTGTTTATCTCTATAATCCTGTGTCCTACTCGCACACCACCCCTCTCCGCTATTCCACCCCGCAATAAACTACAAATCTACAACACGATTTAATAAATACAAAATTTTTCAAAAAAAATATAAAATATAGGCTTGGTGCATTTTTTTCTGTATACGGCAGACATCAGAAATTTTCGCTATGTATTTCACGCCGTCCCGGTTACAGTTCATGTTGATCGCATTAAAATAACATTGAAATCGTGGCTTTGTCATAATACCGTATGATCAATGACGTTTCCCATTTAAATTTACATATAAAATGACAGCGATCTTCATTTCATAGCCATCGCTGACGCTGTTTTTTTTTCAATCATACGGTATTTAAATATTTTAGTTTTTTGCTAGTGGCAGTTATTGAAACTATAAAACACTCAGATACGAGTTTTGAGTTTTTTTCCCGGATTATTTTATAGCTTCATCACACTGATTTTATCAAAAGCAAAAATGGATTCAAGCAGTTCGACGAAACAAGTGAGCAAAGTGCTCGTTACATAATCAAAAAATGAAACAGACATATACTATGAGAGGATAAAATATAATTTGCAATATTAATAGTATACTTTTTTTTAATCAACTAGTGATTAAATATTTTATGAACATCTTCTAAAATTATAATTATGTCCCTTAAAAAATTGCGTTATAGCCGAAATAGCGTCAATTATGACTCCACTAGCAAAACCGGTGCGTAAACCTATGCTCGCTACCGTAGTTGAACTCATCTAACAAGTTTTTGTAGCTTGCTTTTGAATATATCAAAATATTTACATTTTTATTTTTAGAATTTTCACACATTATATTTCCTAACATTTTTAGAATAATTATATAATAAAATTTTCGTGTGCTCGCTAAAAATAAGATGTACTGAAAAAAGACAGAAGAGCAAATATTTTCCCAAGCGCATGGAATCTAGCGTCAGATTAAGTGGTTATGTAATAAATACTTCGTATTTTTGCTCTCTCTGACTTACTAGATTGCCATGATTGCCATAGCGATTAGCGTGTTTTATAAATATATAGTATAGCGATTCACTGGCATACATGTAAATGCCGACCCAAGTTTTCGCTTTCCAGGATGGTATACCAGTTGTTTACGATATTCTCCGATGGTGGCAGCACCGGCGGAGAATGCACCAAGCCTATACGTTTCAATAAAATTAGAGCGACGACTTAAAAACTATATGAAAACTCCATATAAAGTCTAACTCACGAAAAAATATCATTTCGTTATAATATTACTATAGAAACGCCACACCAACCAAATACAGACAATTTTTTCTTGTACAATCTAACGAGAATTACTAAATAAACTGACCGTCATAACATGCTTATACTTTATTTGTATCTTCACATGTTCATTTCTTCCAATTCGAATGTTCCATATGATGCAATCAGTATTTTTTCTTTTAGATTATTTAATTTAATGCATTCATATATTAGGAAGATATACTAGCCCTGGTCACTTCATCTGCTTGTTCTATATTTTCATTTTAATGCATGTGACAGAGATAAATATAAAAGACCGGTAGACAGACAGAGAGACAAAATAAAAAGCGGCATACAGTGTCATGTATACTACTGAAATGAAGATAATATATTTAAGCTAAATATAAACTATTACAGCTGTAGTAAAACGAATAACTAATTGATAAAAATAAAGTTCCAACCTTAGATGCAACATTTTTTATAAACGCCTACTTATGCGGTTTGAAATTTGGTGCAAAATCCGGCAATACCGCATAAAAGAAATGTATCAACCCAACTTGTATCTCCTTTTTAATACATTTGATTTTCCATTAAGCTGTCGACACGTGAAAATCCAGAACACGCAGTTTCGATGACCAGATCGGTATATTACCATTTTATAATAAAAACTCACTCTAATTTTATTTATAAAATATAAAATAGATTTATACACTGACACTGATCAATATGCCTCCGAAGAAATAACTTAAAATTAAAATAAAAATATTTTTAATGTACAAAGCCATAGATGGCTAAATAATCTAGAACACTTACCACTCCATTTTGTACGCTGAAACCCAACTGGTATTTCGTGTCTGGTCGTTTTATTTTTACTTCGACAACTGGCGCACACGGCACTACAGTTAATTTAACTACCGTTTGATTTTTCGAGTTTTTAATGTAGTTCTGGCATGTGGATAGTGGAAGGCCCACCAGGCTGACGCCATTAATTGCGATGATCTGATCACCGATGTTCAGTTGTCCGCACCTGGCCGCTGCACCCGCTGGTGCTAAGTTTGCTATCACAACAGTGGGAAGCATAGATCCCCATCCAGACTCCACTATCACTACTCCTAATATTTCTCCTTTAGCTTTTGGAACTACTACCTGTAAATATAACCCTTTTTCTTTACCATATCCTATACTCATAAATTTCTTACTTCTTTTTGCATTTCCTTTTTTGCAAACATCTGTAGTTCGTCGCCGAAAATCTCTTGCGAGTTCAGCACTTCCTGATAGTCCATCTCTTTGACAAAACTGTGATCTTCGATTCCATTCGCTTTGAGAAACTCCATGTAAGCCACCTGGAAGGCTTGTCCAATGGATTGAGCTATGAATTGAGCTTCCTCGCTTTCAAAAACGTGGCATATCATTTTAGGAGTCCTATTGATCTTTGGAGCGTCTTCCACCTCGTGAGGCACAAACCTTCTTCGAGCCATTAGTACTACTAAATCACCTATATCAGCTATATAAGATATCGTTCTCAATGCGTGGTCCATCATAATTTCTTTTAAATCCGTATTCAACACCTAAACATAGCGTTCAAAGTTTGTTAGTTAAAATATAGAAAATTTAATAAGGAACATCTTACCATTATTTTTTCGGTAGATATAAAGAGATCTACTTCAGTACTAGGCTGAGTTTCTCCGTCTGGGGCCTAATAATATAAGAATTAATTAATTTTTATGCTTGCTATAGCTTATGAATGTCTTACCAAGGCCTGCCATGATCCCAAACAAGCAGCAATAGAACAATAAGTTAATGGTTAGAAAACGTTAGCAAGGTATATACTAGATTAAATACTGGATAAAAAATATAAATCATAATATAGTATAAGATATAAATAAATTTGAAATAAATGTAAGACATGCACTTTATAGCTAAATTATAATAAATACGTTAGTATATTGAGATGATGTTTGGAAATCGACACGTAATAACTTTGATTTTATTGCGATAGGTAGGTTATACAACTGTTGTATTAAACTTGGAACATATAATGTGTTGGTGCAATAGACCAGATCTCTTGATAGCTGATATAAAAATTTCTATAATTTCATTATTTTGGTATGTTATAAAAATTTGGTATTATCAAATGCGACCAGCCCAAAAAAAATGTCAGTCAAGGAAATAAGTGCTTAAATTTTTTGACTACTTCTAAAAAATATATATAGCTTTGCTGTATCAATTGCACCAACACAGAGTGTGATCAAAAAGTTTAATGATTGAGCGAGCTTTGGGCGATGACAGGCAAACAATTCTTAAAGTAAATTAGATTAAAAGTAAATAGTAAAAAAATAGAAATCCGTAGACTTGGCTTCGTCTACAGGTTGGGTAACAAACCTCTAAAGTACACAGTGTCACAGCGGTGTGGATGACGTAGCAACCATTGGAAATTTTAGCGCTGTTGTCAGATGGTACTTATTATCACGTTATAATCGCCCGAATCCAAAAAGCTTTGAATCCTTATAAAAAGAATAAAGACATTAAAGTAATAGCCAAACAAACTTTATGTTTATTGGGCTGTCCCCTTATTCACAACCACTATTTCTTTTCATAATATATATTGAGAATGTAAATGTATGTATTGTATTTATAATGTAAATTGTAAAAGACTCTGTAAATAAACATTATCATATTATTAACTTTTATTATTTATTATTCTCATTTGAGTCTTACAACCCGCAGTTCCGCATGCATCTTCGGTGGAGCGGCGGAACTAATGCCTAGCTATACCCTGGTTACAAAAGCAGCTGTGGCTTCATTGGTAAGGCGGTCGTTAATCTCTGGGGTAAGTTTTTTTTAGATTGCACGCGAATTATCAGATCGATTATCGTTTATTCGCATGCGGAACTGCGGATTGTAAAGTTTCACGGTCCGGCTAGATGCAAGAATTAATCCAAAATCTTTTTTTCATAAATATCGTAATTTTCAAGTCTTTAGTCTTTTCTTCTTTCAAAACGTAATGGTCAAAAAGGTAAAAACTGGCAACGCTGCAAGCAGTGATACCGTGCACTTTAGACGCTTGTGGCATGGTGCAGTCTCCGCCGGTGCTGCCACCATCGGAGGTTACCGTAAACAGCCGACCAAATAAATATACGCGATTAAAAGAAAAGTTTCTACGTCCCACTAGTCAACTCGCATACCCAACAATGTTGCCGTTTGCTGTCGCCTTATTTTATGAACGGTTTTAAGAACGGCGGAAAGTAACGCCTAGCTATAGCCAATTTTTCAAGAGCAGCTGTGGATCCATTGGTCACGCCATCCCAGGATCGTGTCCCAAACCAAACCAAACTTTTTACAGCTGTTTTAATTTGGTTAGTCTCTGGGGTAAGTTTTTTTTGTTTAGATTGCACGCGAAATACCCGACCTTAGACTAAGTACCCGACCGATTATCGTTTATGCGCGTGCAAAACTGCGAAATTAAGGGATAACGAACAGCAACATTGTTGGGGTATGCGAGTTGACTAGTGGGACGTAGAAGCTAGTGATTAAAAATGACTACACGATTCGTTACATTATTTGACACATTACAGTATAATTTGTGAAAAAAAAATAAAAATTTAAATATTTTAATCTTAAGAACGTCTAACTAGGGCTATATGGGCTGTAACGATTTATTTAAAGGTACATAATTATAATTTTAGAAGTTCATAAAAAAATTAAGCCACTAGTTGATTAAAAAAAACGTATACTATTAGTATTGATCAAATTATATTTTATCCTCTCTTAAGTAGCTGGACAGTTCTGATTTGTTCCGTACTGAGCGCTGCTGTCGGAATTTTAAAACATCGGTTGAAATGCACCAAGCCTATAGTTTTGTTGCTAGTGGGTTTAGATCCGCGGAGACAATTTAACACTGTGTAATTTGGTCGGTGTTTCCCCTAACCTTAATATACATCAGCTCGATGGATAAACTGTTTGATCATACCGGTACCAAATAGAAAGGAATATGAACAGACCTTTATTTTTGTCACGGCAAGTTCTACCATGTTTTTCTTGAACTTTTTTCTGCGTTTTCTACCCCCTTCCTCGTCAACTTCGACTGAGCCAAGGAAAAGCAAATGAAACACGGTGCCCGTCGCTCCAACACCACTGCCAAAAGGACTGATTGTGTCGCAAAACGGTGGCTCTTCTACGGAAATATTTTTTAACCATTGCTTGTACCGGTGTACAATTCAAAATCCACTTAGTACAACATTCAACGTACACTCTAGACCCTTTGTACACCACCAATTTTATTTGTCTGATTTTGTCGATGTTCCGAATAGTGAATTCTGATAAACATGTTGATATTTTCTGACCTCCGTATGACTAATATGGTGAATTATTTTATTAAATTTAGTTCTAAATAAATTTATTTTGCGGTATAACCATGATTTTCGTAAACTTCATAAGAATAATTTTACCCAGTTTGGTTCTCATTGAAAGGGTAAATACAAACGAAATATTTAAAAGAAATTTTTTTGTTGAAACTACTTCGTAATATGACAATGTTAAGAGTTATTTTTTAAGTATATGTAGTTAAAAATAAATATAAAAATGTGGTACGCATAAAAAAATTAATGTGGTTTATTTCTATAATTGTTCGTAATAGAAACTGATATGATTAGTATTAAAACCAGTAATATGTTGCGCACAAATAGAGAACAACGGTATACGGTCGAGTCGGCCTACAAACACGTAAACGTTTACGTACGCATGCCCATTTCTTATATTTTTTATTTTTTATGCACGTAAAAGATTCTTTACGTCTACGTCTACGTACCAGCAGCGGCCGACTCGACCGTATACCGTTGTTCTCTAATTTAAAATTACAGTGAATACAAATATGTTGAATATGGATAATGTAGGTGGCAACACTGCAAGGTTTAGATCTCAGGTGAATAAACAAGTGGCACTAAAAAGTTTTTTAAAATTTCCGGGAAAATGTCAAGAAAAATATTAATTAAAATTATTAATATTATTCTTAATTATTAACAACATTATTTAAATTATTAATATTATTCTTGTATAAGAAAATTTTATTTTATATTTTTACTATTTAAATAAGGGGTAGGGTAACATGTTTCGGGAATCAAATTCCGAAATTTGTTGCCGTAATCCCAAAAAATATAAAATTTTCAACAATTTTTTTTCATAAAAAAACCTCATAGGCGTGTTTCTGGGGCCGAAATATACTACCAGTTAAAATATCTGTACTTATTTCTGGGATACCCTGTATATTGCATTTTCTTAACAGTTTTACATCACTCTTAACTAGTAAAGACCAAGAAATAAATTTAATATGTATCTGATAAGACTTTCAAAGAACCAGGAGTCATTTAATTAAGAAATAATTAATATATGATAAGTGATGATGGTGTAACAAAGTCTCTTACAGAATATCTTATATCATACACAAAAAATAATTCTTTAGTTAAAAGTTCATAAAATTAAACTTGATTATCATTTACACTGTGTAATTTCTAAATTTCTTATTATACATTTTAAGGAGTTTAGCATTTTCTTCCTAGGAGCATATATTATGTTTAAGATATTCTGAGTGTAGGTTAAAACTCAAAAGGTAAAAGTGAGTACTAAAATCGATTCGAATTTTGAATTTTTGGGACAGGAAACAATGATTAAAAAATGTACCCAATGGTTACCCGTAAAAACAGCTTTATTTTTAAATAATAAATTAGAATTAAGAGTTTTACTTACACTTAAATAGAACCGATTAGTAATTGTGGCACAAGGTATGCAATTAAAATTACTACGTCTTACTGATTCTTTACTTGTATTTACCCCCTTAATTTCAACGCCAATCATACTTGACATAAGGCAGAGAATGAAACGGCAAAAATCTTGTATTTTGATTTGGTTGTAAAAATGTACTGCAATTTGCAAAATGTACTGTTGACAATTATTCTAATAATCGTAAATTAATAATAATCAGATCTCATAATACTATTTATGAAAATTTCTCTGTAATCAAAGTTTATATCCAGTACCTAAGAGTTGTGTCAAAGCCTTGTATCAAGTTGGTGTTGGTTTTACACGCTTGAACATAGGCATTAAATGAAGAGTACATAAGGCAGTATAGTACATACTAACTTATACCAGTTGTTAATGGATTTTATAGGACTCTGTATATTATCGATTGCATAATCAGTTTCAACGGCCTCTACACTACTCGCGAAATAAGCCGAAGTAGGTCAAAGCCGAATGGTGAAGAGGGTTATTTCCTGTTTCCTCGTCTAATGAAAATAAGCCGAGACGAGACAAAGTTAAGCTAGGAAATAGAAATAACCCTCTTCACTATTCTACCTTGACCTACTTTGGGTTACTTCGCGTGTAGTGTAGAAGCCGCTTTACACTAATCGGTCCTATTAAATGCTGTCCCATCTGTAATAGGCATATTTTCACGAGACACCGCCAAGTACAAAGCGCTTACCATTAATTAATGGTTGCATTGGTTGGATTGTGGCGTTTTCAGGTTTCAACTGACTCGGTGCGACTGAATTTACTTGAGATACATCCTCGAAACTCCCACTATCGGGACTACTATATGAATATTGCGGTTCATAGTTTTGAATGGTATGGTCAGATGCTTCCTGGAAGTGACAATTGCACGCGATCGTTCAAATTGTTTTTTTCTGCATTGCCACAACAACATTTAAAAAAATGCTAAGAATGTGGACAACATAGGGTGCGAGATCTCCCGCATAAGATGCAAACTCAAAGCCACATAAGTTATGTGGAAAACGACCGTTCCGAGGATCTATATACAGAAACAATACGCATTCAAAGCAAACGATATTAGAAATAGTGCAACACAAAGATTTAGGATAGTGCATTATCTACTTTCTATGTTTCAAACGAATATCAAGTCGAGTAAATAATACAGACGAATCAGGTAATTTTAGTCGGCTCTGGTTTTCTAATAAACATTAATATTTAATAACGGCACTGTTAAAAAGCGCGAGTAACGAAGAGACACGGGATAAAGGGACAATTTCATTTCATATACACCATATTCTAAAAACAAAGAGCATTAAGGCAACCAATCAATATACGCACATTAAGCGTGCATAATTCAGAACAGAGCAAAAATGTAAGTAATTAATAACGTCATCAACCCCGTTACTTCATTTTTACTCTATTTCTTTAATCGTGGAAGGGGGTAAAACTTACAAAAAACAGTATTAATTGAAAAATCTTCCAAATATCAAAAACACAAATTCGCGGAGATTCACAAACATTAAAATAAGTCTCATTTGCAATAACAATAATTATGTGAACATGCATAGACAATATTTAAGAAAAACTGTATAAATAAACAAAACAATGTTTCAGTAACGAACATTAGTAAAATAATACATAAAGATTAAATCTAAATTGCAGGGTAAGTATGTTACAGCCAGTTTTAAAGATATAGTAATAAAAATTACCTTAATTCTTGAAACGGCCTCTTCCGCTTGCATCATTCTTGTAGTCTTGGTTGGCTGGCCTTCACAAACAAGCTGTGTGGATCCCAGATATCTTGCACGAAATAAAACCCCTTCAATCAAAACTGAACGTTGTATTACATCTGGAAGAAAAAAAATTATTAAATTTCACAAATTATAAATGCCCACAGACTAGCAAATGCATAAAATCATTTTATTACATATTCTGCCAAGTTCTATAAACTAGATAATTTTAGGCCTAAATCCCCTATTTTGAAAATTGATCTGTTACGACACTACAGGGTGGTCCGAACTGTATTCCGGAAACTCTGGCAGCATATTCTACAGATAAAAATAAGTAAAAAAGTTTGTATAAATGTATGTCCTAAAATACTTAGTTTCTGTTTAAAAAGAGACCTTTTTTACATAAAACCATGGTAAATGTATATTTTTTTACTCAGTAGTTTTATACAGATACGGACGAAAAGTTGTTACTCTTCAAACCAGTTATAAATATATAGGTGGCGCCGTCTACAAGTAGGACACTGATTGACATCAAAATCAAATATCTCTTGTCAAAAAACTCCAATGTACCAATTTTCATCCAAATATTGACGTTACTTCATAAATTATTTGAAAAAAATCGAAATAAAATGAAACTTCTACACCCTGTATCTCCGAAACTAAGCATTTTAGGACATACATTTACACGAACTTTTTTCTCTATTTTTATCTGCAGAATATGCTTCCGAAGTTTCGGGAATACATTTCGGGCCACCATGTATATACCATAATCAATTTCTTATAAAATTATAGATATTTTAAAGTATTGGCCCTGGCTTAAAGTACATTTTTTTGTTTTTTTAATTTGATTTTGGTGACATTTTTTGACATGAGAAAATTTAACTATCACTATTTTCGGCAGTGAGAATAAAGTTATATTGCCCCCGGCTTTTAAAAAAAGATTACAATTTTGGACGATTAAAACGAAACGTCGTAGATTTCATCTGTAGGCCCTTAGTACTAGAATTCAAAAAACTATTATAAATAGTAGAAAAAAATATAGAATACTTGCATATTGATGCTAGTCTGCGAGTTTTGAAAAAGTTAAACAGCCTTTCTCTTAATTCGTGTAAGTACCTGCTCAAGGCGTTAAACTTACCGAAATAATTCCAAATGCCGAGCAAAGTCAAATAAAATAATTCTATTTAGACCAACACAACATATTCCATGTAAACTTACCTTCTTTGTTGCGTCCTTTCTTCTTGTCTTTTTCCTGAAAAAAAAAATCAGAATGTTACGTAGGAATAAACAAAAAACAGTCAACAGGAATGTTTCATTAGCTTTAAACAAGATTTTTGTATTTTACAGACGGATAAAACACAAAAAATATTTATAAAACAAAAACAAATATTTTTTACTCTGAAGATCGAATACGACGATCATTCATGCATAAATTTATTGAGTAATATTTTGGGGTGTTATACAGGGTGGCGCACCTCATTCGCCTCGGTTGATTATATGAAAACGGAAAGATGTAGAAACAAAATATTTTATGGGTATATGTGGGGAGGCAATTTGCACAATTTAAAATTATTTTGAAATATACAGGGTGTCTCAGATCTAAGATCCATACCAAAGTTATATTTTTTCTTATGGAACACCCGGTATTTTATTTCATTTTTGAATTTTTGGGCCCAAAAAAGGCATTTATTATAGGGGTTAAATATGTTTAAAATCTTTGTTTTTTTAAATATTTAAAGATATTTAAATATGCATGCTACAAAAGAATTAATTATTAACACCCTGTACATTACTTTTCAGAATTAATTCTTGTGCTGAGTTTAAAGGTAAAGAAATAAACTTTACTGAAAAAAATTATTGCTTCCTTAAATCTATACAGGGGTACCAAAAATTGGTGATCTATTTTAAGGATTTATTTTACATAAAAACTTTGTTATTTCAAATGCAACACCCTGTATTTCTTTAAATAAATCGAAGCAGATTCAAATGCTCTTTCAAACTATATTAGGGTTTCCTATACCTATCTATCTCAGATTTTGAATAAAAAGCGATTTTTAAATAAAATGGCAATCAAGATGGCTGGTATCGCCATAGAAATTTTCTAGTGACAGTTAGTAACTATTTTCAAAACCGACATTAGTTTATGGACATTATTATTTAAACAGTTTACTAAAATTTATCCACAATAGTTTAATAAGTCAGTATTCTTTATTTTATGAAGAAAAATAAAACCGTATCTGCTGCCGGCTGGCGGAACGAATTGATATGTTACTAGTGATTTTATTTTGTGAGGAAAATTAGTCAAGAGCTTATGCTTAAAGATATCCAAATAGGAATCTTCCTGATAAGTGTTCCTTTGAAAAACTACTTGTCCTATTTCCTATTTCGCAGAGTGTAGTTAACCTAACCTAACCTAACCTTTCGTTGGAAGTGAAGAAATTGAATTTGCCGTAATTGGCTCTTTTATAGAAAATCCATATATATCTACAAGTTATCGTAAAATAAAACAAACTACTTCTTCGTTTTTCTTGATAGAATAATAAATACGTCTTTATAAATATTATTATTTATTAAACTATTGTAGTTAAATTAAATAAAAGTATATAACTGGTATAAATTTAAAAGAAGTCTATAAACTAATTTCGATTTTGAAAATAGCTACTAATTGTCACTAGAAACTTGCCCTGACGACACTAGCCCTCTTGGTTACCATTTTATAGAAAAATCGCTCTTTATTCAAAATCTGAGCTAGATAGGTATAGAAAATCCTGATATAGTTTGAAACATCATTTGAATCTGCTTCGATTTATTTAAAAAAATACAGGGTGTTGTATTTGAAATAACGAAATTTTTATGTAAAATGAATATTTAAAATAGACCAGCAATTTTTGGTACCCCTGTATAAATTTAAGGAAGCAATAACATATTTAGTAAAGTTTATTTCTTCACCTTTAAATTCAGTACAAGAATTAATTCTGAAAAGTAATGTACAGGGTGTTAATAATCAATTCTTTTGTAGCATGCATATTTAAATATCTTTAAATATCTCAAAAACCAAAGCATTTAACCATATTAAACCCTTACAATAAAAGCCTTTTTTTGGGCCCAAAAATCCAAAAATGAAATAAAATACCGGGTGTTCCATAAGAAAAAATATAACTTTGGTATGGATCTTAGTTCTAAGACACCCTGTACATTTCAAAATAATTTTAAATTGTGCACATTGCCTCCCCACATATACCCATAAAATATTTCTTTCTACATCTTTCCGTTTTCATATAATAAACCGAGGCGAATGAGGTGCGCCACCCTGTATATGTAGTTAAACTTCAGGGAGCGATTTTTGAGCAATTTTAAGACAAAAGTTTGCTTACTTTTCAATATACAGGTTAAAAACTTATAGAAATTAATCGGCATATCCTATACATCAGTAATATTTAAGATAGTATATTTTTTCACAGTATGCTACATTTTTCCTATTAAGTTAAAACTAATAAAACACGCCTCTGACATAAAATGAATTAAATCATGCACGAGATATGAAGCTGAAAAGTCACTCTGGGGAAATTCTAGTACTGGGAAAAAAGTAAATAATTTTGTTAATAAAAATATTGTAAGGCCAGCCAGACGCAAGCCAAAAAAGTACTAAACTAACTTCTAGTGAACATTCGGACTTTCTTCACTGAACTTAGGCAAAGCGACTTTTTGGAAACGAGCAAGACGTTCGGTGAAGAGAATCTGAAAAATGCGCATGCCAGTTTCACACCTTTTTAGTTTTATTTGAAGACACTGATCCCTTTTGACTTTGAGGCGATTGACTTTTGTCAGATACAGCCGAGGGGGAGGGGGGAACGGAATTTTGAACGTCAGAGGGGGACACTAAAGGGATGGAACTTTCGTCTAAGGAAGTGAGCATTTGTTTGGGATTGGAAAGGCCAATTTGGGGCAATATCGTCCGACTTTTAGGTTTTCTCCAATCCTATTAATACAAACAAGGAGCGATTTAGAAACATGCTACATCAGTAATTAGTTTATAGTAGAAAAAGTGTTAACGCATTACATTGTTCTTTTATAAACCAGACAGAACATATAAAAAATTTCTCGCTTTGTTAAACAGAACTAATTGCAACAAGGCACTAAAATAACATAAAACAATGAACATTCAGGAAAAAAATTAAAAATATTTGATGAATATTTTCCTACTTCTGACCCGAAATTTATATACCAGTAAATTTCAAATTTATCAACAATGAAATTGGAGCAAAATACAGATATTTACCTTATCATCGTAGAATCCTTGGTCGTCTGTTCTTTGTTGTCCTAAAAGCCTATCAGTTTCTAAATCCGTGTCATTTTCTTCTGAAACAAATTCTTGAGTAACTATTAAAGTACAGGGTGTGCCAAAAACTTAACAATGAGCATAATTGGAAAATGCACGAAAATATTAAAACTGAGAATATACCAGATATTTATAATTACCTATATTTAATTCACAGTCACAATTTTAATTGGACTACTGATAAAGAGGTTGGCTATCTATGACGCCGTAAATTCTCTTGCGTAATGAAATAGAAGGAAACGTAACTTTCAGAACAAACCAGAAGTCAGAAAATGACCCATCAGTCAAGATAGATAATTTTTTAATAAATGGTGAAGACTAGAGATACGATTTTTTTCCCGATATATCGATAACTGATGTGTGTGTGATATATCGATAGATGATGTGTATTAGTGATTAACCTTTAATCCAAATTATGCCATTGCTAGTCAGATACAATTTGTTTTAGCTTACCATCTTCTGGTCCACTATTCGCTTTTCTTTCAGAATCTGCACTGGTTATGGATAACCCTCTTTGCCTAAAATGACTACCATAAAACAGTTTATATAATGGTCTTTTTAGAACAGAAAAGATAATATATTAAATTTTATTTCGTAATTTAAAAAAACTCGGAATAACATTTGAGTAAAAAAGTAAAAAGTATTTTGTCTGAGATATATTATTTTTATGATTTTTTTTTATAACAGGCATAAGAAACATATTATCTTCAAAAATAGTGGTAGTTTTTTTATAAAATAAATAAAATTTGTAAGTGTAACATTTCCAATAAAGATTCCTTATAAATTAAAAAAAAATCAGCAAAATTGGCACAAATATACATGAATATAAGTAGTTATTATTTTTTCTAAAAGCAAAAATATTTACCTGGGTACCCAAACGGGACTACCACAATTATCCTCGCATTCTTCTTCGAGGTGTCTTTGTAAAGGCAAAGTTTTAGTCCTTTGAAGGGTTAATCTGATGTCTTTAATTGCTGCTTCCACCTCGTTCGATTTTTCGCCACTAACCATGCGATGAGGTGCCGGAGCCGGTGGCGGAGGTGTTTTTTCTGCAAACAGAAAACCATAAAAATATCTTCTATTAAAAATAAGTTAAATAATTTACCTGCTGAATCGTTTTGTGATAGATTTAAAGGCTCCTCAAAACTGTTTAGATTGGTCGGGGATGCATTTACGCTTCCTTTTTCAGGCGATATTCCATTTTCAGAATGCTTATTGTTACCCGGTTTCACTTTGCAAAGACCTAAGAGAGTTTGCATGAATAATATACGTATATATACATATATCTATAACACGGGTAAATAATTACCTTGATTTATTTCGCGTTCTATTTCGGTAATTTGTCGCTTCATCAGCATAACAGTGGGATTATTATTATCTGTATCACTAGCATGACCTGAGGAGAGACCATCTTCCAAAACTGGCATACTGGAATATAAGCGTAAAGAATCGCCAGGAACAGCCAAATCATTATTAGATCCTGTAATTACGATTTAAACTTGCCATATTAAATATATTTGGTTAAAATTAGGAAAAAAATTACCTAAAAGGCCTCCAGAAGGTGCCAGTTCATTTTCCAGGAGCATTAAAGAAACTTCACTATCTAAATCGCCACAATTTGAGTCGCAGTCGGTGGTTTCAGGCGAAAGAGTGAAATTTCTACTATGACCCACCTGAAGTCCCACTTCTGTTTCTCCTAAATCTCCACTAGAGCCTGTACCAATGGACAGGTCCAAAAAATTATTTTCATGCTCGACAAAGTCACGCTCCTAAAACAGGAACATGATATTTAGACTATGTATAAAAGCTTTAAAACAGCCTAAACTCATAAGAGTACTAAAATATTATGCCAATCACATATACGTGTAGGGATGGGATTTTTTTCGATATATCGATAACAAGAGGTGACTTTAAAATTATCGATATATCGTTACCTATCGATGTATTGAATTGATATCAATCAAAATATTGGTATACTGATAGTTATCGATATATCAAAATTTATTTTTGTGGGTATATTTTTATTTGCCTTTTTAAAAGACTTAATAACGCCATTTTTTTTCGAAATCATATTGTATTAGTTGTACATTTCAAAATTATTATATGAAATAAGGTATATTATATTTTCAGTTTTCCTTTAAATTTCATAAGACGAGATTTTTTTATACTAAATACTTCGGAGTAAGGCTGGATTTTCTCGATATATCGATAGCTATTGATGATTATCGAAATGCCAAAAAGCAAGCTGACCTCAAAATTATCGATACCTATCGATATACCGGTAGTTATCAACAAACCTGTAACTATCGGTAATTCGATGCTTATTGATGTATCGATAATTATCGACACTAATCGTCAATACTAAATATACCGATAGGTTAATCTGCGATAAGTTATCGTTATCATGTAAAATCCATTATCGCCCATCCCTATTTACGTGTTACAAAATTAACAAATTCCAAATCCAGAAAAATGTTTTCAGGCCATCTATAATAAGCCTACCTGGTATGGAATTTTAGAATTTGTTACACATTTCCTTGGAGAATCAATGCGCATGCAAAAATCAAGTTCACTGCTTCGACCGTTAGCTAATCTTTTTCCTACATACGAATTTCCAGATTCACTTGCCTGTCGTCTCAATTCGTACTCTAAGTCCTGAAATTCCGTATCGAGCCTCGTTTCTTCCTCTTCTGGAGGGCATTTGAAAAATTCTTCCAGAACTTTGCGAGTTTCCGAGAACTCGTACAGATAATCAAAAGTAGAGGCATTTATGCTTGGCGGCGAAGACGTTCTCTTTAAGAAGGAAGTTATACTTTACTTAAACCTCGATACCAATTAGACCAAAACTTACATTGTAAGAGGTGTTTTCTAGATTGAGGCTTTTTTCTCGTTCGCTTGGACTAGGACTGGTGACTATTCTTTGAGGAAAACCAGGCCTAGGAGGATAAACACTGGGAGAAGCCAGTAAACTCTGTGCACTGGGAAGCTGAATATGTGAACTATTTGTTACAGTTTCTCTAGGACCGTAGCGTTTTGGGGAACCCTCGTAAACAGCTATGGGTAAACTCCCAATAACCTGTATTTAAACATGTTTATTAAATAAGTAGAATTTAAGAAATATCACAGACTCACTTTAGTTACTTTGTCAATATCATTATATAAATGTGTAGCCACAAAATTACTGGATTCATCATGTTGCTCATAATTTTCAGATTTATCTTTATCATCTGACCAAGTTTCACCTATATCATCGAATACTACTACATCTCCAGAGCTAGCCATGTTACTTGAATTTACTAAATGCTCTGAAGAATTTTGTACAGCTTTTTCATGAGTCATCGAACAAACTTCAGAAGAAAAAATGGTTTCCGTATATTCTTGTGAATTCCTCGCCTGCCATTAAAGTTGCAATAATACTCTCAAATAAATAAAATAACATTGCACTTACCTTCTTTATTTCGTTATTTTTTGCTCTCAATTCCCAAACGCCCTGCCTCATTGGAGATTTTTGACTTTTTTTCTCCCCATCTTCCCCCAACAAATGACTACTTTTAGATTTTTTCACCGCTTTCGTTCTACTCTGAGAGTACAATTCTCGTCCACCCGCAATTTCAATTATCCTTTAATACACGATAGTAGAAAATAAAACTAAAATAATAGTAAATATTTAAAAAAATACCTAGAATCTCTCAATTTATACGTTCCAACAGAAACTTTCTGATCAGAAATACTATCTTCATCTTGCGAGTATAGTTGAGAATTATTGTCTCTAGTAACAGTACAGGAACTGTCTGCCAACCATCTATAAAAAATATACGTATATGACAGACAGTTAAACTACTAATAAACTTGGCTAGATTAAACGAAAAATAAGAAGCAGATCTTTTTGTCGTTAATGAAAACTAGAAAGCCACTTTCCAGATATATCTTTATAAACTTTAAACATTCTGATATAATCTTGTTAAAGCCCCTTACTACACATAACGTTTAACCTATGTGTTAAAATGGTCAGATTAGACGAAAAACTAACATATTATATAGTTACAGTAAAGTTTTACATGCCATTTTAAATACTTTTTTCGTAAAGAATATAGAGGAAGCACTGCTTTTATTAATTACAACATTGTCTTTAGTAAACTTAAAAAATAACAACCATTTTACTACATTAACCATTTTACTACAAAATAGTAGTTATGGTGATTTATGGTTTAAGCTAATTGTGAAAATATAGTATCTTTACTAATTATTAAATTTCCCTAAATTTTTTTGTAAAATAACAATATTTTATGAAACTATGCAAAAACATTAGATTTTTAAGCTGGTTGTTATAGATAGTGTATTTTTTTGTTAATTTACTTACATTTGTGTACATTTCAGTTTTCTAGACAATCTTCTATCTAAATTCAGTTCTAGTAAAACAATCCATTTTTTGCACCTACACACAATGTTTTACTTTTTACCTGTGATATTATTACAACTATTACCACCTAAGAGAAGTTTTGCCTGAACCATAGGTATTAGAGCTAACAGGCCAGAACAGGTAAGACTGACTGATAAAATGTTATGTGTAACGGGCTTAAGCATTCTTGTTGAAAATTCTGTAGACTTTTTTGGGTAATTATAGTAGTCCACACAAATTTGAGTTACATTTGAAATATAAAATAATACTTCTCTATTGTCTATCCTAAGCATATCAAGAACACGACTATGTTCAACGATGTTTATCAATGTTTATGAATGAGGATTAGCAAAAATCTGACAGGTTATGATTTGGAGCAAAGAGAAAAAAAACAGGTAGAGGACAATACAAGATCTGCTTACCTATCGTTTTCATTGTGGGTATTCATGGCAGTGTTTGTAGCATTTTCAACACATTCGTGTTCCTTTTCTGAACCACCGATAGGATTTAAATTAATATCACTTCTGGGTCTACACTTGGGAAATAACTTACTAATTTGTTCCGTATTTTCACTTACATCGATATTATCCAAAGGCAAAGTCAAGCTGGTCATTTCTAATTATATAACTTCCATGTTACAGATCTTAAAATCACAGTAAAATCGATTTTTAAAATATTTCTCCATTTTTACTCAACAAACACATCTGTAATTTGACATATGATACAAATGAATCATGATTGGGCCTGAATATACCCCCACTCCACAACTATCAATTTATAATTTTTTAAATATTTAATATCGGCTTTTTGAAACTCTAATTTGTATGAAATCCTTTATAAATAAATTTCAGTAATTAATACGGATTATTGTACTTGACATAGTGTATATAAACTAAATATTTTCTTTAAATCACACTCTACACGCATACTAAATTTTACATATTAATACTTACTTTAATTTATAAAATCATAATATAAATTCTATTTGAAGTAATTATAATATTTTAAATTATCCAACACGTTCAATTTTTAGACAAATCAATATTTATTTACACATTCTCACTATTTTCCTTAATATTTATATATATGATATATTATTTAGTGATGATTGCGTGATGCTAATATAGACAAATCTCTAAATATTTTGGTAATTAAACTTGTTTATTTTACTTGCTCGAGATCACTAGCGTGTACCGCACTGAAATATCACGAAAATTTAGGGTCAAAACATCAATATCCACCCAAAATCAATACTTCCCTAATACACTGTGCTAATAATGTAGGGTATATTTTAATAGAATTGTCCCACATTTGTTATTTTAATTATCAGTTATATACCTAATAATACTTTAAATTTAAAGAAATAGAACTACACATAATATTTATCAAAATAAATAAATTTTCAAGAAATTTTTTAAACATTATTAAAAGACATGCGCCGAAATTCCACGACGCCGCAGATCAGAAAGTTTAAAGATTGGTTTAAAGAGACAACCAATACGAAAAAGATCCTCATACAACATTATAATAAAGAAACAAATAATAATTAAACTTTATAAAATTATTACCAGAAAATGCTCTCAATTTATTAATATAAAAAAATATAAAACTGTTAAAAAAAAGTAATTATATTTTGAATATAGTGTACCTTTTGATCAGTAGATGGCAAAGCAAGAAAAATATTTTCGACAAGTTTCCGATAGATGCTCATCGGTAAATCCCAAAAATTCAATGTTATTGTGGCTGCCTAACAAACAATGAAACAATCTTGTCAGAGTATATTCTTTAGTGTGTTCTGTGAGCAGCGTTGTGCTTGCTATTACAATTGTACTAGATCTATTACAATTAACCAATTGCTATTACGCTATTACTACAATAGCAAAAATCCCTATAATCTATTACAATTATTTGAAAAAAATCACCTTCAACTTTTTTTTGACGATTTTTGTTCGAGCGCTATTGTCTCTCCCACATTCTTCGGCGGCCGCTAAAAAGAAGTTTTCAGATTTAAATTTAATTAAAACAAAAAACAGGAACAGATTTAAAAGTACATTTGATGCTCTTTTACATACTAAGTCTCTTTTATCCAGTACCAAATGTTATAATTTTCAACCCTCGGAGCATCTCTTAAGCCTAAATTTTAATTCAAACGCACAGGATGAAGAACCTGATACCCTTACATTTTAAATTATTATAATGTTCTTACGTTTATAAAGTTTTTTTAGTTCATTTTTAGTCTGTTTTATTTTTGTAATTTTTTTGTTTTTATAGAATAAATTTTATTTTTTTGAAAATTAATTGTTTTATTTGTTTGGTTAAAAAATATGTTTTCAAAAACTGTTTCAAATTTCAGTAATAACAGCTTGATATAACATTTGAAAGAAATTTGAATCTATTACAATTTATTACAATTTTGTAACCAATTCTAGTACATCTGCCTTACATCAAAAGCACAACGCTGTCTGTGAGTATATTGTCAAATTCAAGGTCATAAATGGTAGACAACCTTTTTTTTTAGTTTTTCTTGTATATAAATCTTTCCAGTTCTAAGATATTATTTAAAAGTTTTATTGTAAAAAAATTAACAGTGTTTTAAGTATGACAGTCATAAAGGGACAAAAAACCTACTTTATTAAACCTGGCTCCACACAAGGTTCAGATACTGAATCGTTGCAGTGAGTTGATAATAATATTTCTAACTTTTCTCAAAATGATATGTTAATATTGATGATAACGTTTTATTTTAGTTTGAGTAGTGCTCCAGCAAGTGATACTGAATCACTAAACAACGAAAATATCGAAAGACCTGTAAGGACACATCCATTTAAATATTTACTTACAGAGGAACCAACTCTCTATAAAAAGTCATTTGGAAGAAGAAAACTGAGACGCTATCAGAACAGTTGTATAAAAAATAAATAGTTAGGTTCGATTTAAAGCTTCGCTTATTTTAGGATGTGTTTTGCAAACTTTACAGGAAGAAGATGACAGTGCTTCAGTTATTGTGTTTGAATCAAATAAAAGTCCACTTACGAGGCTTTTAGAAGACGATATTGCTATTGAGTTTTGGAATAAATTTATTGAGAAATCAGAAGAAGAACAAGAGAATATTTTGAATTCACTGTCAGTGAAAACAGAATTGAAATCTAAAATTTCTGATAATGGAAACAATAATGAAATAAGAGGTTGGATTTCATCTAAAACAAAAAGAACATTCAAATTAAAGAAGAACCTTTCCCTTGAAGCTATTAAAAATTATGAGGATGATATGCTCAAATTCTTTTTAAATTCCCCATTTGATGTATATGTAAAAGTTCCATTAACAAGTTTTGATAGGTTGTTACTGAGAGCAATAGCAAGATATCATGGTTTGCAGACCAAAAGTGGGGATATATATATATTTTTTTATTAATACAATTATGTTTGTAATTTTTATTTTAGCTGTTAATTCTACAAATGCAGAGGAAAAACCATCAGTTGAAATATTTAACATCAAAGAAGACTGGGTGAGAGCAAATTGCTTCTTAACTGAGTTTATTCAACAATTGAGATAAAATTGTTTTTTTTTATAAATGTATATTTACTCTTTCTTGAATATTTTTAATTGTATTTGTTAGTTGTATACATACCTATATATGTATAAAATACTGGGTGTAATTTTTATTTAGGTACATAATTTTATGTATTGTAGGAGAACTGAAAATATATATTAGCTTGTATTTATGCTATCAACTTGCTACAGTTGTAGTAAGTAAAAGCATCGATGTTAAATTATTTGAAGATTTTATTTAAATTTTTGTTTATAAATGCTTTTTGATGTTGCTTTTAATGAAATAAACTGCTGAAAATGTCCTGTAAAGGTCTCAGGTGTATTTGATAAACAATACTAAACAATAAATTATAAGCGTGTAATTTATTAATTATTATTGATATAATCTGTATTTATAAAATGCCCTTTAAAAATAAAATCAACTAAAAAGATTAATTTGTTTATTTCACCTTTATATATATATATAATCTCTAGAAGTAAACATGTTGGTCAGTAAGTAAAAAACAGTTTGTTCCTTAAAAAATAGTCTTTGAATAGAAAATATATTTTTTAATTTGATTAAACCTCGTAAAAGGTGAAATGGGTTAAGTAACAATGAGAAAGTTTAAATAATGAGCTCCTCGCGCATGTGTAATTCGGAAAACGGAATATGTTATGCCGCAAACAAACGTATAGAAAGTACTTTCACTGTGGCGCGATTTTCGTATATTGTTTCTCTGATTAAATGTTTTCGATTATCAGTCACATTTCATTCTATCTACGGTGTCGTATGTAACCCTTAAGTAAATTTGAAATGGCCTCCCAGTCTACCTCAGCTATGGAAAAAATCGGCATCATTTGTACTTTTATTGTAGGATTTTACTTAATTCGATTTTTATTAAAGTTTCTATATTTAAACTTTTTCGCACCAACATTAAAAATAAACGCTGTTAAATTAAATAATAGTGTAGGAAAATGGGCTGGTGAGTTTTTTACATTAAATTCATTTTGCAATTTGTTTTTATATTTTTTTTTCAAAAATAAATAACGCTTAAAAAATAAGCCCGTAAAATTGTTATTGCACATCTAATCTTCTTGATTTGATGTCTTTTTTTTGTTCAATTATTTAAAATAAATCATTTAATGCTGCTTTTCCACAGATAATGTTTTACTTAAAATCTGTTTAACTAATATACCAAATTAACGCTATAGAGAAAAAAAAATATGCTATAGGACTTTTGTGCCTCATTTAAATTTTAAAAACTTCAATTCAATTCAAATTTCTTTGCACTATATATTCAAGGTAGATATACGTAACGAGGGTTTTTAGCTTATCAGCAATTTATGGCTTGCGATAAACGAATCGCGCTTGCTTAAACAAAAAAAATATATATAGTTAATAAAAAATGATTATTGTTATATTGAATTTTTTTTAATTAGATTTTTTTTAGTTGTAACAGGTGCTACAGATGGAATAGGCAAGGCTTATGCCGAAGCATTGGCAAAGAGAAAACTGAATATTGTTTTGATAAGTAGAACACAATGCAAGTTGGATGCAGTTGCTCAGGACATTCAAACTAAATATACCATTGAAACGAAAACAATTCAAGCAGATTTTACAAAAAATATTAACGAAATCTATCATGTAATCGATAAGCAGCTTCATGGTTTGGATATTGGTGTGCTCATAAACAATATCGGGATGAGCTATCCATACCCAGAATACTTCCTAGAACTTAAAAACAAAGATGAAATTTACGATAATATTATTAAATGTAACATTTTGTCCGTTACAAATATGTGCAAAATTGTTTTGCCTGGTATGGTTGAAAGAGGCCGAGGCGTTATTATTAACATTTCTTCAATGGCATCGTTAATACCAAGTCCGTTATTAAGCGTTTATTCAGCTTCTAAATCGTTTATTAACAAATTTACGGAAGATTTGGAAACAGAGTATAGCAGATGTGGTGTTACAATTCAATGCCTTTTTCCAGGATATGTTGCTAGCAATATGTCCAAAATTAAGACTTCGACTTGGATGGCGCCTGCTCCATCCAAATACGTTGAACAAGCTATAAGAAGTTTGGGTATTAGAAGTAGAACTACCGGATACTTCCCACATACTTTGTTATTAGGCGTGATAACCTTTTTGGATGCGATTTCTCCAATGTTATCGAGATGGATTAATACTAAAATAATGTTAAACATTAGAGCAAGGGCTTTAAGACGACAAACTCTTTAAGTATTGTAAATATATAATAGTAATAATATTTTCCTATTTATTGTACGAATTTGTTTTTATTTTCCTTAGAAAAGTTTAAATTAAAACTCCGATACTCCTCAATATATTTAATCCACAATTAGATAAATTTCCGTAATATTAGAAAGGGGTGTCCCAAATTAGATTTTATAAAAAATATATTTACTGTTTATTTTGAGCAGAGAAATAGAAATTTTGAGCCACTTTGTATTTTGATGATATCTTGTGGTATTTTGTCTATCGATTTCTTCGTTATGCAACCATATATGCAGATGGGTGAAGTAGCGGTGAAAATGATCAGTTAGTTATTCTATGGATGGCCGATTCAATTTGGGGTTGAGGGTTGAGGCACTTCAGGGGTTGTTTGAACGCTTTATATTCAAACCGTACCCCCTATCGTAACTCATTCTTTCTCTACATTATATTTAGATAAATAGTGAAAGGGATAGAATCATAGAATATAATCTGTCCATTTGCAAGCCTGTGGCGAGCCTCTAAAGTACAAATTGATTGTAAAAATAGTGATTTGATAATGGATATATGGTTATAGTTGCCGGAAAAAATATATTGAGAGCATAAGTTGAAATTTTGTTTATATATTTGCTTATATAATATGTAAATAAATACCAGGGTAATATTTATATCCTCTTAAGGCATAAAGAACATGATTTGGTAGGGTCTAAAGTAGTGCAGTTAATAGTAATATCATGAATAAAAACAACGCTTGGTGGTTAATAACATTATAAATTGAGTGTTACAGAAGAGTTAGGCGCCAGGATTTGAACGTATTACAGGTAAACGAGTAGTACAAACATTATGATTTCAATTGCGCCAAAAATAGATGGAAGTCCAGAAGAAGACTTGGTAAATTCACCCGAAGATCGTAATAAGAAGAAACGCGAGAGTAAAAGAAAAAGATCTCCGTCTCCTCCATCAAAATTAGGTAAAAGAAAAAGTGGAAGATGCCCAATCATAGGCAAAAAGGGTAGCAAAGATGACGAGGAAGACTTAACCAAAGATATGGAAGATCCTGTTCCTGAGCCCAATATTGTTGAAGTGATTCCTTCTCCAAATAGTCAGCCAGTTGCTAAAAAAGATCATGAGTTACAACCCCTGAAAGGGGGGTCTATTACGGAACTTGAGGAAGGAGAGGAAAACTCTCAGACAGGAAAAACTAGTGAAAGCAATGTGCAGGATGAGGGACAAGAAGATAACGTGACAGAACAAACTCATCATATTATAATTCCTTCATATTCAGCCTGGTTTGATTATAACTCCATCCATGAAATCGAGAAAAGAGCTATGCCAGAATTTTTTAACAGTAAAAATAAGTCAAAAACGCCTGAAATATATCTTGCTTACAGGTAATATTCTGATAAGATTTTATGGTTACCAGTCCTCTTTAATTAATTCAAGCATTTTCTTCCAGAAATTTTATGGTTGATACCTATAGATTAAATCCAACTGAGTACATAACTAGCACAGCTTGCAGGCGAAATTTGGCTGGAGATGTTTGTGCTATAATGAGAGTTCATTCATTCCTAGAACAATGGGGTCTTATAAATTACCAGGTGGATACTGATTCAAGACCGACTGCAATGGGACCACCACCTACTTCGCATTTCCATATCCTCTCGGATACTCCATCTGGTTTACAGCCTGTAAATCCACCTAAAACGCCACAACCTAGCGCAGCTAAAAGTTTACTTGACCTGGACAAACCTCAAGAAACGAGAAAACTAGAAGCTCCTGAACCGTTGGCCAGTTTTGGCTTAAAACTAGATCAGTATGCCAAGAAACCAGCTATTCTCAGGAATAAAAATGCTGCTTCTTTAACTCGCGATTGGACAGAACAAGAAACACTTCTTTTGCTTGAAGGTAATATGGAAATATCTTTTTTTTGCCAGTTGCAATATTTATATGTTAATAGGTCTGGAAATGTATAAAGATGATTGGAACAAAGTTTGTGAACATGTGGGTTCTAGAACCCAGGATGAATGTATTTTACATTTTCTGAGACTACCAATTGAAGATCCATATTTGGAAGATCCAGAAGCAGGAGGTGCTCTTGGTCCATTAGCTTATCAACCCATTCCATTTAGTAAGGCTGGAAACCCAATCATGTCAACAGTAGCTTTCTTGGCTTCTATTGTTGACCCTAGAGTTGCTGCAGCAGCAGCAAAATCTGCTATGCGTGAATTTGCTACTATTAAAGATGAAGGTAGGGATATGTAATTTCTTATAAAAGCCCTTCTTAAATATTAGTTTCTTAAATAGTTCCCGCAGCTGTAATGGACGCCCACTTAAAAAATGTGGAGGCTGCATCTGCAGAGGGTAAATATGACCCAGCAGCTAATTTAGCCCTATCAGGAATAGCTGGAACTGTGCCTGAAAAGGAGGATGAAGAAAGGTTGAAGAAGGAAGACAAAGATTGTGACAAGTCTGTTGAAGCACAGAAGAAATCTGCAGAAAACAAAGATGAAAAGGTAGACAAAATGTACATCAAGTGTAAAAAATCACTGGAAAGTGACTGTGTTTTGAAAAATAAGGAAGGTTTTTCATATAAAAAATTTATTAATAATAACTTTCTAGGGAAATGTCAAATCGAAAAAAATTATCTGTAAAACCTCTATTTTTGAAAAAGCAACCACCTGATTTTTTTCCCTCATATATGCACGCGGAAACTACTATTTTAGTGTTAAATAAATAAACTTACTGGGATTAATGACTTTAGGTTAAGACTGAACCTGAGGGTGAAAAAGACGAGAAAATGCATAGCGGGGATGTTAAACCAGAGAAGGCAATAAAAGACAGCGAAATGCAAAGCGCAGCAGCCGCAGCGTTGGCGTCCGCGGCTATAAAAGCTAAACATTTGGCGGCGGTAGAAGAGAGAAAAATCAAATCTCTCGTCGCTCTGTTGGTAGAGACACAAATGAAAAAATTAGAAATCAAATTGCGCCATTTCGAGGAATTGGAAACGACAATGGAGAGGGAGAGAGAAGGTCTGGAGTACCAAAGGCAGCAGTTGATCACAGAGAGGCAACAGTTCCATTTAGAGCAGCTTAAAGCTGCGGAATTTAGGGCGAGACAACAAGCCCATCAAAGGTAAACTTTATAATTTGCAGAAGAGTAATGAGTCTCTATTTATTGTTTGTACTTTGATTATACTGGGTAATTAAAAATTATTGAAATAGTTGGCTCAATGTATTGCCAACTATTCCGATCATTGTTGATCGCTCTATACTTTTTTTAAAATTTTACTATGAAAATATCACAAGTAGTAATTTTTTGCTCTCTAATTTTAATCTCTATTATTTTGTAATTTTAGATTACAAGTAGATCAAGGACAGTGGTCGGGTCAACAAGTGCCATCATCAGGACAAAGTGATGGTTCTAATTCAAGCGACACTGGTGCCAGTACTACTCCGACTCCCCCATCGCCTCAAGCATCAGCAGTCTCCTCCCCTCAAGCACAACCCCATCACCATATTGATTAATATATTTATTTATCATAATAGTAATGTACAAGACATTATTCTTAGTTACTTTACCAATGGCATTTTACCATCTCATATATCATATTTGTTTCAACTAATAAAATATCAGGAGACATAAGTGTCAGCGCTTGATAACATCAAAGTTACTTAAAAATTGGTACATATGCTTTATTGAGAAATTTAAAAAAAAATTAAAATAAGTGAAAATTTCTTCTCAAATATTTTAGATTCAGGGACGCCACTTTTTTACTTTTTTTATTATTCGAACTTTTTGTTTACTCTTTGTATCAAAGGAATTTTATCTTTAATTTATTTTGATGAAAAAGAAATATGGAAATATATATTATGTTTTGTCTGAACTAAATACTTTTTATCTCTAAAAGAAAATTGTTTTATTTGTGCTACCTCCATCATCTTAATGGAAAAATATATACGTACCTACCATTTTTTCTTTAATTTTAACACTAATATTTTAGATTTTAAATTATTCCAAATTACTATACACTCAGATAAAAACTGAAACGAATAAATATTCAATATAATATAGAACTTCTCTAATCCATTATCCAGTACTACAGAACGCAGAACGTCATCAGATTCTCTCGTGTTAATACTTGGTAACTCGGGACTGTGGGGATGTCACTCTCCAAAGTAGCATGTCTATTATGACGTTATTTTTTCGGTTATACTGTATTACCCTTGTATTACGAAGTCATACTATCTCCTGCAGGATTTCTGTTACGTATCTGAAGTCTATTATGGGTAATAATATAACGGTAATTTTACAATCTACGGATTCTAGCTATAAAACCCTATGAAACCTGGATACTTTATTCCATAGAATATGAATATTATATGGAATGACTTAGCTAGATAATAATCTCCGTTATTTATTTTACTAGCGCCTAGCATAAAATAATTAACTAGGTGCCTAGTGCCCCTTTTATTATTAATGTTGATAATAATAGGGGAGAGACCCATAGGAACTCTGGGGGGGCCATTTTGAACTCCTAAGTTATGTATCTGTTTATAAAGAATGGTTAATATTTCATTATTCGTTCTTACTTATTTTTATTTAAAAAAGTGCTAATAATTTCATAATTTGTGATAATTTTTTTGGGGGAAAATGTATGTATTCTATGGGTAATTAAAAAATAGAGGCTCTTTGGCTAGACACAGTGGTGACCTCTATGACATATCTCCACAATTGGATTCAATATGGCTTCAATAACAAAGTAGTCGGCGATTTGTTTTGGAAAAATGTCGACCCTTTCAGTTATAAAAGTACCAAAGAAATGAAATCGGTTTATTAGATACTTTTCCGAAAGTTAGTGCTTAAATTATTAAAAAAAGTGCAACTTAGGGTAGTACTTACAGCACCATGTCATGCCAAGCCCATCATTACTTCCCGACAATTAAAGTGATTTTGTATTTACTTCTTTATCCCTTGGTATATGCAAATCCAGTGGGTAGGTATCTCAACTTATTGTAAATTAGACTATGTATTTTCGGTACGTATTTTTTAGATGAATACATTGATAAAGACCTAAATATAACCATCGAAGTGCTAAAATATGACAACCCTACAAACTTACCCTTAGGTGAGAATGTTACAATTATTTGCAAAACCAAATGGATGTCTAGTAAAATGTTGTGGACTTTTAATGATAAGAATGTTTCTGATCAGGAGGGGTAAGTGTTGCCAAAATTTATTACAAAATAAGTTATATTTTAATTGTACAGGGTGAGTCTTAAATAAGTGCAAATATCTTGTGCAAGGTTGGTAGATTTCCATAAAATAAAAAATATATTTTCTCTTTGCCGTTTTTAAAATAAGTCCAAAATAGCCCAGTTATTTTACTTTGAACATAAAAGAAGTCGTTTATTTTCTAAAATAAATAAATTTTTTAAGCCTAAATTTTGAGAGCCACTGGATTTTGGTTTTTAATTTAACTGGAATTTAATTTTTAAAGGTTAATTTTAAGAACCACTGCATTTTTTCTCTTGTCGTTCTTTTGATTTAAATTTAATCTGCTGCTCTTGTTAAATGTATTATCAAGATATTTTTTTTGAAAAATACAGATATGTATTTTCAATTTATCTTCACGAAAAAACGTGTTTCTTGGGTCCAAATATACCTACCACCCCTAAAAATGTTTTTATTTATTTAAGACTTACCCTGTAACTAGAAAATAGCAAGTTTTTATTATTTTATTAAATTGCGTGGCCCATTTTAGATTTATATGTGAAATGGAAAGTGAAAATATAAACAAAGAAACGGGCAATAAGTTTGAAGTTTCAATTTTACATGTTCTAAATATTAATTTTGATCATGTAGGCAAATATGTTTGTCATGTAGCTGATAAAAACGAAAGCGATATGGACTTGAATATGATCATACTTAATGTTACAAAAGCTGCTAAAATTATAGAAATATCTGCACCAGTCTACACGACTATTCATAATACTACTTATTTGACTTGTTTAATCCAAGGATACCCCATAGAATTAATCAGCTGGTACAAGGATGGCAACAATTTACCTAGTGACATGTGGAGCAACGTTTTTATTAATAAAACTTTGACCAATTCAACTTTGACTATTGAAGTAACAAAAAAAGATAACGGCACTTATACCTGTGTTGCCGGAACACAAATTAATGTAGTTAATGCCTCTACTGCTATATTAGTATTGGATAAACCAGAAGTAAAAATTGATGTTATTAAACCTATAGGTACCAATAAAATATTTTTAAATTGGACTGTTAATGATGGAAACAGCCCTGACAAGCTTAAATATTTTGTTCAATATAAGTCTGATAATGACACCCAATGGTTGTTTTATAGATCAGATATAAATAATACTAAGAATAATTTGACATTTAATGTAGAAAAAAGTAATTCGTTCTATACAGTTATTATAAAGGCCATGAATCCTCAGGGTGAAAGTGCTCCTGCTATTAGTAGTCCTATTAAAATGCTGGATGAGGAGCCTATATTCACCCCAGAAGTGACTGTTACTGGAGTGACGTCAAGTAGCATAACAATAAAATGGAGCATGCCCCCAAACAAATTCCGCGATCACATCCATTATTACGATCTTATTCTCAAGCCTTACAATTCATCTCCTAAACTGCAGGCTAGCCAGCCTGCTGGGGACAGTCTTTATATGTTTTCCGACTTAGATTCAGCTACAACTTACAGTTTTCAAGTAGCGGCATGTAGCGATTACAGCCGAGAATGTGGCCCGTGGTCTGAAATTGTTAATGGAACTACTATGGACGGCATTTCAGGACCACCATCAAATGCCTCTGTCGAATGTAGATTTGACAATATAAGTCACAAAAATTTTGTTTATGTCTCCTGGGGTCCCCCAACTGAGTCTCACGGAATAATTCAGTCTTACAACGTGAACTTAGAGGGAAGTGCTGCATATATAAATGAACAAGGAGTCTTGGAGCACATTACATGGGGACCTAAAGTGACGAGCACTAGTGAAAAAACGTTAAATACGCGATTTTACAATGTGTCAGCTAACACTAATTATACAGTTAGAATATCGGGGGTTACCAGATTAAGAAAAAATGGACACGAGGTCACATTATCTTGTACTATGCCACCTACCTTGCCGGATAAACAAAAAATATCCAGAATACACTGGCAGAAAATGGAAGAACAGGGCAAGTGGTTGTTTAAGTTGATAATGCCAAGAATATCTGAACGGAATGGACCGATATGTTGCTACAGAATCTATTTAGTTAGAATGGAGGATCAACAAAAACTGTCAGAGTTGCCAACCCCTGAAGACCTTACTATAGTTTCATACCAAGAAGCACACAGGACTCCAAGAGGAGGAGCTTATGTTGCAGAAATGTTTCCAAGGTTTGAATATTTTTATTTTTTTGCATAACACCTTATATAATACTGATCATGTTCAAAATTTATTTTTTATTACACTCTTTCCTAACACTGGAAGGCAACATTAAGGTCATTTGTTTGTAGCACAACATTCCACCAAGAAATATTTCTTGGTGACGACCAAATGTTCAACTCCTCAAACACTGAATGTGATGAATGTATTGGTTTACGACCTTACAACACACCCAGAGTAGATAAAGACAGAAAATTAAACAAAAGTATTTCTAACAGGGTCAGAAGGGATGATATTCTTAGTGATCCGTTACCACCTTATGATGGAAACTTAGATATCAATAGCAATTATACTGGTTTTGTCGAAATTATTGGTAATTCTTTTTAATAATTTTTGATCTAATTTTCTTTTTTATTCATTAAATTAATATGTTGTAGTGCATGCTAATTCGGATCCTCTGTACATGGCAGCATACAGCAGTTATTTAGATATGATGAATCCAGGTCCAGAAGTATTAACAGCTCCACAAGCTGAAACTCTGAGTCTCGTTTTTCAAGTTCTGTGTGGTCTGATGGTAGTTATTTTGCTGCTTCTTGGCGTCCTCTGTATTCTTCATCAATATACTAAACAAGCCCATGCTCAAGCTGTTGAAATGATCACGTTTAGAACATCATTGCGAAATCTGCGCGGCCGTCAAAGACTTGTCTCCCTAAATCCACCTGATATGACTCCTCTGAATAAAGCAGATTTAGTCTCAGCATATATAGAGCATCACAGGGATTCAGATTATGGATTTCAGCAAGAGTTTGAGTTGCTACCGGATCGGTTTTCAGATCGAACGACTAGAGCATCAGACAGCAAGGAAAATATATATAAAAATCGTTATCCAGATATTAAAGCTTATGATCAGACGAGAGTGAAGTTGTCACAGATTGACAGCGTTGCTGGGTCAGATTACATCAACGCCAATTATGTCATGGGTTACAAGGAACGAAAAAAATTCATTTGTGCTCAGGGCCCAATGGATACCTATGTAAACGATTTCTGGCGAATGATTTGGGAACAACATCTGGAAATGATTCTTATGTTAACTAATCTAGAAGAATACAGCAAAACTAAGTGTGCAAAATACTGGCCCGACAAAACCGACGGCGACAAGATATTTGGAAAAATCACTGTAACACACATACAAGAAATCCGCTATTCTGACTATATTGTACGAGATTTAAGGGTCTGCAAAATCGGAAACAGTAAAGAACTTGAAGAACGCCGAATAAGGCAGTATCATTATCTGGTTTGGAAGGACTTCATGGCCCCTGAACATCCAAACGGAATCATTAAATTTATTAAACGAGTTAACGAAGCCTACTCTATAGAAAAAGGTTGCATCTTGGTTCATTGCAGTGCTGGCGTCGGTCGAACCGGAACCCTGGTAGCGCTGGATTGTTTGCTTCAGCAATTAAACGAAGAAGGAGAAGTTTCCATTTTTAATACCATTTGTGATTTGCGACACCAAAGAAATTTCCTTGTTCAGTCCTTGGTAAGTATTCAGATCTTAGATTGAAATATAAGTCCTATACAAGCTACTCTTTAATACCATAAATATATTTTTTAAATATGGCATAAATCTCTATGTAAATATTTTTTTATTTGTAAGTCATTTTATTATATCAAAAATTAATGGTTTTCCTAACATTTCTACACCCTTAGAGCACCGGCAAACACCGGCAAAATCGGTGCCGGTTCCGGCAGTGAAATAGATTGAAATATAAATAAATTAGCTCCTTTACATATACTTCGGTCCGGTAAAATCACAGATTAAGTATACTATATGTATACAGATAAAAATCTTATCCCTAATTCGTGGTACGAAAATTGTTTTTTATGTCGATGTGCAAACGAGTAAAATTTCCTGTGCGCAAAAATAAACTCGCGTCAATAACAATAAACAGCGTAACAGAGAGATATCGCTAAACCGAATAGCGTGCATGGACGTTAATAGGGCCAGGTGTTATTTCCTTTACGTGAGGTGGTATTAGAGAACAACGGCATACGGTCGAGTCGGCCGCTGCTGGCACGTATACGTAGACGTAAAGAATCTTTTTCATGTATAAAAAATAAAAAATATAAGAAATGCGCATGCGTACGTAAACATTTACGTGTTTGTAGGCCGACTCGACCGTATGCCGTTGTTCTCTATTAACTCTCTTCATTTATAGTTATCGGATCGGAAAGAATGATTGATGATCAATCTGAAATGCGTCGCGTCCGCTATTTAAACTTAACCTAACTTTGAATTTAAAACTTTGAAATTGTTTTGTTAACTAGGTATTTTAAAACTAAAGGGCTAAAGTGCTTATTCACAGTGCTTTATTGTTCAACGTCTGCCAGTGGGTTTAAGGCAACAAGCAACAAATTCTCTTAGAAGGGCTAAGTCGTCATCTGCTGTAAACCTAAGCCTCTTTATAGGTTCTTTAATATTGGAAGAGGTGGAATCCATATTTTGGGGCATATTTATTTAATTAAAATTTATCCCTTAATTAATACTTAAATATTAAATTACCTAATAAAACTGAAGTAATAATTCAAAACAATTCAAACATAACCTAAAATAAAAGATCTCGCCGGCCGGCCCCGGTTGTCAAATTGTCAAATACCCGCACATGCCCATTTAAGCAATTTTTAAACGTTATTTAGAAATAGCGCTTAGTGTAATTGATCCGCAAATTACGTCAGGCGGTAACGTTATTAGCGGGCGTTGCGTTAAAAATTGACTCGCGCATATCGTAACCATGATAAGGTACGCGTAAATACTGCATGACGCTATTCGGTTTTCCGATATCTCTCTAATAACTGTGCGGTCAGGCGCTGTGCACAATTTTAGAGGCCATAAGTGGGCGTGCTATGTGCGCAAACTAGTAACTTAACCAGTGCCCGATTACGAAAATTGGAACCACGAAAAACAATAAAGAAAAAACAAAATTTATAATCTGCATAATCTGTGGTAAAATAGTCGTGGAACTCGTGGACCATCAAATACTATAGAATTAAATACAACTGTCGGAACGTGTGCAAAGCCGGCGTAGCTTAGGCTTGTATTCATGTTTAAAAAATAACTATTTTCGCTTTGGTAGAAAATACATAATGTTATTAACATTAATGTTTCTGAAGGTGGAATTCTCAATATTTTATTATTAAGAGTATTTTAAAATCTGAAAAAATAAGTATAGGGTGTGCCATTTAAAAAAGCGAAAATGTTTTAAAGTATAGTCAAGACATAGATTTATTTTGATCACTCACGAATTACTTAAAATAACTTTTCGCAAATAAAACCTCATGGGCGTGATTCTGGGGTCGAGCAATACTACCTGTTAAAATATTTGCACTTATTTCTCAGACATCCTGTATGTGTTTTTTTCATCTATATAAAACTTCTCTACCAATAATAATGAGTTATATTTTATATTGTTGAAACACTAAAAAACTTTTTTTTTAAATAATATAATAGGAAAACTGCTAGTTTTAGGTATGTAATTACATTTTTCTTTATTCTTAGAAACAATACATTTTTATCTATCGCGCCTTGATGGAAGTAGCACAGTATGGCGATACGGAGATAGCTTTAAACGAACTGAAAACCACTGTTGACAAGATACGCGAAATAAACAAAGACAAGAATAAGTGCAAGCTAGAAGAAGAGTTTGAAAATATCGTGAACGCTTTTGAAGATAGGAAGTCCTGTTCTGTAGCTAGCGGGGAAGAAAACAGGGATAAAAATCGTTCTGAGTCTGTCATACCTTATGACAGAAATCGTGTCATCTTAACTCCTCAGTCAGGAAAAGAACATTCCACTTACATAAACGCCTCGTTTATCGAGGGATACGATAATAGCGAATCTTTTATTATCAGTCAAGACCCTATGGAACAAACCATCCTTGATTTCTGGAGAATGATCTCCGAACAGGGGATCAGCGTCATCGTGATGCTTTCTGAACTTGGCGAAAACAAATGCGCACGCTACTGGCCTGAAGAAGGTACAGAGGCGTGCTACGATCATATTACTGTCAGGTATGCCCAAGCGGAGACCTGTCCTTATTATACGAAAAGGGAGTTCTATGTAAAAGGAAGAGATGAAGAGCACAAAGTTACTCACCTTCAGTATCATGGTTGGCCTACGGTAGATGGAGAGGTATGTTGAATTGATATCTTGTACAGTTGCAACTTAATTTATGGCTTTTGCTTGTAGGTTCCTGAAGTTACTAGAGGTTTAATTGAGCTGGTTGATTATTCCCAAACTGCTGTTATTAAAACTGGCTGCTCTCCTTCTATGGTAGTCCATTGCAATTTGGGAGCAGACAGAAGTTCAATGTTTGTGGGGTTAAGTATTTTGGTGCAACAGCTAAGAACAGAGGGCAGAGTGGATGTTTTTACCGTTACTAGAAAGCTCAGGTCCCAACGCCAGGCTCTTATTAATTCATATGTAAGTACCTTTGAAATCTATGAATAAAAAGACTATGGAAAGAGTATATCATTTATAGTCACGCATTAGAGGCGGAAACGACATATGGCACCCCATTTTTGCTAATTTTGTTTGGCCTTTGAATTCACACATTTGAATTTGATTTGAAATTTTGCCGACTTGTTAGGTTTTTCTGAGTTTGTCTTGTTATTTATTATTCTTCTACAATAATTGGTTTTATTCAGAGCTATTAAAAAGAAAGATATTGAGTCGGCCCTAGATTATATTTTTACACGTTTCATATAAAATTAGAATGACACTGATAAACCAGAATTTAAGCCAGCCATGTTAATCGCCCATCGCGTTTGACCCAAGCTTGTAGATATGCTCCTTCCTTAATTTTTTAATTCAACGTTTCAACGTTCTGGGTCGCCATGTGTATTTTCTTTTTTAGGCACAATATGAGTTCCTGCATAGAGCCATAGTTAATTATGCAGAACTTCATGGCTTGTGTGAATAGGAAAAAAAATCAACCATTTTTTGTGTGCCATATGTTCAAATTGTCATTCCAGAATTAAGCCACGCAGTTTGGCTTCAAAGGATGTCTAGATATTTTTATATGTGCTCCAGTTTTGTATATCATATATCCCTAGTATTTGTAATGAGATTATTCCATTTTCAGAAGATAAAATAACTAATAATGAACAAACTCTACCGCAGAAAACGGGAATCTGTGCTCAACTTTTTTTAACTGCATGTCGGATTACTAATATATTTCAATCTTCACATTCATATCAATATAAATTTATGTTATAGTTGGAGCTTGTAAGTTTTAAAAAAGTATAGCACGTTTTTAGCTGCTCCACCAGCTGTTTTGTTTTGTGATATATATATATATATATATGTAACTCTTTTGTCTTCGCGTTTAATTTGTCGAATAATTAACACTGGACTAAAAATAAATATAGTATTTGTGAAATATTTTATAATCGTGAAGACAGGCTTCCTTCTTTCTTTTATGTGATGAAATTTATATGGTAATAATTTGTATTTTTTGAATCTCGAAACTCTCGAATTGTCTCTCATATCTAGAATGAACTGAAAGGAAAAAATAAGCAATTTATATCAGTTTTGAAACTGATGGTGTGAGAGGTTGTTCAATCTGGTATCAGTAGTGCTTTTTGCCTAGATTTTACTTTTATCAGTGTGTCTTCGTCAGTTTTGTATGTTATTCTTGTATATAAGTTGATATTATTATCTCTAGGTGAAATACAAAATTAAGACTGTAATTTATACGGAATTTATGCAGCTAAGGAATATTTATTTATATTTTTAACTTTAGTTGACTTCTAATTTTTTTATTTCTGATAATAAAAATCGTACACATAATACACCTATAGTTAGTTTTTCATCCCTACATCAAAATTATCCCTAATGATATGCTGTATAAATAAAAATATATACGGGGTATACCATAGTGCTCTAGCACTAAACTGTAACATGTTCCACCTATATAACACTAAAAAAATAAAGTAAGCTGTTATATTCTCAAATTAAATCTCCAAATACCTAATACAAAATAGTGGTAAATACGAAATAGTAATAATAAAAAAAACAGTAAAATGGATAGTTTTTGTGAAAAACAAATAGGTAAAAAATTGATAATAAAATCTTAAAAAACTTGATTAAAATAATTCATTCAATCTATTTAATTAGTTGCTGTATTTCAGTGGTCAATATAAATCAATAAGCGCAGCTCACGTGAAAATACAAAGGTTACGCAATAAAACTTTTGGTTAGGGTTGGTCTATTGTATTTTTTTTTCATTAATTTACACGTATTTTGTGTACGTAATTTCTTATTGGGTTTCTTAACTAAATGTAATTTGATAATCTATACAAAATAAATATACTATCGCGTAATAATTGGAAATGAAACTACCATTCGATTTTGAAAAAAATGTTATTCTTTACAAAAATACTAATTTACGTTGCAATAAATAAATAAATAATAGTATAAGTAATGCACCTTTGGTATATTTAATGTCTTTTGTTCGAATTAGTCTTTTTCTTCTGACTGGCTGTCGTTTTTTTACTGAGAGGGGGTTTCTTCTTAGCACAGGGAATCGCTGTACATTTTAGATGTTTGTTTGCATATTTTTCACTGTTACTCATATACCTTCCAAATGTCCCCGGAGCTATTCTTTTTAGTAATCTAAAAAAATCAATTTCAGAGAGGGTACATTTAATTTTTCATAGGAAGTTACTTATAAAACCTATTATCCTCAATGCTAAAGCTCCTAGCGGTCTTTGTTAATTCACAAGCAAACCTCTCAGCACAGTGACCTTCGATAGCCCTTATTGCGAGCTTCGTCAAATCATCCAGCTTTTCGTTACCGTTTTTTGGCTTTTGGTTACCTTTCATCCCAAATTTTGGAACAAGTACCATTGAAACTAAAGCCATGACTGCCATGCCAACGAATCCAGAAATTGCCATGAAAAGAGGTTCCAATGGTTTTTTTTCTTTCTTCATAGCACTAGTCTCTTGATTGATTGTTATGTTATGCTAAAATACGAGATGTTAATCCAACAAAATTGTATTACAATAAAAAGCGGGTAGATATTTATCAGTGCCGTAACGGTTCTTAAACAGAGCGTGTCACGGCAAATAACTACTTCGATTGATATATTATTGGTAAAAAAAATAAAAAAGGGATCTCACCCAAGAAAAGTGGAAGCAAAGTGAGTATCCAGCTAGGGTACCTCGGGTTTCCCAAGCCCGTACTCACAAGACTTGTGCCCCTGAGGGCTAACTGGGAGAACCTATACATTATTCAACACCGAGATCCACTCAATGCAAAAAAATACATGAGGCATGTACTTGAACAGTAGTACAGTAGTCTTTTTTAGAGACAATAATAATATTATATTTTCTCATGTATTTGTTTGCACTTGGTGCATTTTGTTGGGTTGCCATTTCTTTGCAAAGTAAAAAAAGGACATTGGACCAGGGTTGGAAAAAATCATGATTTTTTTTATTTAAATCAGATTTTTTTGATTTTTTTGATTTTAATAGAAAACATTATTTAAATCGGATTTCCAAATAATTAGGACTTAATTCCAATTAAATTCTTATTCTAAATGGTTAAATCGTCATAACTCTGCCCAATACTGACAACATTAACAATTCTACGGCGCGTGTCATTTTCCCAGACATCGGTCACCAATATAATCTGCAAAAAAAGTCGCTCGCTTCAGATCAAAAGGATTTTTTTGAAATGCCACAAGAGTATTAATTTTTGTCATTTCAACGCCTAGGCATAAAAGTAAATCACTTTTACGCCTAAGCACAAAAGTACCAAAATATATTATTAAACTGATATTAAGCGTCAATTTCAACGTTTTTTTTTTTTTTTTTTTTTTTTTTTTTTTTTTTTTTTTTTTTTTTTTTTTTTTTTTTTTTTTTTTTTTTTTTTTTTTTTTTTTTTTTTTTTTTTTTTTTTTTTTTTTTTTTTTTTTTTTTTTTTTTTTTTTTTTTTTTTTTTTTTTTTTTTTTTTTTTTTTTTTTTTTTTTTTTTTTTTTTTTTTTTTTTTTTTTTTTTTTTTTTTTTTTTTTTTTTTTTTTTTTTTTTTTTTTTTTTTTTTTTTTTTTTTTTTTTTTTTTTTTTTTTTTTTTTTTTTTTTTTTTTTTTTTTTTTTTTTTTTTTTTTTTTTTTTTTTTTTTTTTTTTTTTTTTTTTTTTTTTTTTTTTTTTTTTTTTTTTTTTTTTTTTTTTTTTTTTTTTTTTTTTTTTTTTTTTTTTTTTTTTTTTTTTTTTTTTTTTTTTTTTTTTTTTTTTTTTTTTTTTTTTTTTTTTTTTTTTTTTTTTTTTTTTTTTTTTTTTTTTTTTTTTTTTTTTTTTTTTTTTTTTTTTTTTTTTTTTTTTTTTTTTTTTTTTTTTTTTTTTTTTTTTTTTTTTTTTTTTTTTTTTTTTTTTTTTTTTTTTTTTTTTTTTTTTTTTTTTTTTTTTTTTTTTTTTTTTTTTTTTTTTTTTTTTTTTTTTTTTTTTTTTTTTTTTTTTTTTTTTTTTTTTTTTTTTTTTTTTTTTTTTTTTTTTTTTTTTTTTTTTTTTTTTTTTTTTTTTTTTTTTTTTTTTTTTTTTTTTTTTTTTTTTTTTTTTTTTTTTTTTTTTTTTTTTTTTAGTATTATCTATTGTCAAAGTGTAAAATAAAAAGATTAAAACAGCATATTTTCTGACAACGATTTGAAGATATAGTCTAACATCAAAAGAACCTTTTTCTGCACTAGAGGTTGCGAATGGAATCTATTCGAACAGCATTTTTTTGTCACTTGTACATAAATTTCAAAATAAATCCCTGCCCTTTAGAAGTCTAATGGATTCATACGAAATTACTTACAAATCGGTCCAATTACAAAAATCGGTCCAACATTTTAATTGATGAATAGATATGTAATATCCTTGTAATATGTATATGTGTTATACAAATCATTTTTATATAGTTTTATAACATTTACAATTTTTCTCGATTTATTAAACGTATTTAAACGTTACAATAGTAAGTGTAACATTTCATTTAACGAATAGATATAGGGTATATATCTATATATGTTATAGAAATATTTTTATAGTTTTCTAGGACACATTTTTATAACTTTTATAGTTATTTTTCGATTTTTTGTGAAGTTTTAAAAAAGTTGATTTTTTGATTTAAATCACATGATTAAAATTTAAAAAATCACTTGATTTAAATCACGATTTAAATCATGGTTTAAATCATTTGATTTAAATCATGCCAACCCTGCATTGGACTATGAAAAAGGACCGGGGAGGGAGGGGTGTAACCTGTTTATTGGGAACTGCTGATTATAAATCGGTACTTTAAAATTTTGAAAAGCTCTTTTAAGATCAAAATTGTTAAAAATAAAACCTAAACCTATTAATATTGTGTCTAAACCATAATTTCAGATTAAACGATGAGTTCTAAAAAATAATGTTGCCCATTACAGGCGAAACACAAAAAGTAATTTTTACTCCGAATAATATAGAACATGCTATTTTTTCAAACCTTCACAAATAATTTTTGAAACAATTTCTAACGTTGCAAATAATATAAAAAGGTTTAAAAGTACTGGAAGTAACTATGTATCGAGAAATTATGGTTACATTCGTTGAATTTGACACTTATGTCAGTTTAATAATATATTATGGTACTTTTGTGCCGTAAAAGTACTTTACTTTATGCCTAGGCCAAAGACTGCTAGGCATTAAAATGTCTTTTTTATATTGCAGTCACGTCGTAAAAATTAATACTTTTGTGACGTCTGAAAAAACACATTTATTTATAAGTTTTATAACATGTCTATTTAAATTTGGATAAAAGGAATAATGCTGGTTGCTGTAGATAATTTTTTCAGGGAAAATGCGTAAATAAAAAGGACTTTTTGGGTCAAAAAAAAGTCAAAAGGATAATTTGTTCCAAAAAAGGGCAGATGGCAACCCTAGCATCTTGGCTTTGAATTACATATCTATACATCTTAATAATGTACGTTTTGCTATGCCAAAGTAATTTTCGGTGAAACACTGTATTTTTACCTTTCACTTTCTCGAATTAATTTAAAAAAAAAATCAAGATTGTGTAGTATTATTATTCTGATTATACGCCCTAGTTAAGACACCGATCAAAAGATGAGTAGGATAATTTATTAATAATACAAATATTAGTAGGATTAGGATGAAAAGTATTTTTGTGTTTTAATCTGTTAATATTACATACCTGATGGTGGTGTGAGTGGTATGTAAAAGGAGGTTTGTATGTGGTAAGCTCCTTATGAGGGTGTAAGTATTTATGATAAGTAGTCTAAAAATGAAATCAGTTGTGTTTAATTTGATTAATAAACATGAATTGATCTTTATTTTCTGTTTTACACCCCGTTATCAAGTGGATACTTAAAAATTCATACATTCCAAGATTGTGCCTAAAGACTTTTATATATATTATTTATTTTAGTCAAGTCGCACATCCAATTCAATACCGCCGCCATAACTGAGATAAGGTTATAAATCAATACAAAGGTGACTATTTACCGCTTGCAATACTACCATATCATGAAAATTCATATCTTAGTATTTTCTTATATCTGGCTGTATGGGAAATGCATTAATAATTCAATGTAATACCACTAAAATAAAATATAAGTCTGTAATCCTTTTTCCGAAAAATTTCCAGTTATAGCAGTATTGAATTGGGCGTGCCAAGATTTCCAAGCCATTTTGGTTAAATCAATAATATGTATATTCAGGGGTCACAGTCTATATATATATATATATATATATATATATATATATATATATATATATATATATATATATATATATATATATATATATATAATATATGTCCAGAATATATATATATATATATATATATATATATATATATATATGTCCCAGAGGAAACAACAAAACAAAAAATAAATAAATCGTGTAGCCTAAAGATTTTGAGTCCTTTACTTGAGAATGGGGAGTGAAAATAAAGAGTAAGAAAGTTCGAAATATCAGTTTTTTAATGTAATATTGTCTGCCACCTTCAAACAAAAATGAAATTGCTTACGGAGGCATCAGTAGGATGGGTTAATTTATCGAAGAAGCTTTTTAAGGGGTAATAGTAATAATAATATCCAGAATCTTCAGTTGGAATTTCTGCGCTTTCTTCGTGATAAAAGGGTTCTTTTATCGATTCTTCGCTATCTAGATGATGAACTGCGGCATGTATATATTCGTGATCGCCTGTATCTAATTTTAAAGTTTCTCCCTTCCTAACAGCCTCCTGGTACAAAGCTGCTAGTTCTCCTTTGGTCAACGTCAACGGTGGTACCTCATCGGAGACCTGCAAGAGGAATTATACTTGACCTTTATTGCCTCAAGATATTTTTTTTATAAAGTGAAAAAACTTTTCCAGGTATAAAATCAGAATTGCTGTTACCTACTTTTAAAACCGGTTCGTGAACTCTGTAGAAAAATACCAATCGAATTAATTTATTTTTAATTCACTAACATACGTAGATATTTGCGTAAAAAAGAAAAAATCCATAAAATAAGTGCGATTTTTTTTATATAATATGTAATATGTAGGGTTTCTTATACGTAAAATTTTTGATCGTATGGTATATATGTTGCAAAAAAATTCAGGTGGTGATTGATAGATTGGAGGAGATTCTAATATGTAAAACTTTTTGATAGTATTGTATATATTAGTATAGATATAGTATTGGTATACAGGGTGTCCCAGGCTGAGCGTGAATTAGAAGTTTCTAGAGAACTACAATATCTAGATCGGAGATTTTTTGCACATTACTGTTTCACAACGGGATCTATCGATTAAAAATAGTTTCAATATGGCGGTACTTCCGGAAATAGAAGTTGACAGCAACTAAATTAATTTTTGAAATAGAAAGCCACATGTCTCTCCTTTATGCCACAGTGGCTGTTGTAATAACTAAATTTGTCGCTTAGGCTATATAGATTTTTTTTGACAGGCAGTTTTTTTCCTCCAAAAATTTTAAATATTTTTTTCATCCAAACGGTTAATGTTAGATACAGAGTATTTGATATCAAAATTCATAAAATTTTACAGAGAATTTAAGTTTGTAATAAAAAATTGGTGTACCCATTTAAAATAAGAAAGTTGTTGTCAACTTCCGGTAGTTCCGGAAGTGCCGCCATATTGAAAATATTTTTAATCGATAGATTTTGTTGTGAAACAATAATGTGCAAAAAATCTCCGATCTAGATTTTGTAGTTCTCTAGAAACTTCTAATGCACGCTCAGGCTGGGACACACTGTATATTAGTATTAGTAGGTACATATATATACAGGGTGTTTCAAAAAACATGTGCCACTTCTTGTGGGGAGATTCTTCACGTAAAATAAGATTTATTTTTTATATGAACATAGGCCCGACGATTCTGTTTGTTTCATAGATACAGGGGGTTAAAGCCTTAATTTTTGTCGATTTATTTTTTTCAAGTGCCTTTTAGTGATTCGGATGAAATTGTGAGGGTAAAAGTTATTATAAGCGCTACATATTTTAAAGCCAAAATGAACGTCCCGGATGAATCAATCGATACTTTTTTTACATTAAAATCAATCGCACTTACAGTAACTTTTACCCTCAAAATTTCATTCGAATCACTAAAACCACTTTTAGGAATATTATAATAAATAAAAAAAATAAGATTTTAACTCCCTGTAGCTCCGAAACAGAGCACAATCGGACGTATCTTGATATACAGAAATAAATCTGATTTTTACGTGAGGAATCTCTCTACGAGAGATGGCACCTGTTGTTTGAAATACCCTGTGCTTGTAGGTTCCTACTTCTTAAAAACTAGATAATTTGTTGTTTCCTTATTATATTAGAAATATTTTTACGGTTTACTTTACCCCTTATGTTTAAATTATGTACCTGATGACTTCTGCTAAGTCCACCATTATATTCATTGGTTAAATGTTTATCAATTCTCCTGATATTCCTAGTTGTTTTTAAATTTTTTAAAGTCCTAATGGCATTTTGCAAGTAGTGCTGATTGGTCTCATCACAATTAACTAGCTGAACCAACCAAAGATATATTAAGCTGCAGAAAATGTCCCTAAAATTAATTTACAGCATATTACAAAACATGATTTAAGTTTTACTTTGTTGTTTTACATTGTTGTTTTACAACGTCGTTGTACAATTGGTTTCTGTGTGATATATTACTCGGTGATTATTACTCTACTCCACGTATTTAGTTAAGTTTAAACATTTATTTGTTATAAACTATAAACTAGAGAGACTAGCTCATTAACAGTTTGACTATTAACATAATTTTTTTAATTTCTAAAGTAGGTAAACTATTGTTTTTGACCACAAATAATATTTTCTAATTTTAAATTAATTCTCATAGAAAATCGAATGGGACCGGTACACAATTATATTTAAAGCATATATTCAATTATTGGGTCTTAAAAGTCCAAGTCTATTGTGGAATTACATAGTACATTTAAGGTTTTTATTCCGTTATGTCGATAATATACATTTGTAAATTTATTAAAGCGTGACATGAGAGTTGAAAAAATTGACATGGTTTTATATTTACTTGATTTGTGTTTTTTGTTCAAACAATTTTAAGGAAAATAAAAAAAAATAAAACCAATTAACGCCAGGGATTTACAGAAATAACTATATATTGGAACACATAAAAAAAGCGCGGCAAAAATTGAGCGACGCGTTTGAATTTGAGAACATTATTAATTAAATACAGTCCATTAGAAATGATGTAAAAACGTATTTATATTTGAATTTTTGAGCGTACCTTGCCAGCATTTTAATTCCTCGGTATTAGATCAGATATTCGCATTATAAACACACACTCGATAAAAATGACAAGAGCTAGAGTACCACGTTTGGTTGACGTTTTTAAACTGAGTACGAAATTGCGGCAGTACCAGTAAGGTTATACCACACATGCATGTAGTTTTACCGGTATTAATAAAAATACGGTGCGACAGAAAAAGAAAACGTCCTATTTAAGTCGCTCGTATTTTGTGATACTTTGATAATATCCGATTAAATTATAGAGTGTGATGTGAAGGGTAATATAACATGTGTTTATATTAGTTTATTTTATTTTTTCGATCAAATAACTGCTGTGACCCACATTCCGATTTATTCTGATTTTTTTCTTCGTGATATAAGAGTTAACTATTAACAAATGTTTTAACGTAAAATTAGTTATCACGGAACCGAGTTGCAACACTGTCTTGATAACAATGAACGAACAGCAAATATATTTTTAAGATCGTACTTGTTTTGTAGTTTTTAAAATTAGTTCAAAATGATATTTCGAAGGGTTTTCAATTCGATGGTTTTGTCCCCAGCTGGGAAAGAGTTTCAAAAAGTTATCCAAAGTATCCTTTTTTATTTTTAATTTTCCTAACAATCTTAAAATAGATTTATTAAGTAATTTAAGTTTTTCTTAACCTATATTCGATGCATTTAGAGAAAATCATTCACATAAAGGTATGTATGTTTAGAGATATTTTTAGTATTTTCCGAAAAAGAATTTTTTATAAAATTTCCATGAGACTAATGTTTATTTACAGATCACTCTAGGTCATTATTAAATACGTCACCTAGTCGATCGCATCATACAGTGTAGGAAAATATTTTATTTTCGGACAAAAATAGTTTTTCTTAGATAAAGTTTAAATTGTATCAATAACAACACAGATAGCGTAAAGCAATGGATAAAAATAATTACTTAATTTGTTGTTGCTAATATAGAAAATAAGTATTTTTTACAAACTAATTTTAATAGTTTGGTTCAATTTTTTAACTGTTATAATTTATTATTAGTTTTTATTCTACATTCTAAATATTTTTTTCACAAAAATAACGTTTTTTGTTTAAATTTAATAATTTAGGAAATTTTATTAATTTAGAAAGTAATAGATTTAATTGTTATTAACTGTTAGGCTTCATTTTATAAATATGTCTATTAATTTCAGTTGCTTTTAACTGGGAAGATGCCTTCAACCTTGAAAGTCAGTTGTCTAGCGAGGAAAAACTTATTAGAGACCAATTTAGGGAATATTGCCAAAAGAAGTTAGTACCCAGAGTCATCTTGGCAAATAGGAATGAAGGTAATAACTTGGTAATAACCTAATAATCTTCTTTTAATGCATATAGGCTTGGTGCATTTCAGTTGATTTTAAAATTTCCGACCGCAGCGCTCCATACGGCAGAAATAAGAACTTTTCTGTTCTGTTTTTCAGCTTTGTATTCTGTTCTGTATAAAAAAAAACTTTAAACACTCATGTAAGAGGTTTGTGTGATGTAACGCTATTTCGGGTAGTAAAAATTAAGCGAAAAAAGAACCCAAACTTGGCGTCGCTTTGTGTTGTGACAATTTCAAATAATGTTAATAAAATTGTCGAAAAAATGTTAACACGTAAAGGCGGGTCTAATTACGTGGTTTTTGGGTGCAATAACAATCAATAACTCAACTTTCCCGGATATTTAACTCTCCCGAAACAACATTTTATAGCTTCACAACTTCTCACACCGATTTGATCAAAAGCAAAAATGGTTCTCCGATGGTGGCAGCACCGGTGGAGAATGCACAAAGCTTATAGCAAAATCTATATATTCCTATAGAGAACTTTTTGAATTGCTGCAAAGCAATATGTCTAAATTAACACCTTAATTGTCGAGATTTAATTTTTATTAGTGAGTTAACTCATTGCAGTATGGTATATTTATATTAAATATTATTTTTTTTTACATTATTTGAATTTTTAGTGTTTGACAGGCAAATACTTAACGAAATAGGCGAATTAGGAGTGTTAGGATGTACTATTAAAGAATATGGCTGTGCAGGAGTTTCAAATGTAGCTTATGGCTTACTTACAAGGGAAGTTGAAAGAGTTGATAGCGCGTACAGATCCGCCGTGAGTGTGCAGTCCTCCTTGGCTATGGGCGCAATTTATTCATGCGGCAGTGAAGAACAAAAACAACAATATTTACCAGAAATGGGTAGACTATACACAGCATTTTTCTATTTATGATTTTTTAAGTTATCTTTGTATTATATTTTTATTAGCAAGAGGAAATTTGGTTGGGTGTTTTGGCCTAACTGAACCAAACCATGGGAGTGATATTGGAAAAATGGAAACTAAAGCTGCATATGATTCATCTTCGAAAACATATATACTAAACGGTAGTAAAACTTGGTAAATATGTGTCTAGTAATGTTTGATAACATCTGGTCTGAAAGTAGAAAGTTTTTTATTAGGATTACAAACTCCCCAATAGCAGATATATTGATAGTTTGGGCACGATGCGATGGCTCTAAAATAAAAGGTTTTATCGTTAATAGAAAAGAACACGGGAACGGGTTAAGTACTCCTAAAATTGAAGGAAAATTTTCCTTAAGAGCTTCTACAACCGGAATGATTTTATTAGACAATGTTAAGGTACCCGAAGATCACATTTTGCCCAATTCCAACGGAATAGGTGCAGCTTTTGGCTGTTTGAATAACGCACGCTACGGAATTGCGTGGGGAACATTAGGTTTGTTACTTCTTGAGGGATATTCTATGTTCTTTTTCAAAGAACTCCTTTCAAAAACATGTTTAAATTGCTCTAGGAGCTGCCGAACATTGCTTCAATGTAGCTAGACAGTACACTCTGGAGAGGCAACAATTTAACAGACCATTAGCACAGACCCAATTGATACAAAAGAAATTCGCTGATATGCTCACCGAAATCTCATTAGGTTTGCAAGCTTGTTATCAAGTCGGTAGGCTAAAAGATAAAAACCTGTAAGTTTTATGCTATTCTCTTGTTTTTTTTTGTAATCGATTTGAGATTTTGTTTTGTACACAGGCATACACCTGAAATGATTTCAATATTAAAGAGGAATAATGCTGGGAAAGCTTTGGAAATAGCTAGAGCAGCTAGGGACATACTTGGAGGAAATGGGATTCAAGATGAATATCATATAATAAGACACGTTATGAACTTAGAAGCAGTAAACACATACGAAGGTAGGTGAAGATGTTGGTACATTATGTTTGCTAATGGTAATTTTCTTTAAGGAACTCATGATATACACGCTTTAGTCTTGGGAAGAGCGATTACAGGACTTCCTGCATTCTAATTTTTTTATTTTAAGATCTAAAAATTGTAAAAACTTTGAATTTTTAAAATAAATTGTTGTGTTTGTACAGAACGTCTTTGATTTTACAATGTCTATGTGTGTGTGGGTTTTGATGATAATAGATTTTCAATTGTTAAAAGGGTTAAGATAAATGATAGAAAATTCATATAATTAATGAACTTTGTACCAGTATAATTTATATTTTTTTAAACCACAAGGTTACGGATCTAACACAGTTAGAGATCTTGGCACACATAACACCGTACTCTCGATACAGTTCAGAAATAAATTTAATTTTACAATATTTCCTAAAATATCAGTTCTAATAGTTTACCTTATAAAATAAATGATTAAGCACGAATAATGAAAATATATGGGACATACAAATGAAAATATATTTATTATACTTATTACTAAAATTGTCTTAATACAACATACATTTAAAATTGTATCACGCAAGGAAAACAAATACAATACTTACTTAACCATAACGAGCAATATTGTCTGTATATTATTTATATACACAGTTTACCTAAGTTCTTTAATTTTATTAAGGAATTGTACAACCGGTTTCACATGATTTTTCTTTATAATCTACAGTGTATGTACATAATCCACTCTCATAAAATTTATTTACCCTATAGAACAACACTCCGGAGGCATGAAACTTTTAAATGCGGACTAGGTAAGCATTATCGGTACAGTCAATTTGTATTGTAGAAAGAAATGTGCACACATGTCTTCGTTAAGAAACAGTTTATTTAATGGCAGTACAGAACGTGATTTCTTCCGAACTCCCCCCACACTCCTCACGTATTACTTTATTTATTTCCATCATTTTTAATTTCATTGATTTCTTCTCTCGTTCAACTTCCCGGAGCTGATTTTTTCGATTTTTTCGGACTAGCTTCTGGCGCCTTGTTCGACGCAGTCAGGCCTTCTTCCAAGTTCCTTTTGTAGGTCCCTATTAATTCGGGAAGATCGTAGGCGATTGCGATGTCCAATCTATTTATTGGACAACCTGAAATACCATTTGTTAGTTTTATGTGATTTCAAATATAAAACTACAGCATCTTATTCAATACCCAGCGGGACAAATCTTGAATATTATCGAGAGAATGCGCGTCACCTACTGCGCATGTAGAAGACAGTTTGAAAATTCTGTGCATCTGTATATCTCAAGAACTACGTCAGTGGCGAGAGGTAACTAGTTAGGCAAGTTATCTAACTGGGTATTGAATAAAATGAGAGGTCGAGTTACAGACCTCTGAAATAAGTACAAGTTGCAGAGAGCTGTTGAAACTCGTACAGAGGATTTAATTTGAAGAAGTCTTTATAGACGTCGGGATCAGGCAAGTCGTATCGTGATATGTTAGTTAATGTAGACAGGCCCTCGTATATGTGGTAGTTTTGAGGGTGTTCGATGATTTCATTCGCAACTTGTTTTCGATTACCAAACACTGATTTGTGATTGTAGTATGTTGTTAAGTAACAATCTACCATTTTGGCATGGTTTCTAACACGTACCTGTAACAATGTTAAACTTTTTATTGCTGAAATACATATACTATTCTAATTTTTATGCTCAGTGGTTACTTACAGCAAATCTACGTGCACTGGCTATTTTATTTTCAACACGTCTATCGACGGCAGTCCTTAGGTCTCTTAGAAATGACCTTTCTTGAGCTTGAAGGAGCCTTGTAGGGGCCCATGGTTCGTAAGGTTTCGACCAGAGAGATGTAGTGTACATTACTGGAGGTTGAGGTGATGACATCAAAGGAGAAATGTTCCATATCAATGCTCCTTGAACTCTCATCAGCTCCTCAGGTTTCACTTGATCCGCTTTATTCAAAATGATTCTAGTCTAAAATTGAAAAACAAATATATGCAAGTTTTCAAATAAGTTTGTAAGTTTGAAATATACCTGATGTTCTCTTCCTTTGAGTTGATCGAGTATGGCTTCAGTTTCAGGGCCGACATCTAACTTAGCCGGATCATACACTAAGAATATTATATCCGCTCTATCGATAAACCATTGACAAGCGTCGTTGAAAGGAAATACTCTGGATACTTGTTTTCTAACTTCTAAAATTCCGGGAATTTCGACTATATTGACTTTTTCTAAAAGCTTGGCTGGCAGTTTTACGCCTCTAAGACGTTCTTCTAAGCCTTGTCCGAATTTTTGAAGGCCGGAAAAAGTAAAATCAGCGGCAAGTTCAGTTCCATCGATAATTTCAGGCTCATCACCATACATCAGCAGATTGAAATACGCTGGTGACGGCTCTGCACCTGAAATAGCATAATGTTTTAGTCATTTTGAGCCAGTTGTTTACGTATAATACCTGTTCTAAGTGAAGTTTCGTTATATTCGTTGTTAAGCAAATAATTTATAATTGAAGATTTGCCTCCGCTCCAAGGACCCATAAACAAAATTAAAGGCTTTGAGAAGATTTCGGCATCACCGAAATGACGATTACTCAAATCCCGATATTTGTACACCACTTCCAGAGGTTTAATAGCATTTTCGTATACTTTCTTCAATTCCTTAAGCGTTTCTTCGTATACTTTATTTTGTACTTCCTCTAGTTTCGACGACTCTCTGTCTAATTTGAGTAAATGTTCTACATGTTCTCTTGGCCTCAGTTCTGTAGGAATGCCTGCATCTAATGAAAGTTCCTCTACTAATGGTCCTTGACCTACAAATTATAATAAACTTTTTTTTCAGAAATCTACTGTTTTTTAATGTGGTAAGGATTCCACTTGCCTTCATCTTGTTCTACACTTTCTTCCTGAAGTTGAACAATGGGTTCAGGAGGGGAAACATCAATAATTGGTTTTGGTTTTTCTGGAGTTTTGCTTTGTTTTGGTGGTTCTGCAACTGGCTTAGGTGGCGGAACTGCTGGTATGGATGGTGGAACAGCAGCTGGTTTAGGGGGAGCCACAGCAGGTTTAGGAACAGGCGGTGGAGGAGGAGGAGGAGATACTGGTTTCTCTTTAGGTTTAGTATCTTCTTTAATTTCCACTCTAGGCTGTTCCCTTTTCTCTCTTTGCAGCTCCCTACTTGGTTCTTGATCTAAAAATATCACTATGTTAGATAGTTTATAGTATACATATATTATAATTCACAACCTTTTCGAGCACCAGTAACACATTTTTTAGTGTAGCATTTATTGGGGCAGCAAATTTCACTATCGTCACAATCTTCGTCATCTCCACATTTTTGACCCTCTTTGCACGATACTTTGTCAGGCGATGGACAATCACCTTCTTCGATTGATTCAGAATGGGCTTCTACTTCTTTTTCTTCAGATATTTCTTCTGATTCTTCTTCTTCATCAGATCCCGGTGTCCCAGTGATACATACTTTTCTATAACATTTGCTTGAGCAACAAATCTCTCCTGTTTCACAGTGTCGATTTTTGGCGCATTTAGCTCCTGAACATGGCACTTCATCTCTTTCAGGGCAACCAGTATCTGAAACATTGTCAAAAAACCATGTAATTAACAATTAAGACATTGCTACTTTAATTAACTATATTGCTTTGTTTTCAAAAATTTACCTTTTCGTTTGATAATTTCAACTGATTTCTTAGTATCTTTGCGTTCCTCTGAAGCTTCTTCTGATTCTTCTTTAGCTAATTCTTCTTCAGTAGCAGTACCAGGAGTACATATCTTTCTGTAACATTTGTTTGGACAACAAATTTCTTCCGTGCCACATTCCTTGTGTTTAGTGCAAAATTGTGACCCCTTGCAGGCTAAGTTGCTTGCTTCAGGACAGCCAGTATCTATAATGTGAAATATATATATATATATATATATATATATATATATATATATATATATATATATATATATATATATATATATATATATATATATATATATAATAAAAATAGCATTGTAAGATAAAAAATTTAACCTGGTGTCTTTGGAACTGTACTTTCTAAAGGTGTTTCAACACTCTCTTCAACACTCTCATCAGATTCGTCTGCTAGTTCGGCAGATGTTGCTGTACCAGGAACGCATCTCTTCCTATAGCATTTATTAGGGCAGCAAATTTGGTCTTCACCGCAATGGCGATGTTTGTTACAGAGTTCGCCTTCATGGCATGAAACTTCGCTGGGTGCTGGACATCCACTTTCTATACAAAATTTGTAGTTATTAAAAGAATTATATTTATATTAGTCTTAAATACCCAGTGTGGTTGGAGATACAACTTTTTTTAATTGAACAGTTTCGGATTCTTCTGATTCTGATTCGGCATCTAATTCTTCTTGTGGTGCTACACCTTCAACACAACGTTTTCTATAACATTTGTTAGCGCAGCATATTTGGTTTTCGCCACAATGTCGATGATTACTGCACAAATCTCCTTCAGTGCACGAGACCTGATCAGGGGAAGGACAACCACTCTCTAAAAACCAAATGTAAGTTACGGTAAATTATCATTCCTAGCAAGTCACATTTACTTTCAGCACTCTCCGAAGATACGTTTTGATCATTAACATCAGTTGGTTTTTCTCCATGGGTTTCTATACTTTCTTCCTCGATACTCTGAAGAGCAGGTTCAGTAATCTTTTCTTCCGATTCTTCCTTTTCTTTGCTTTCTTCTTGTTCTAGACTTTTTTCTTCGGCGCTTTGTTTCTCTTCTTTGCTTTTTTCTTCTTCCTGGCTAGTTTCTTCTTCCTGGCTATGCTCTTTTTCTATACTCTTTTCTTGACTTTCTTCTTCGGGGGAAGCTTGACCTACAACGTTTATTTCTTCCCGACTTTCTTCTATTGCTTCGGCAACTTGTTCTACGACTTGTTTAGTAATTTCTTCTTCTACGTCTTCTTTACTTACTTGTTCGGTTAGTTCAATGCTTTCTTTACTTTGCGTTGGCTCTTGTTCGATCGATTCTGGACTGCCATCTATTGGCTAAGACAATTAATAATTAATAACTTTAATAGTGCCGAGGCAATAATTAACATACCGCTTGACCGTCAGTTTCGGCAGATACTTCGTCGCTTGTCGTTACCTGCAAAATTGTAGTTTTAGAGACTTAAAGATATTGATCTTGACAAAAACAAACCTCCACGGGAATTTCATCGTCCTGTTCAACAGATCGAGCGTCAGCTTCGTTTGCATTTTCGATTTCATCGCTAGCATCTCCTTGGCCGCCAATATCCTCCTCTTGGCGGCTGGAGTCGTCAGTTATTTCCACGGTGGGAACATCTTCAATGCTTTCGTCTTTGTCTTCCGGTTGCCCTGGCACTACCTCACCAGTCTCGAGCTCTTTCAGAGCTTTCTCGATGTAAGGTCGGCAGTCGGATTCGGTGGGTCCATCAGTTTCAGCTGCACCTTGAAGACCTTTAAGTGAATAATTGGCCCTCACGATTAACGTAGTTTAACATAATTCTTTTGTTTTTTTTTATAAAAGTAAACTGATGGTCAGCCATCACATTCGAAAGTATATCAGCAGTAGGGATTGAATTGCTCATTTAAATTGTTTTTGTTTTGTATTCATTTTCTAATTAATTTTTTTATTTTTTTTTAAATTGAGTTTGTGAATATAATAGGATATTGTACTGCTTTGGAACATGGATATTATGAGACAGCTGCACTTCAACCACCCTCTTCAAGATCCCATTAGGTTGATTAAATTGAACATTCAACAGTGGAATGAGAATCACATTCATCATTGAAGAGGAACTATATAATTTTAGGTAAATATTATACTAAAATGTTTTTTAAATTAAACATATGTAATAAACTCAGAATATTTTAAAATTTTTAAAGATATATAGGGTGAAGTGCAAATATTTTCAGGGCTGGCATATCTCGATAAAAGAAACATAATTTCTGTTTACCGTTTTTCAGATATATCTAAAATAACCGAGATATTTTATTATGAAAATTTCCAAAAAATGATATCTTTCTAAAATTTAGAGAATCACTGGATCTTTTCTGGATTTTCTTTTTTGTAAATTTAATCTACTACCTATGTTGCCATATTATCAACAAATTATATTTTTTAACTAAAAAAACTCTTTTTCAAAAAAAAATCGCGAAAGAAATCTCATAATCGTGTTTCTGGTGTCGAAATATACCACTACTACTAAAAATATTTGCACTTATTTAAGACTCACCCTGTATAGATATAAATCATGATGAAATGTAATACTATTTATTTTTTTTGCAGATTTTCTACAACAAATCCATGGATGTATATAGTTCCAGGGCAGTACATTTATCCTTTTCACATATCAAGACTTATTATTCTTTCGGGTATATATATTTTTTACTGGTTTTTAATATTCATCAGTTGATCTCATGATTTGTAAATTTAATTAAGAAGAAAAAAAAATTGCAAGACAGTGAGTGAATGACATTTTTGTGGTTCCTTATTATCAGAGGAAAGTTCAGACCAAACTATTTTTAATTGGGCCCATTTATGGCTTTTGACCATTTTTTTTTTCTTTTTGGTATAATAGCCACTTAGAACTTTACTTGATGGCTTACATAAAGTTATTACATTTATTTTGTGATTGTTGTTTTTTGGTTCACTACCATTCCCTCTAATATTCACCTGTTCTTTCTTGATTGTGGAAAATCATCTTTTATCAATTACCAAAAATATTCCATATGTATATTTCCATAAGACTTATTTGTTTTGAGGATACTAAATTTGTTGTAAATATCTTTGAACTTCTTAAAAAAAATTTAAAAGATTGATGTATTGTAAAAGAGATAGTCAATTTTTTGGCTAATTTCAAAGGGCGTTATTTTTATACGATCTTATGTTAACAAAATTCTAAACAAACTTCCTTAAATAAAGCTATAAAAACTAGTAATGCCTATGGTGCACCACCTAAATAAAAAAATACATGGTAAATACGTATGAATGGATCAAAGCTGTAATAGAACAATAGACATTTGGTAATTTAAGTCTTAATAATGGTTCAACACAGCTAAATTTATTCTAAGTTCAATAATCTGTAGAAGATTTTAGAGTGTTTTACGGTTTGGAGTCATTAGGCAAACTTAATGGTCATAAAAATATTTTATAGCTATAACGTGAACCTTAACAAACATTTTGTAAAGTCGCGTCAAAAGGTTTTTAAAAGAAAGTAACTCATCGAATTGACATTCTGCATAATCCTACAAATGAACCAAAAAATTCTTAAAAAAAATTATATGATCAGCTGTGTAGATAAAATTTGAATTTAATTTAGTTATTCAAAATTAAAACACAGCGAAGATTAACGGAAAGGTAGATAGCATTACGTAACGAGAAATAATTTTTGGGTGTAATATTTCTGGAAATTTTTGAAAATTTATCAATGAAAGCGAATAAATTTTTATTGAGCAATGCTGATAAATTATAGAAAACAAACGCGCGATTTAAGCGAACCGCTACTGAAGTTCTAAAAATACTGCAGAAGCTAAAAATCGCAAGTATATTTAAAGAATAAGAAATAGAATATTTTGCTGCTCGAAAAACGTCTACGTCAGTGTGCGGTTTTAAATAATATCATATCGTTTTCAGTTTATTTCAATCCTACGATCTTTGAGGTGTTTTCTTAGGGTACAGAGAGACAAAATATGCAGCCCCCCCAAAAAAAAATAAAAAAATATAAATAAATTAATTTTGGAATTACCTTTACCTATTGGTATGCATCGTTTCGTATAACAAGGACTTTGACAACATAATTCAGATTTCTGACAGTCTTCGATTGAATTACATTTAATTCCATTCACGCATGACACTTGATCGGTTGGTGGACAGTCAGGGGTCTCTAAAAAAATCTCTATGTAATTTCTACATTACCTTAATCACACATGAAACATAAAAGAATAATGTTCTCAAATAATTCCACTGTAAATTCTGTTAGTGGCTATGTCCTTATATGAGCGTCATTTGAAAAACCACTGTGACACTGTTTTTTTTTTCGATCATACATTATGAGAGTCAGAGAGAGTAAAGTGTTCTAAGGTAATACTTTTACACTTAAATATTTTGAAAACTAAATTTATAACGGATAAAAAGCAATTGAGCGATTTTTTACATGATATAAATCATTCTATTTGTATTCGAAACATCAAATAGTAGTCATGTTTTAAGGGATGTCAGAAATCGTTGGCAAGACTCCATAAAACCAGCTGTTAATTTTATATAATAATGAGCTAACAGTATCACTCTTTATTTTTGGAAATATCTTCAAATCGGTTAGCCTCATTCTAATAAAAATGATCAATTTTTATTTAATTAGATAAACAACCTGTATATTTCTTTGGAAAAAGTTTTTTCCAGTCGCATTTTTAAATAAATTAAGTGTTTCTAAAATGTATCGTTTTGATTATTATTTGTAATTTTGCTTGAATAAAATATACGAAGTCATGGATTTTTTTTCGGGTGACAATACATATAGAATATATTTCAATTTTCCAGTCAAAATCTAAATCTGTCTATAAAGTTTTGGCGAATTGCCTGTAATTTACATTAATCGAATATTTTTTTTAATCGTGCAATAGATAGATAAAAATATAGTGTGAAGTTGAATATGTGATTTAGAAATTTGATTTCCATTAAAATAATTAATAAAGATTGTGCGATAAAAGATCAAGTTTTTGCGCAAAATAAATACAGTTTTATTTATAGCCAGCTAGTTTATATGTGGTAAATTATTATTAGAAACCTGGCTAAGCCCGAAAATAATCGAATTATATATTAAAAACGTTGATACATCCCCGACAAAAACTTATTACATAAGCGAATAATCATTTTTGAATCACTCTTCGCGTAGGAACGTTCACTTTTGTCACTACTATTTCGGACCTTTTCACTAGAAATCACTAAATCGAAATTCACAAATCGCACGTACCGTGTAAGGTAGCAGCTACAAAGGCGGCTCCAAGAAGCAGCAAAAACCATGAGGACCTAGGGTAGACCTCCATGGTTTTGATCTTACCACACCGGTCACATATAAGTCCCGCACTGGCGACTAGTATGTCCAGGACACGGTGAACTCTGGCACGCTCAAAACTCCCGTGCTAAATCAGTGGCGCCAACACACCATTAACGGTTTTTTCCTTGTCGATAGCTTATTGAAAATCACCATTTTTAAGTCAATTTTTAAAACTGATTGCTGAAAAATTGATGCGTTTAATTCAACCATTAAAAATATTTATCCAACAAATCGCCTAAATCATTAATATTACAGTACAAAAATGGTAAATTTAAATCATCTAGTGGTGAGTGAGACGACTGGTATTGGTCCTTTTCAATTTTTTTAACTACTTCTCTGATAAAGATTAAAATACCATTGGAGAGTAATTTAAACACCCCTGGTAGCAATGCCAGCAGGTGTATAAGAAGCCCTCCATGTCTTCAGATGTGGATGGAACCAGAAGCCATCAGGAGCATTGTTATACCGAAATCCTTCCCTATTGAACCAGTTAATTACTTTTCCGGCATCAATATAAAGAAAATAAATTAAAAAGAGTAAATTAAACACTCCTGGTAGCAATGTCAGCAGGTGTACAAGAAGCCCTCCATGTCTTCAGATGTGGATGGAACCAGAAGCTATCAGGAGCATTGCTATACCGAAATCCTCCCTTAATGAACCAGTTAATAACTTTTCCGGCATCAATATAAAGAAAATAGATTAAAAAGAGTAAATTAAACACTCCTGGTAGCAATGTCAGCAGGTGTACAAGAAGCCCTCCATGTCTTCAGATGTGGATGGAACCAGAAGCCATCAGGAGCATTGCTATACCGAAATCCTCCCCTAATGAACCAGTTAATGACTTTTCCGGCATCTATATAAAGAAAATAGATTAAAAAGAGTAAATTAAACACTCCTGGTAGCAACGTCAGCAGGTGTACAAGAAGCCCTCCATGTCTTCAGATCTGGATGGAACCAGAAGCCATCAGGAGCATTGTTATACCGAAATCCTTCCCTATTGAACCAGTTAATTACTTTTCCGGCATCAATATAAAGAAAATAAATTAAAAAGAGTAAATTAAACACTCCTGGTAGCAACGTCAGCAGGTGTACAAGAAGCCCTCCATGTCTTCAGATCTGGATGGAACTAGAAGCCATCAGGAGTATTGTTATACCGAAATCCTTCCCTATTGAACCAGTTAATTACTTTTCCGGCATCAATATAAAGAAAATAGATTAAAAAGAGTAAATTAAACACTCCTGGTAGCAACGTCAGCAGGTGTACAAGAAGCCCTCCATGTCTTCAGATCTGGATGGAACCAGAAGCCATCAGGAGCATTGTTATACCGAAATCCTTCCCTATTGAACCAGTTAATTACTTTTCCGGCATCAATATAAAGAAAATAGATTAAAAAGAGTAAATTAAACACTCCTGGTAGCAATGTCAGCAGGTGTACAAGAAGCCCTCCATGTCTTCAGATGTGGATGGAACCAGAAGCTATCAGGAGCATTGCTGTACCGAAATCCTCTCCTAATGAACCAGTTAATGACTTTTCCGGCATCAATACAAAGAAAATAGATTAAAAAGAGTAAATTAAACACTCCTGGTAGCAATGTCAGCAGGTGTACAAGAAGCCCTCCATGTTTTCAGATGTGGATGGAACCAGAAGCCATCTGGAGCATTGCTATACCGAAATTCTCCCCTAATGAACCAGTTAATGACTTTTCCGACCTCAATATAAAGAAAATAGATAAAAAAAGGGTAATTTAAACACCCCTGGTAGCAAAGCCAGCAGGTGTACAAGAAGCCCTCCATGTCTTCAGATGTGGATGAAATCAAAAGCCATCTGGAGTATTGTTATCCCGAAATTTTCCCCTAATGAACCGATTAATTACTTTTCCGGCATCAATATAAGGAAAATATATTAAAAAGAGTAATTTAAACACTCCTGGTTACAAATACCAGAAGGTGTACAAAATCTATTATTAAATAGATACAATTAAAAAATTCAAGACTTGCAAGAGTTTTGTGCAAGACTAAAACAGGATTTTTTTTTCACTTTTAGTGGAGAGGAAACCCAAAACCAAGGTCTTCCCTAAAATCAACTCTTTAATTCTCATAATACAGGGTATGAAATTGAAAAAGAGCAATCGGAAATCTCTTAAATAAAAAAATCGTCCAGAAAGAGATCAAATAAGATTAGGGGATTGGAGAGTGAACCAAAATGAAGTACGACTCTGTCTTATCACTTTTAGAATACCCACTTGTGTCCTGCCAATCTTGTCTGACACATTGTTGAACATCTTGTTGAACACATTGTTAAACACCTTTCTCTTTGCAGCCTTATGACAAAATCTTAAATCATGCAAACATTTTAACAACGTAATTTTTGACTATCAATTTAAAAAAACAAAAAGGTTTTAAATACACATCGGAGAAACTAATGTTCCCCTTCTAGTCCCCCCGATATGTATTTTAAACCTTTCTGATAGTATTTTTTGTCTAAAAGATAACTCGATTGCTACTTTTCAAATTTACACCCTGTATATCAAGAATTGTCACCGAACAAAATAATTAATACCAACAGTTAGTAAATTTTGTCAACTAAATTGTGGCCCAAAAACTCCGAAAAGCAAAAGGAGTTGTTTAAATTTTAAGAGTAAACAAAGAATCGTGATGTCATTTAAGAATAGTCACATTATTGATGATACAGGAGGGGCAGTGTAAGAAGAAGCTTTATATTATGTAAAATATGCTATCAGTCAGTGGTTTTCTTTGCACTCTTTGGTATGTTTTAGTTTGGTTGTGACAAATGTTGCAAAAATGGTGAAGTAAAAGTGGTTAGATACCACGAACACTGAAAAGTTAAAGAGACGTTTCAATTCTTAGAGAAGAAAAAGAACTATAAAACACAATTATCTAATATTAGAACTGTTTTTGTTTTAAATTCTGAAATATCTGGGTTTTGATGTTTTTCTCTGCGCAAACAGACGAATATATATGATAATACATATTGGAAAAATCAGGATTAGAACTTTGGAAAAATGGAGACTATTTTTAAAAGCATATTTTACATTCTTTTGTGTTCACTGTGATTTACCTGCTAATAACAATAAAATTTTAAATATTTTAAAACTTTCATCTAAACACGGTTTGCCAAAAAGAAATGATACACATGAATCATATATATATTTTTAAAGCATTTAATATCTATAAACAATTTAAATATTAATTACTAGTGTGTCTAGAAATACAAATAAATATTTTTTAATTATGCGCTAAAACATAGGTATGTATAATTATTAAGTCATTACCCCGCCTCTGGTAAGACAATAAGCATTCGAAAAACGTTGCCGATTAAATTCAATTCGTTCCTAACATTAAGGTACTGAGTGATTATGTCTTGTTAGTAGGTCATAAATCAAAACATTTTGAGAAAAAATCTGTGTCGAATATTATAATATACAACTAAAGTTAAAAAGATACTAAAATGGAAATATATACTGATATGTCATGACAATACAATAAATATTAAAACAATGCAAGTTGCTTTAGTTTAGACACACTCAATCAAGTCAAACAATCTAAACAAAAATATCATTCGCTTAGATATAAAAAAATATTACAAAAAAGTATTAATACACTTACAATATACACTTAACTATATTTGACAATATTACTAAATAATATTGTTAAGAGCTGCGCTTTATTCAAGCGGCTAGCTAATACGGTAGTAGATATAAATATACGAAAATTTTGAAATATTTTTGAATTTGCCCTGAATACATTGGGCTGAAATATACATATAGTTAGCTAACTCGCAGTACAATGCCAATTAAGTTAGCTAGCACGAGTCAGGACAGACAAAACTTCTATTAGAAACTGACTAATGTTTACCGTTGACCTGTGCAAGTACAAAGCATTGTGTTTGCATTATTTTAACTTGTTTAAAACCTGTCTTTGAAACATTTGCTTTGGACCAACATAGATACAGAAAAGGGTATTATAATATTACAAAGTGTGGGGATCACGATAGCCAGAATAATGATTTTGAAGGAACTAAATGGGAGATCCCAACGCTTGAGCTTGCATTCGCGCCCTTATTGTTTTTACATCATCATCTATCCGCACCAGCAATCGGAATTTCTAAAAACAAAAAGATATATACATTCGATGTTAAATTTACTAACAACGAAACCATACAGTTTGTTTGTCTCCAGGAGTTTTAATCCACAAATATATCATATATCCAGGAATACACAACATGGATGTTAGCGCTGTAAACCACCCAAACAAATGAGCCCACAAAGGAAATTCGTAATTCAGGTACTTCACTGGAGTCCATTGAATTAGATTAAATATAAAAACACCCTAAAAATTAATTCAATATTTAATATATGCAACTCATGGTATATATATATCTAAACAACATCTAGTAACAAAGTCTGAACTCTACAATGACTGACCATATGAATTTCTATAATTTAAACGCTAATTTTTGATAGATAAGATAATTAATGATAATAAATATTTATAAAAGGGTATTTAACAAGAAAAAAGGTATAAAATTATCACAAAATCAGAATTGCTAATTGCTAACCTACTTGGAATTTTATATTTTGAAAAAAGAATATGAGGACTTTGTTTTAGTTTATTTTGTATATATTACGGTTAAAGTCCGATGTCCGGTTAATGTCGACATTAACAGGTTAATGTTTGGGTTTGGTTTTGTTTTGTGTTATTCTCGAGATTAACCGGGTAATGTCGATATTAACCGAATATCGGACCTTGACCGTAAAATATACATTAGATAATATCAAAGTGTTTCTGCTTACTATGCATATTACTGGAGTGGCGATTGTCCAGCAGAACTTCCACCAAGAAATGGGGTAATAACCAATCATGTCCTTAATTCCATCGTAGAACTTGTTGGCTCCAAAGGCCCACGAGACGGCGATACATTCGAAGAAAATTAGGAACAACAAACTAAAACCACTTACAGCATATGAGTCTAAGATCTGGAATACGTACATCCCACCCTGAAAATAACATGTATTAATACATATAATAGATTTTAGAAAAATGAGTCCTCGCCTGTGTTATACATGATAAACCAACTAAATATGATATGAGGCAAACTATTGCGATGAATATTTCCTTCCTTTTTCTAAGAAGTTTTGGCCACTCATCAATGATAGCCGTCACAAAGCCTTCCATGGTACAAAATTGTGAGTCCAAACCTATGAGCAGAATCATGAAGAAAAATAGGCATGCCCATAAAGGTGTTCCAGGCAGCTGGAGCACTGCTGATGGATAAGCCAAAAACGCTAGTCCGGGTCCTAGAAATTAAAGCATTAGGTCATGCGTTATCAAGCATTCGTTTTACCAGAGGCAGCAACTTCGGCAACAGGCTTCTGTTGTTCGTGGGCCATAAATCCTACAACAGAAAAGATGACGAAGCCAGCAAACATGCTCGTACTAGAATTGACAACGCAAACTATCAGAGCATCCCTAAAAATAAATAAAATTAGCATTTTCTTTAATACACCTTAGAATTTATTACTTGTAAACATTGTTCGTAAATTTATTGTAACTGCCTAATGCCACCAAGGTGCCCAGACCTAAACCGTACGAGAAAAATATTTGCGTAACTGCATCAATCCATACCGAAGATTCCGTCAACTTGCTCATGTTCGGCATGACGTAAAACTTGATACCTTCCATGGCGCCTGGTAATGTGACTCCTCTAATGAGAAGAATAGTCAGGAGAACATAAGGAAACAAGGCTGTGAAGTAGACAACTTTTCCAGTCCACTTTACTCCCTTCCAAATACAGAAATAGCAGATTATCCAGACTAAAAGCAAAGTTCCGGCAAGCTCCCATCTGATGCTACCCACGTGTTCAATTCCATCGGATATTTGCAATGCTCTGCGTCTAAAAGTAACAATAATTATTGGTTTATGCCAATTAATGTTTTGTAGCATTTTAGGACTAATTATCACTAATAAAATAAAGACATTCAAAGAGCTTTAAAAATATTACGAAACAGCTTTAATTTTTAATATACACTCACCGGCACGAAAAGCAGACACCTTAAATTTTTTATGTATTTAAAATTTAATATATTTGACTTTTTAATATGTGTCAATTCTACGAGGGAAAACAAATTGTTGATATTTTGGGGAAAGCATTTTGTTTCCCCTCGTATAATTGATAGATGAAAACTTTCATTTTTAATTTAGAAAGAGATACTAAAAAGTCAAATAATTTAGCTACAAAGTGCTTAAAACTCATCATAATCGGTCCACTAGAACACAATATATAAAACTTTAAAATAAATCAAAATTTTAAAGTGCCCGTTTTTCATGCCGGTGAGTGTATTATTTTTTTTTAAATTTTATGCCAACTAATGATTTAGTCATACTCCCAGAATTCCTTGACTGGATCTGTCAGCTCCGAGACAGTGACGTTGTACTTATTGATGGAACACATCTTAGTTAAAGTGTTGTTGAGATTGTATTGTTCCCAGCATGACAGACCTCGTCTATCATAAGGATTAACACAGTATTTTGTATTCCAGTAGTTGCTACAAGTCCTCCATGGTACGTCTAAAATTATAATTAATAATAATGATTAATATTTTGCTGTTAAAAATGGATAATTTACCAGATCTAAGAGATATGAAGAAATAAAATATTGCCCAGGCTAAAATTACTATGTAGTAGATGTTCATCCAACACGACATTACTGCTGCTGCATATCCGATGCCTAGAAGATTTTAAGTAGTATAGAACTTATTAAAGAAATCTAGCCGTTCTATCTATACCTTTGAAAATTGGGGCTATTTTAAAAACGCCCAATCCACCAATTGTCATCATTTGTCCTAAAGCCAATTCCATAAAGAACATAGGGATGCCGGCTAAGATTAATGTAATAAAGTAGGGTACTAAGAAGGCACCCCCTCCATTTTTGTAGCATAAATAAGGAAATCTCCAGACGTTCCCAAGACCGATAGCTAAACCAACAACTGATAAAATGAAATCCAACTTGCTAGCCCATGTGCCTCTTTCTGGCAAATCCCTATGCTTGATGAACTGGATTTGGTTGACTGAATTGACAATGCTAGTTAAAGGTGGCAGTTCTATTTCTTCGTGCCTGTTTAAGTGAAACGTGTTCTTCAGACAGTCGTGCGTTTCGGAGCTTTTCCGGTTTGCCATCTTCAGGTCTCGAAATTACCTCGAACTGACAAATAACTGTTGACCAAACTGTCAGCTCATTACAAATCTAGAAAACGAAACATAAATTCGTATATAAGCTAAAGAAATGTATACCCTATGATGAAAAAAAAACAGCGTCAGAGCGGCCTTTGAAATAAAATTGAATGACGTCTGAGACGCCATTTTTTACATTGTACCTTATTTAATTTTCAATGCTATATGAAACTTTAGTAAACTATTATTGCGTAGAAACAATATAGATGTCCCATCTGATAGAAATGCCTATATATTCAAAATTAATTTCTCTTTTGTGATAGACAGCTTTTGTATTGGTGTCTAGATTTATCTCACATTACGAAAATCATTTTATTCTCGTTATTTAGTCCAAATACAGAATACATATTATCAAACCATTGGATTGAGAGAACAATATAAAATACATATAAATATCGAAAAAGTTCTGTAAGATTTGTACAGGGTGGTACAGTAAAGGAGGACGTCGGCTATAACTGTATTAAAATCTGTAAATAAACTAAATATTTTTTTAAATCGGCAATAAAGTTTATATTTTTTATATAAAACTTATTGCCCTGTATGTATGAAATAATTAAAAAAGTTCGGCCTCTGATAGCATATCCGAACTAGGAAATAAATGCATAATTTTTTTTTTGGCAATATTGAAATAAGGCGGAAAGGATTCTGCCTTAATCTATGGATCCTGCTAAGTTAAAGCAGTGGCGTGCAGTGCAAATCAAAGCAGGATAGGCAAAAATTGACAAAATAATAAAAAAGAATAATATAAATAAACAAAAATAGTTTTTTTTATATCGATTGGAATTTTTTTTTCAGATTTGACATCACTGTACAGGACAGTGATGGACGTACGACGCCGACAACATTAAACCACGCGTTAACTTCCCTATTCTATCTCTTTCTTACACATTAGCCTTCCAGTAATTGCGATCTGTAGAGTACGTAGAAGATTCGCAAAAGCGCAACCTTAAAGGCGGATTCACACGACTAGCGTACTTGACAAACATTTGACATTTGTTATTGGCATATACTTGCCATGTCGAGATAGTATACTTGCCAAGTACGCAATTATTGGTGTACTTGGAAAGTACACCAGTATTTGCGTACTTTGAAAGTATACCATCTTTGTAAACATTTTTTTTTCATTTGTAATCAACAAGCTTGGCGCTCACGCGGCGCGATGAGTGACAAATAATTGCACAAGTAAACCACTCACACAACATGCAAGTAAAGGGCAATAACAAAATGTATGTAAGTAAATATATCTTAAGTAAGATGGGCAAAAGAAGTTGGGCAAAGAATGCCTAGAGAAGCTGAACAAATTAGGCAAAGAAAATAAAGTCCTCCTACTCTGGATGCTCGCTTACCAAGGGATAGAAGGCAATGAAAAAGCAAACGATCTAGCTAGAAAAGGAGCGAACACTCCATTAACTGGACCAGAACCGTTCTGCTTTCCAAGCGGAAATCAACTTAAAGCGGAACTGAAGAACCTGGAAGACTCTATTTGTAACCTGGAATAAAAATTCTCTAAAGGTCAAGACACTCGAAAAAGTTCCTGAGATCTTACGACTCAACGGCGAATGCAAATTCTGTGGGGGAAAATCACTGAGTTCGTCGAGACCACAACTGTTCGTGCCATAAACATGGGTGTGGCTGATGTCGAAGATGGAGAGAGCTGGCCTCTGTGGAGCCGTCTCAGATACTGGCTTTTGTCAAAGCCTTGAGACTATATAATGAGTAATAAGTCGTTATAACTTAAGAAAGGGGAACGCACAATAGATCTGTAAGGTCGCGGTGATTGACCCCCTCCTAAACATTCTACATTTTACATCTTAAGTAATATCTAGAATAAAAATAAGATACAAAATGCTTAATGCGATGTCATAATATAAAAATAAGATTTTATGATATCGCCTAGGGTAGGCAATGCCTTCTTGTCTACATTTATGCACGCCACTGAGTTAAAGAGTCGGAAAATTCAAGCGAATATTTAAACGAATAAAATTTGACAGGAAAATAAAGTTTACCGTCATTTTTTTCATTGAATAAAATGAAAAAGTCAATAGCTACGTGGGTATATAATCTATGTAATGTATATTACATATATCTGGGGCATTAATATTATGTAACTGCTTATATCCGTTAAAAAGTTTATTTGCTTTGCCATTTAGTAATGCCCCTTTTTAGCTCTTCATCAGACATTATTATCGTTATAAATTATAAATATACAGAGCGATCACTCTTATATTATTTCACAAGTACAAATAAACACTATATATGATTGGAATACGTATTTTTCTAAAATATTTTTTTTGCGATATTTAATGTAGCTTTAAAAGTATTTAGATTCATTTTTAGTTGTTCATCGGACATAACTGTGAATTATACAGGATGAGTTTTAATTAAAAGCAAATATTTTCAGGGCTGGTAGATCACGAAAAAATATATTTTCTGTTTGCCGTTTCTCAAATGGGTTGTAAGAAAACCTTACAAAATAAAAATATATTTATATTTCTTAAAATTTGAGAACCACTGCATTGTTTGTGTTTTTTGTTCGTTGTAATTAAAAAATTAATATTTAGTCTACTACTTATGTTGCCATATTATCAAGATAATTTTTTATGTGAAAATTTGTCACACATTTTTTTTTCCACGGAAAAACTTCATAGGCGTGTTTTCGGGGTCGAAATATACAACCTGTAAAAATATTTGCACTTATTTGAGACTCACTCTGTGAATATACAGAGCGATCATTTTTATTTTACTTCAGCTAAACAAAGATATTCATTCTATAATAATACATAGGTACGATTAGAATGCATTAAATCATTTTAGAATATTTAAAATATTAAGCATTTCATAAATATACTTTTTTAATAACAGTTATAATAATAACAATATGCTTAATCTTTTAGGGCATACAAAGTTATATCCTAACAAAGAATAATTTTGTTAAAGCGGATAAAATAAATTACCATATTTTACGCTTCAAAATAATAGTTAAGATTGAATATACCAAGCGTTGTAGGTAGTTAACAGCTTGTATGATAGAAACTATTAAGTTCCACTTATAAAATGAATTTTTAAATGTAATGCAGAGACATATATTTTATTACTTATATATTATTTTATAATGCGAGAAGAACATTTCATAAAAAATATTATAAGCTTGATTTTGACTACGATATTTATTTTTTAGAATATATTCTTTTAATTTCTGTTTTAGCATCACCCATAATATCAGTGATAGTTCAGATTATAATGCACATTAAATCAATTAGAAATTAATAAATTTTTATATCATAATTCTATCATCTATAGAAATATTTTTTTTGTAAATACTACGAATACCTAGTCAAAAAAATAATTTATTTTGATAAATCTTTGAATCTTATCATGGTATAAGAATTATATAATTTTATAAAAATGTATGAGGAAAGTCCGGAATTTTCAGATAATAACTTGTACAAGGAATGAAACGAATAAAAAACTTTAAATTATATTAAGTTATTAACTAAATACTATTAAAAAAACATATTAATTAATTTAATATCGTTTAATTTTAAAGTGTTTTTGATTTTTTCTTTGAAAGGTACGTATACGAAAACGAATCTAATCTTAATTAAATATTTAATTATTTGTAATAATGGTAGAAACATAAACAATACTTACGACTTTTTACAAGACGACAACTTTCCCTTGACACTGAATAAATTCACAAAAAAAAGAGCAAATGACACAAGAAGGGAGAATAGAGACTGAAACAAGCGGCTCTATCTCGCGAATGAGAGCGCACTTATCTACCGATAACGCGCGTGGTCCTGCCTTTGGCTCTAAATTATTCCTGCCGAGATTCCAATGGTACTGGACACGTACTGGCCGTTCAAAACATTTTACAAAACATTTGAGCAGACCTGGAGAAGGGGCTAATTGATTCTTTGGTTCCATGGCCCTCCAGTGCTGCTGCCACTGGAAATAGTGACAAATTATATCCGGATGATTCAAATTCACAGAATTTTTTTCGAGATTCACTTCCTGTTCAGCTTGCATTATTAAATACCACTTAATTGCATTAAGCTCCCCATTTTATAGTTTATATTTTATATATAATTGTTAAAAATATATATTTTAGATTCTAATATAAAATTAGTCTTTTCTTTATATACTCCATAGACACTTTAAAATTTTGATGTATTTTAAAGTTTAATATATTTTGTTTTATTGGACCGATTTTAAAATTATTTGACTTTTTAGTATCTCTTTCTAAATTAAAAAAATAAAGTTTCCATCTGTGGGGGAAAACAAAATGTTGATATTTTTGGTAAAAGTTTGAAACACCCTGTGGAATATGTTAAGACAGCAACGAATTTAAAAATCATTTTATCATCCAGGTTCATCTAAATAGCTTTATTTTTGTTGAGATATTCGCTTTTGAAGAAGACACTAACATTTTTCCGTAATTTTTATATTAAAACCATGCCTTTGCTTTTGGTCCTCTAGTCAACAGAGCTAGTAAATTGGGGTCCCCAAGCAGGCCTTCTTAACATAAGATTTGCTTCGTTTAATCTCCTTCTTACAGTCCGTTCAGTTACTTGTACGTTGCTTTTCCAACTTCTAGACTTAAAACCATTTCTGCAAGAGTAACTGCCCAACAGCCAGCAGACAGTAATAACATGATTTTTCAATAACAGTGACATTACATAAACACTAATTCATAGGTCTGTTGACTGGAACCAAAAGCAAAGCATGGTTTTGTGTGAGGTTCAAGTTAACGTCTTCTTTCTGCTGCAATGGCTAAACTGGACGGGACCTACTTTAGCTTTTTTCGTTTTCCTGTTATTACCGATTCTGAACCGTCCTAGAACTCTGCAGCGCATGCGCAAATGAAATAATGTCTTCATATTTCCTTCTGCGCATACGCATCACAGTTCTAGGACGGTTCAGAATCGGTAATAACAGGAAAACGAAAAAAGCTTTTGTTTACGCGGAATCTGAACCGCGGTCCTCGGCCATATCATGGTCAATGGCCTACCGACTTAGGGAGTGTCTAAATTAACTCTTACTCATGAGATATCCGATCTCATCCGGCCTCGAACCGACGTGAATGAGCAGTGTGTATCAATAGATTTTACACTTTTCCCTTGGACAACAGCACGATGCAAAGTTTCGAACCGGTCACCCGTCCATCAACTAGCATCGCCTTACGTCGCTTAACTTCGGCGTTCTAATGGGAACCGGTGTTTCGACGTAGCTGGGCCGTTGCCCAAAGCATGGTTTTAATGTCAAAATTACGACAAAATGTTAGTGTCTTCTTCAAAAGCGAATATTTCCAAAATAAAATAAAGCTATTGAGAGGAAAAAATGAAACTATCGAGAAAAGATCCACTTAGATGATAGAATGATTTTCAAATTCCTTGCTTTTTTAACATATATTCCACAAGATGTTCCAAACTTTTACCAAAATAACATTTTGTGTTTCCCTGTATAATTGACAGAAGGGAACTTTTATTTTTAATTTAGAAAGAAATACTAAAAAGTCAAATAATCTAGCTACAAATTGCTTAAAAGATCATCAAAATCGGTCCACTAGAAAAAAAAAACGGCGTCCAGTTGGCTGGGAAATGAGGATCGATGACATTTCCCACATAAATTTATAATAGAAGATAGACCTTCTGAAGATATCAAAATATTTACTTTTTTATTTTTATTTATAGAATTTTCACAAATTATGCTTTCTAACACTTTTAAACCGGTGTATTTGTATATGCTAGTTTTTTACGATATTCTCCGATGGCGGCAGGGGGGTAGGGGCACAGGCGGAGAATGCACCAAGCTTATACATATAGTAATCAGAGCTGCAAGAAGTCAGTTTTAAAAAGACTTAAGTTTTAAGTCATTTCTTAAAGCAAAATGATTTAAGTCTTAAATCAAATTTAATATAAAGTTCAAATGACTTAAGTTTTAAAGATTTAAATCTTTTTTAATGAGTTAAATCTTTTCCAAAAAGACTTAAATCTTTAAAAAGACTTAAATCTTTTTTAACGACTTTAATCTTTTTCTATTTCGGAATAAAGACTTAAATCACAAGTCATTTTGAAAATGACTTAAATTTTAAATCTTAAGTCAGCTTTCAAAACTTCAAAGCAAATGATTTAAGTCATTAATATCATTTAAGTCAAAAAAAAATTCTGTGACCTTGCAGTTCTGATAGTAACAGTTATAATTACGGGAATCATTTACCTATTGTAACTATATTTTTATAACAAATGTTACAGTTTTGATATCCGAACAACAGTAAAAAATAAAATTTTGCTATATTCAACGCCTGGAATTTTGTAAATACGCTTCTGTAGTCCAGTTTAGCACATTCATCTTTTTGCGTCCATATTTTTAATTGCCCCTTAATTATACCTGAAATGAAAGGTCTTTGCAGTTGAGCTTGGATACAAAAAAACGAAAACGGAAGTAGACAATCGGCATCAAGCGCTCCCCCTTGGGCGCCATATTATAATAACCGTCAATGATGAAATGGAGAGGGAGAAGCACATCCGATCTTTATACCAAATGGGGGACATGCAGACACTATAAAAAATCTGATATCCAAAATATTTAAAAAAACATTTTTTGCTATCAAATTTCTTCAACTAAGAGTAAGAGAGTAATTTCTGGAAAAAGGGCTGGGGGTTCCTCCAAGGAAACAGAAATCCAAAAAATAAAAAGTTATTTTTTTAGAGGAAAAGAGGGTAATGTGGAATACTGTTAGTAATTTGGAATACCCATTTATTGAAGCTATGCGAAGCGCGATCTGTTTAAATATGGTATAAACTAATAGTTCGGCTTGTATTTAGTGGGCAACAGGGTTTGTAATTATTTAAATATATAGTACAGAGCAAAAATATATGAATAAAGAATTGTGACGTGACAAAATCTTTCCTATTGGAAATTAAATCGGCAATCATCGCCCTGCTTTTTTATTTAAACTAACTTTGATTGGGTCTTCAGATAAGTATTGGTTTATATTTTAATTTGTTAAATGTATTTTTATGATATATTAATGCATATATATATTTTTAAGGATTATGGCGTAGGTCTTCATGTTGCTAATTTGTAATACTATAACTGATGTAAATTTGGAATAGTCCAAATTAACGTTCATCTTACTGCTTTTCGATTCTATAATGTATGTAAATTTCTTTGGCACGCACTGTAGGTTAACCTCCTTGATATGTTTAAACATATAAGGTGTCCGGTGTCGATATATTTGTCTTAATCTGATCTTAATTGTAGAGATAAAGGTAACAGGTATTTCGACCTCCTCAGAACTCGCTCTAGAATTTGATTTAAATAGAGAGCCAGAAGAGACTGTAGCTTTGTTCGAGTTCTTGTTATTTCCGATTCTGAACCGTCCTAGAACTCTGCAGCCCATGCGCATATGAAATACTTTTTTCATATTTTCTTATGCGCGTGCGTATCACTGTTATAGGATGGTTCAGAATCGGTAATAAGAAAAACCCAAAGTAAGCTGTTATGTTTTTTTAGGCGAAGGAAAGGTACAAGGGGAGAATAGTAGGATCAGTGCCTCACATGCACAGTGCATAGTGGGATCAGTGCACTCTGTGTTATAAATGACGCCGGAACGTATTTATGTGTGTGACTACTGTAAATATTTTACCTAATTTTCTCTTTTAACAATATTTAATATTTGGATACTTTTTTAACAATGTTTTATTTACCTTTTTAATATAAACAACATATCTGCTGCTATTTTGGTGGTATTCCAAATTATCTGCATATTAACGTTGAGAGACCCACTGCTGTTTTGATTGTTTTTGTCTTTGCTTATCAGGTCTGCTGTGAATTTTGTCTGCTATGAACTTTATCATCTGTCTCTGCTCTGGTGAAAAAAAAGTGAAGTTATATTTCTTGTTCATTTCCTGATAGTCTTTTATTTTTACTTTAAATGTGGTAGACAATGATTCAGTGTTAAAACTAAAAGAGTTTCGGACTTCCGTTGATGATACCTTTATAATCTGGAAAGGAACCGATAGACAGTTGGATTCCTTTCTTAATCATCTTAATTCACGAAATAACTCAATCAGATTCACGATTGAGAAAGAGAAAAAATTCTGCCTGCCGGTTCTGAATGTTCTTGTCAGTAGAAGCGATGGATCTATTAGCACAGCTGTATATAGAAAATCAACACATACGGGAAAATATTTAAATTCCCAGTCGAACCATTCTGAAGCAACCAAAAAAGGTATAATTAAAACACTATGTCATAGAGCAATCGCTATATGCAGTAAACAAGAATCTCTGAATTCTGAACTAAATAATATTAAAACCGATTTGCTTCAGAATGGTTACTCTGCAAAATCCCTAGACATTATTATATTCAATTGCAGGTCCGACTCATTGGTACGCCAGCCTGAGGAGGATGCCTCTCTCTCGACGATTCGATATGTGAAAGGAACATCGGAGAAGGTCAGGCGAATATAAAATTAAAACTGTTTTTAATTCTGGGACTACTCTGAGAAGTGTTCTAACAAAAACAAAACCTGAATCATCAAACCAAGAGAAAGAGTGCCTTCTAGAAATCCTGTACAAAAGAATCATATAATTCAACTTCATGAGTTCCATACGTATATGACCAGAAATATATTTGATCGTCTTGATACCGAAAATAGTCGAATGGCTTCAAAAATAACTTAATAGTAAACTGTTTTTAAATGATTCTAAGTATGAATTAACTATTTTATATGCAAGTACTAAGTACTACAAGGGTACTACTAAGTACCAGAGGTGGGCCTGAAAATCACCACCTTGACTATATGACCAGTCCGACACTGTCCAGATTTAGAATCATCATGGAACTCATTGGAGCGAACTGGTCTTTGTTTTAGTCTTGCACAAAAAGTAAGACAAGTACTATCAGTGGTGGATACAGAGGGGGGGCCTATGGGGCCCAGGCCTTCCCTAAGATCTCTAAATTGTGTTAAATATTAGGCTTTTTCGTTAAAAATGGCTCGCTAAACAGCATATTCTATATTACCTTTTATTTGGACCCCCCTAAAATACATTCCGGGCCCCCCCTAAAATACATTCCGGGTCCCCCCTAAAATTAATTTCTGTATCCGCCCCTGAGTACTATACAATACCAACGTTTGATCTGTAAGATCGGCCAGTGCAAGACTGTAAGGTGGGTACTCACTGAGCGAACGAATTCCGAACGAACAACGAAGTCCAAACAACGAAGGTTCTGGGTTCGTTCGGCCGTAATTCAGGTACCCTACCAATGAGCGAATCCGAAACGAATGCAGAAAGTTCGCTGTTTGGTTGGCTTCGTCGGTTTGTGAGTTTGTTTAGCAGAAAAAATGTGTGACAAAATTATAGCGGCATCAGCTTTTATAATTATTGCGGGATCACTAAAAGTAAAAAAACAAAAAAGGAAAAGAAAACATTGGATGTCAAAGGTTTATCACAGTCGGGATAAATATAGGGACTAGACTGCTTCCATGCATCTTTTTTTACTTTTGTTATGGTACAAATTGGAAGGATTCCATAACAATTCCTCCTTTCTATATGCTTCAATTAAATCAATTGTAAGTTCGTCTGTCCATTGAAGTTTACCAGACATCTTGAATCTTTTAAACTTAAAAACACAGCGTCCAAATGTAAATAATATAAATTCGGATTCGGAGTTCCCCCAAAAAATTAAAAACCCGCGAATCTCGTCAACACCGAACTGCGAATCTCTTTGATGTACCGCTCTCCGACTGAACGCAGGCGACGGCGAACCGAACTTAAAAATGCCATTCGATTCGCCTTCGCATTTACGTACACACTTGACGAATCATTCGGAGTTCGTTGTTCGTTCGCTCAGTGAGTACCCACCTTTAAAGGTGCGTATTCACTATCCGAACGAACGAACGAATGTTCATTCGTTCGTTCGGTAGTAGTATGGACGGGACCGGATTTTAGAACCAAACGAAAATACCTTAACCCATTCGTTTGCGGACGCCTTTGATGTACCGACTCGAAACGGATGGTCGAGCGAACGAACAAACGAACGACCGCATGCGTTCGTTCCACCGTCCAAATATACCGAATTCCATTCGTTCGCTCGCTCGCTCGTTCGTTCGTTCGTTCGGATAATGAATACGCACCTTAAGACGAATACCAAGCATGCATTTTCTGTAATGCAAGACTCTTGTATTTTTTCACGTTTATATGATACAAGAAATTACTTATTTGTTAAAGTTATTTTAATTTATTTTATTACAAAAAATAGTATTTTTCCGATTATTGTATAAAATTTTAAAGAAAGGAATACTGTTTCAATATAATATATTGAAAAATAAACATTTTTGCTAGAACAATATTCTAATAATTTCTGTCTTTAAAGTTTTATTTGCATTAAATTACCAAAAATATGTATTTTTTATTTAAAGATTTTCTATGCAAAAAGTGCATCTACTAAAATCTATTATAAAATGTAAGACTTACAAGAGTCTTGCGCAAGACGGTATTACAAAATAGTTGGATTGTTAAGTTTTCATAAAGGAGAGTTAACGAAATGTTTTGTTCTTAATCATTTCCACTATGTAATGTATTTTAAAAAGGGGCATACGGTATATATCGAGCGAATATGTATATTTTGTTGAGAAAAGTTCCTTGGAGAATCACATAGTACATCACTGATACAATTGGCACGACAGCTTGAGTGGTAAAACAATAAAACAGAATTGAATGAGTCGTTCGAGCTGCCAGATAACGAATTAATTTAGAAGAACGAGCGTTAGTATTTAAATGTTCATAGGCATTATAGCACTACATCCCAGAAATCGTATTTCCTGGTTAGGATACATCCTCCTAATAGAGAACGTAAAGGAAGTGACTGATCGCACTCCACTCATATTTACAGGGTGTTCCAGCATTCCGATAAATCTCTATATCAGATTTCTGCTTTGAGGCTTTCACTCCAAGTCTTTGTTTAAATTTATATTTTACAATAGTTTTGCGCATATTTCAAAGAAATATTTTTTTCAATATAGTGAACGATTCAAACACATTTTCTATGTACTTTTAAGCTCAGTGTATTTGCCATTAAATTCCGTAAATAATGTAATATTATGTAGGTAATTAGTAAGAGTAGTCATAAAATAAGACTTTTAAACAAAAAGGGTCATTCTTCGACATTTTACATATTCGTAGTCATGAAAATTGGCGATTTTTATCATGACACCAATTTTGTTAAAACTGCTGCTAATCATTAATTAAAAGGCGTAGAATAAGAAAATATAGGCCATTGTAGTCTTACGAGTACGGTATTAGTTGTTGGAGACGTTTTAACCATCATCAAAAATAGCGCTTGTCACCGATTATGTTAAAACTGCTGTTATATACTAATTGAAAAGCGTAGAATATTAAAATATTTGGCCATTGTAGCCTTAGGAGTGCGGTACTTATTGTAGGGGACTTTTTTGACAATCACTAAGACTACATAGCTCAAAAACAAGGGCTCAAAAAATTAATTTTCTCACAAAACTAAAGTATCTAAGCGAACAAAGGTGTATATTTTCTGAATCTACATAAAATTTCCTATAAATACTGATATTTTCATAATATTAGGTCTATGTTTATTATTTCTTTAAGATCTTTGAAAATATACAAAACCAAAAATTGACATTTTTTCACTTCATATAATACATAAAATAATCATGAAAATAGTCGATTTTTGGTGATGCCACCATTTTGTTAAAACTTCTGTTATATACTAATTGAAAGGTGTAGAATAAGAAAATATAAACCATTGTGCTTTCACCAAAGGGTTTTACGAAAAAACTGTTTTAGGGGAAGTTTTAACATTTTTAATCTAAGGTTTTAACCATAATCAAAAAATGCTCAAAAGCAAGGCTTCAAAAAATTTATTTTCTTACAATTTTCAAACCAAATCGTCTAATCCTTGGAAGGTGTATATATTCTGAATTTACATAAAATGGTTGTTATCTACAAATGCTGATATTTCCATAATATTAGATATATGTTTACTATTTCTCTTAAGACCTTTAAAAATGTGTAAAAATATTGAAAAAAACTGAATTGGAAAATAATGACTATATGTAGTAAAAAGTGGAAAAATGGACATTTTTCCACTTGTTTCCTTACATGTAGTTTTGGTTTTCGTCATTTCAGCGATTTTATAACTGCTAAATAAGGAAATATAGGCGTTGTATATTGTGACCTTACAAGTACACTATTATCTCTTAAAATTAGAAACTTAGATGAACCCATTATTAATTTATTAATATTAACATAATAAAATACAGCAACTTTTTTTATGCTAGATAGGTAGGTATAAAAAGAATTATATAACGTTAATATAACCCTCTCCTTTATATGTTTTGAGGCTTTATTACAAAAAGGATAATATTACTCCATATGCTTTAATTAAAACATTAAAAATATATTATATAAAATATTTCTTTTACAGACATATAAAAATATATATAAACTTTTATTATCCTGTATAAAACCTGGCTCATAGAGTAAACCTGCATTATTCAGGGCACTTTATAACACTTAAAATTTGTTGCGGTTATTAACAAATCCCATTCGTATTGTGAATATGAACTCAATTTCTTCATAAAATTTAACTGATTTGTGTAAAATATCTTGTTAACTTTGTTGTTAATGCCAATTAGGAAAATTACGCGTACAGAATTGTTAACTAGGTGTTATTATTTACGCATTCCCATCATATTGCAAGTTATAAAATTGTATCAGTTCTGAAAGGAATTTTATTCTAATTTTTCTATAATATATTTTTATTTTTTTGTATAGAAAATATTGATTTTCTGGAAATAGGAGTTTAGACTTTAGCCACGCCACAAAGTGCACAGATAGGAGCTATAGCCACTTCCTTATCTGACCTTTAATAAATTGTCAACGGTCTGACAGAAGTTTGAGGTTAGAAACGAAAATTGATTATTTTTCAGATGTGATCCAACAAAAATTTGTGTAAATAATTGAAAAATCACAATGCATTGTAGAAAGAACTTATGACATGATATTTTCCTTCCTCCCTTAATATAATGGCTTGGTATTGGAGGGCTCTACGTGTTAGAAAATTACTCTGGTAAACAAATATTAAAAATTCATTTGAAACCTTTAAAGAGCTTTATATAATTTTAGCCCATCTGTAAGAAACTTTTATTTAAAATGTCGTATTACCTACCTTTCACTTACTTACAATCATTTTATGGATGCAAGTTATATGGCCGATGTGTGTATGGGTCCAATGTTTTGGTTTGTTGATACATTTACCCATGCTATTGGAAAAGTATGTAGGGCCAGAGGAAATTAATATACTTTATAAAACATGATCTGTTTCAGCTTTTAGTGGCAGCTGTAATAAGCTTAACAGCATCAGTTATTTTTATTGCCTATTGGATTGGTATACCATATTGGTGGAAGAAAAACCATTACGCATGTATCTTTCTAGTCACTTTAGGTCACTGGCTGTTAGTAAATATTTGTTTTCATTATTATATGGCCTGCACAACACACCCAGGATTTCCACCAGAAGTAAAATATTACATCTCTGTCTTATTTTTTAATTATTAAGTCTCCTTTTTCTAAGGGTGAATTAATAACTGAAGCTGTAAGCATATGTAAAAAATGTATAGCTCCTAAGCCACCAAGAACCCATCACTGCTCAGTATGTAATCGGTGTATTTTAAAAATGGATCATCACTGTCGTATCCTTTTATATATTAAGACAGTCAATATAGCTTTTAAGAAGTTTTTGGTAAATATTTCCTTAATCTTACTTTATAGCTTGGTTAAATAATTGTGTAGGTTATAGAAACCACAGGTATTTCTTTATGTATATGGCATATATGGTGGTTGGGGTGATATATTTAATTATGGCTGGATGGGAACTTGTCTATAACTCCATAATGCTAAGTGAAGATGGTTGTGATGAACTAGAATTAGAAGGTCATTCTGTAAAAATAAATAAGACTGGTGCTTTAATACCAGTGGTAATTTTGTTGAAAACAACTTAGACATATTTTATGTTAAATACCTTTTATTGCAGACAGGCACAGTGATATTAGATTCTTCATTTCTGGAGGAACATGAATTAGAACCAGTGAATCCTTACAGAAGAAAAGCCCTTATCTATATGGCATTAATAAATTTAGGTATTAGATTTCAATTTGTTGTGATTTAAATACCACTATTGAAATATTTTTGCAGGTGTTTTATTTGCTTTAGGAGCCCTATCAGTTTGGCACTCTCTTCTCATTACTAGGGGTGAAACAAGTATAGAAGCAAACATTAACAAAGCTGAAACTTTAAGGCTGAAAGAACAAGGCAAAACTTATAGAAATCCATATAATTTTGGACCAAAAAATAATTGGATTTTGTTTCTTGGTCTTGTTGAAGGAAGGTATAAATGATATTTTTATTACAATTTTACTTTTGTACATAGTAAACATTTAGGGTTTTTTGGAAACATATTCTTTTTCCATCAACACATGAACCTATTGGTGATGGATTATTATGGTCAACCATTCATGATGATGAGAAAGCAGTAGAGCAAGAAGAAATTTTTAAGCTATGCAAAATGAAAATCCATGATGTAAATAATGTGGAAGAGGTGATATTAAATAAATAGAAAATAGTTTTTCTACTCAATTTCATGCAAAGCACCAGTCTTATTTATTTTTACATAATTAATAATGTATAATTTTGTGCTTTTTTATAATATACTGATTATATGCGGAATAATTAATATATACTTATAAAAATAGATACATTTCTAAATATTTTTAAATCACAAATTAATTGATCAATTATTGAATGTTATTCAAGTAAATTTCCTGTTAAAAGTTGGATTTTTATGTAAATTACAATTGCATTGTTTTATTTTATATTATGCATTTAGATCATTGTTTTACAACTATTTATTGTCGGTGTAGCATTTAAAGACCTACAAGTGTACAAATACACAACTACATTTTTTAATGTGAGAGAAATTTTATTAATTTGGATTTGATGGATTTAATAAAAGTAAAAGGAGAATTTGAACTGCAACAACTTATGATTATAATTTTTTTTATATCTAAATTAATTTCTAATATTTTTTACGTACATGTTAATAATTAAAAAGATATACTTCCAACTGTTATATATTAAATTAGTGTTATTTAATTGACAAGCTTTTAGCTTCATTAACAATTTTAATTATTTTAAATATCTCCAAATATTTTCCAATATAATCACGGGTACTGGGTGTCCAAAATGAGGAGTAAGTGATAAACTTTAATGACTATATTATATTGCTAAAAGTAAGAACATATTGGTATATGCATGTTAGATATAAAAATCAAATGTTTTTACTGTGCACTTTGTAATATTTTGTTGAAATTATGTTCAGAGAATTATGGACACCATCTATGTACAGGGTGGTCCGAATTGTTATTCGGGAAACTTCCGCAGCATATTCTGCAAATAAAAATAAGTAAAAAAGTTTGATAAATGTATGTCCTAAAATGCATCGTTTCGGAGGTACAGGGTGTAGAGTTTCATTTTTATTTTAGTTTTATCCAAATCATTTCTGAACCACCGTTGATAATTGGATGAAAATTGTTATCTGGTTGTTTTTTGACTTGATAAATTTTATTTCAATGTCAATATGACTCCTACTGGTAGGTGGCGCTGCCTACATGTTTTTTAACCGATTTGAAGAGTAATGATTTTTCGTCCGTACCGGTATAAAATTTTTTTCGATGTATATTTTTTCACTCAGTACCTAGTGTTATACAGGTACGGACGAAAAGTTATTACTCTTCAAAACAGGTAAAACATATGTGGCTCCTGAGTCATACTGACATCGAAATTGAGTTTATCCTATCAAAAAAACACGCAGACACCAATTTTCATCCAAATATCGGCGGCAGCTGAGAAACTATCTGGAAAAAATCGAATAAAAAATGAAACTGCTACACCCTGTATCACCGAAACGAAGCAGTTTAGGACATATATATTTATACGAACTTTTTTTACTTATTTTTATCTGCAGTATACCATTCAGACCACCCTGTATATTCTGGATATATGCATTAGTTATCAAACACATTATTTTATTTAATTTTAACACATTTTTATTTGTATAGTCTTTGACAGGTATCTGCTAGTTTTAAGTTTTATTTCTGTACAAATTGACTGTTATAAACACCAGAGATGACACAACTGCTGTGAAAATCAATTTTTTGTTTATTAAATTTCTAAAATTATCTTTTTTATTAAATCTAATTTATAAACAGTAAATGTGATATGTGCTTCAAATCTCTGGTTTTTTATATTTTTAGGATACATTTGTATAATTTATTTTATATGAAGGCTAATACATATTGTAATAGAAATGAAAAATATCGTAAAAGAAATGAAAAAAAAAGGCAAAAAAGGCTAATTAAGATATGATCCTTTCACTAATAAGTACAAGGTATTGTTATTATTAATAGAATGTCTAGGGCGTGGCTTGAAGTAAAACATTCTTTATTTATTATTTTATAATTAATTCTAACATCAAAGATATTCAGATGTAGATTACTATGTTCTTGTCATACAAGAGTTGTTTTACATATACAAATATGTATTACTTAAGTAGTGTACGTACTTTTTTACCTTCCAAAGAAAAACTTCCTTAATTTTGTTGATTTAGTAATATAAAGACATAGGATAAGAAAAGGTTTGGAGACAGATTACATTATTGTCAATGTATTATTACCATTCTTTGAGATAGAGTAACATAAATTTTATATGTATTCCCACTGTGATTGTACTGTAATTATGAACTATTCAGCTAACTATAAAAATGTTCCAAGAATAAGTTACCTTTTGTTACTGAATTCTGTTTATTATCAATATAGGATGCTCAATGTAGAATATATTAAAATACATATTCCTTTTTGTTTTACTTATGTGTTTTATTTAAAAAATATCTTAATAATATATAAATAATTTTACCAAATAGTCTGTTCTATCCAACTCACATATTCTGAAATTTTAGTATACACTGCAGGTGTATTTGCTTGAGCGCAAAGTTTTCCAAATGATGTCACACCAATTATGTAAAACTTGCACCAATTTTGTTTATCTGTTATTACTAGAGGACCACCAGAATCTCCCTAAAATGGAAAAAAATATTCGTCTGTTATATGCTTAATAAATTTTTAACAGGGCTATTATGACGTCTTTTTTAATTCACTCGAAGGGCATAGTTACATACAGAACTGCAATAATTCAATTTCAAAAAGATTTAATACAAGTCTTAAGTCATTTATTATAAAATTTCTCGTATTATCGATTGGCCGATTTCTTTATTACCTTTATTATTCATTATTTGAACGTACAAATGGGACTAAAACCGCAAAAAATAAAATGGCTAATTATCCGAATAACTACTAATACAAATATGTTATTTATAAAATTTAACCGATCTTGTAGTAATTTATATGTATCCATTACAGGTTTAGATGTCATCGAATACATGTCTATTAAAAAAAAAGCGGTGATATGTTTTGATCACTATGTAATCAGTCGTTGGCCTAAGCTAAGGGCTGGAGGATTTTAATATACTCTTCAGTATAGGTATTCGATATCAATAAAATTTATTTCGTTCGGTTTTCGGGCTACATAAAAGGGTCGGGGATTCACTTGAAAAAAAAACAGACCGACTACGCACGCTCAACGCGACAAATTAATCAAAACCGGTTCTGAAGAACTAACTTTTAATTACTAGTGGTATTAAGTGTTGTTCAGAGAGAAAGATAATAAAATTATTTTTATTTATTCTTCTATGGTGTTGTTATCACAGGTTGTTATTTAATCTGCTGCCTGGCTGACGCCCAAGAGTTTAAAAAAATGCTGCTGTTAAAATGTATCATAAAAGTATATAAAAATCTGACTGAAGTTTTGCATGGAAAAGACTTAAATTTAAGCCTTTTTTAATTGCTTAATTCTTTTTCTATTTCGGTATAAAGATTTAAATCGCAAATAATTTTATATAATTTTAAGTCTTAACAACTCTAGTTATAATACTAGAAATAGTCTTAATACTGTTCTAACTTTAGTGTTGCTTGGTAGACAAAGCTGGAGCGACGTACAGCAAGGCAAAACCTGTGCAAACTACAGAGATTGGCATGTATCTGTATCACAAGTGCCATGAGAACTTGTCCAATAGCAGCAATGGAGGTCATCCTAGACCTAACACCACTGCATATTGTCGTCGGTAGTTATGCGAATGCGACAATTATTAGAATGGTCATTGACAGTAACAGTACTGGGAGAATTTTCAAGTCAGGGGCTTGGAACACCCCCAAAAAGAAAATTCCACTTCTCCAACTCTCAGTGGATGACACCTCACTGTAGTATTGAGTAATAAAAAGGATTGGAAGGAAGAAACGTTTGATCAGTATGTAAAAGACCATACCATAACTTGGTATACTGATGCTTCCAAAACCAAAGCAGAGACAGGGATAGGAGTATTTGGGCCGAAAACTAAATACTCCGAATCAATGGGCACCTACCCCAGCATCCTTCAGGCAGAAATTTACGCTATCGAAAGATGCGTACAATTTATCTTAGATAAGAACTATCAAAACCATGAAATAGCCATCTTATCCGATAGTCAAGCAGCACTAAACGCGATCAACTCAGTAACCATTAATTCGAAGTTGGTCAAAGAATGCATAGAGAAGCTCAACAAATTAGGCAAAGAAAATAAAGTCCTCCTACTCTGGGTGCCTGCTCACTAAGGGATAGAAGGCAATTAAAAAGCAAATGATCTAGCTAGAAAAGGAGCGGACACTCCACTAACTGGACCAGAACCGTTCTGTTTTCCAAGCGGGAACCAACTGAAAGCAGAACTGAAGAATCTGGAAGACTCCATCCATAACCTGGAATGGGTGTCCTTCAACGGTCTAAAACACTCGAAAAATTTCCTAAGAAATTACGACCGAGAAAAATCAAAGATTTTCCTTGATTTAAGTGAAAACAATCTTCGGATTGTCATGGGAATTCTAACAGGACACTGTCTTCTCAACGAACACCTTAGTAGGCTGAAGCGGAGACACAACAGTAAATGCAGATTCTGTGGGGAAAATGGTAAACTCCAGAACACCTTATCACTGAGTGCGCCGAGACGACGACCGTTCGTGCCATGAATTTTGGTACGGCTGATGTCGAGGATGGAGAGCTGATCTCTGTGGAGTCGTCTCAGATACTGGCTTTTATTAAAGCCCTGAGACTGTATGATGAGTTATAACTCGTTATAACTCAAGAAAGGGGAACACACAATAGATCCGTAAGGTCCCGTTGATTAACTCCCCTCCTAAACATTCTACATTCTACATTTTAAGTCTTAACATGTCAGCTTTCAAAAAATGAAAAATCAAATAACTTAAGTCATTAAAATTATTTAAATAAAAAAAGACTTAAGTTTTGTGTGAGCTTTCAGAGAGAGAGATTTCTGGTTAGATACCTACTGGGAATAATGTGAAAAAACTTACCAAACAGGTGTCCTTACCGCCTTTAAGCTCTCCCACACATAACATACTTCTCAAAATTCCTCTAGGTAATTGGGTTTTGTCACTTTTGAATACCCTATTGCACTCACTTACGGGATAGATATTAAGCGATACCTTCATTAGTTTATTGCTGTTTTCTCCTACGTAATCTACAACAAGTTATTAAATGTATGAGAACACTGAACTAATTAAACAATACCTCACCTGTTCTACCCCATCCTGTAGCAATAGCTACACTTTGTTCAATAGATGGTTTTGTATACAGACACGCTGGCCTTATGTACCGTGTAAATCGAATTTTTCTGTTAGTGGATATCAGAGCTACGTCGTTATATTTTTCTGGATATTTGTACTGAGGATGTGAAATAATTCTGTCTACATCATAGTCCACTCTATCAGGGTCTTCTTTAGTGTAGTCCAATTCCCCTAATCGTATTTTCCTTGGTTCTCCTTCGCTAAAAAGAGAATACCGTTTCTTCCAAATGTCTTTGGTTGATATTTAGGACCTACTCTCTTGAATAAGTGCAATGTGCAGCGGTAACGATCCATCTGTCGCTTACAATCGTTCCACCGCATCTCCAGTTTAAATCTCCATCTTCAGAGATGAAACCAATTAAAGCCTTAAGAAAGAATATATAGGAACCCAGGTTTAGGTAGAGAACCACTGAAGCCAGCAGTTTTCTACTTAAACTCGAATGCTTATAAACATAATTTAATTAGTTGGATCCAGAAATTCGCATATATCATCTTAAAATTTCATGAACTGTAATAATTTTGATTAAAGGGCAGAGAGAACTTTTTTATTTTAAATATTAGTGGTAGGATTGTCCTCGTCATCATCTTGATAAATTATGATAAGAATTATGATTTTTTTAAATTGATTAAGTTTATTTCGGTTTTAATATTTACCATAAATGGAAATTCTCCTTTATAAGCTGGCATTCCTCCAACAATAAGGGGAGAACTATTATCCCAACATTTAGTCACATTAATACTTATTGCTTCTGTATGTGTTACTAGTGGAATGACTTCAACTACCCCTGTTATATACTTAGAATACTCGTTACATTCTGTAATAAGAAAACCAAATCTATAAGTTCATATTAAAAATGGCCCCCCATTTGCCTTAAAAATCATCTCACTTTGCTCACTCTTCCTGCTGTTGTGATTCGAGCCACTGTTTCCTTGATTCCTTGAAGGAGGATCTTCGGGAAATATAAATTCATCGTTATTTAAAAACGAATTGTCATTGGGCTCTGGGGTTATCGTGTCTGAAATAAATCAGTCTTACAAACGTTTCAATTTATTTTGCAATATTTTACTTTCGCAACAGACTACAGGTGTGGTTAGTTGATAAAAACCGCACAATGTGGGTGCTATTCCTTTTTTAGCTTGTTCCTCAGCCCTGGGACAATTAAATGACAGCTTACACGTGCCAGACTCTCCTGTTGCTTTAATTTCACAACGCTCATCCACTAAAATTAGATATTCTCTATTTAACTTGAATGTATGAATGAATATAACATTTGTATAATATTTTTGGCTTGTTTCTTGTAGATAAATTTAATTTAAAAGCCTACATATTTTTATAAATATTATAAAAATTATTAATATTGAAAAAAGGTTTAAAATTAATTTAAATTACTTTTTTGGCTTGAACCTCAGCCCTAGAACAATTTTTATTAATAATCAGCACAGAATCATGTATTCTTTTTTAGATTGTTTATAAGCTCTGGAACAGTTAAATGAGAGCTTACACGTGGCCAGGATCGTTAAAAATTATAAGAACGATTTTTAATGAAAATCAGCCAAAAAAAAATAAGAACCAGGCTTAATAATTTTGATTTTTTGGCTTGTTTCTCAGCTTTGGGACAAAAAATGAGAGCCCTTAACGTGTCGACATCTACTGCTGCATTCATTTCACCAACGTTTAATATAATCTGAACAGAAGTTATTAGACTTTAATTTTAAAGCTTATGTAAAAATTGTATAAGAACGATTTTACAACACTAGGTGGTGAAAAAATAATTTAGTTATCAAAAATGTTTCTTTGTGTAACATTCTATTTTCACTAATTATTACGGCACCAGCATTAAATACTTGTAAATAGAGGGGAATACCGAATACACGGTGAATGTAAAATTTCCGTTAATTTAATAACTATATCAAATGTTTATTAGAATCGATAAATTATTTTTTTCAAATTCATGCAAGGGCAACAATTACATGAATAATAGTGAAAATACGTCAAAAATAATTCGTCGAATATATTCAGACAAAAAAATTACTCTTAAGATGCTTTGTTTATATTATTTTTTTTTAGCCTTATAGAATTAAAGAGTTCAGTATTCTTCAGTTACAATTATTTTCTAAAGATCATTTTGTAAAACTAAATACAGATACATTTGATACTTTTAATGTAACATCGTTTTTTGAGTGAATATTACAATTTATTTTATTCCATTTAATATTTTTTAATTTATTAATTTTGTGCGATTAACGGGCCATATCCCTTGAAAGGATTACCATAAACATGTTTATTTCTTTCACTATCTACTGCTATTTATTGTTGCTATTTATTTTAATACATTTATTCAAGCATTTCTAAACCTATTTATGATGTTTTCAACAAAATTCTGGTAAAAGGAATTCAGAAAAACCGTTCACAGTTCAAGAACAGTTTAAGTGCATTTTTTCATTGCATCTAAATTTCAAACGAATATAATGTATCAATATTTAAAGGAAATATTAAAAATTGTACAGTGATACGAATTGGATAGATAAATGTGATTATACTTTTACATATTTTTAAGTTTAAATTAAACTAGTATAAAGAACGGACATGTGTGAGATATTTTTGAAATCACGAAAAATGTGCTGTTTAATTCATTTCTATATAATATATGTATATAGGTGTTCTATTAAACAACAAGATATACATAACTGTCATATTTTTGGTATAAAAAAAACTATATTATTTAATATTTTAATGAATGTTCTAGTTCAACAAATAACAGAATTAAGCCTGTTTGATTTGAGGCAAAATGAACTAGCACTGTACGTCGTATATTTTAAAATGAGTGGTAATTAATTGTTTTAATAGTTTACAAGGTAGTATCTGTACATCCGTATATAATTATCAATGGTAGGTTTTCTGTTTAGGCACCTTTTTGTAAAGATTTGCTAATTTTGTACTTGACCTTCAAAGCAAATCAAAGCTGGGAAAAAATATGTTTTAATAAAAGCAATTTTTCTTTTAAAAAAATTTAAATAAAAAAATATATTTTTTATATTGTAAAATTAGAAGGGAGGATTCGTTATATGATTAGAAGGGAGGATTAGTTATATGACGTAAATATTTACCTTCCTGGCACTGACAGGTTGTAATGATTAAAAACACTAAAAACACTTTCACAATGGGACTGCATTTCGATTTCATGTTTGTGCTATAGGTCACTTTCCGCTCCAAGCTCATCCTTTGGACATACTTTACACTATATTGCTGCAAGCTCGAAAAAATCACACTGTAGTCACGATGGTATTTTCTTTATTTCTTTTTAGCGAAGCAGAGATTCAGGTTATACTTAGAATTGAAAGAAACCACTCGCCGAACGATTCACCAGACCTGAGACACTGCTCGAATAAACATCATTTAGTAAATAACTATTTTTGCTGTACGATTATTCAAATGCTTACTATATAACCTAATAATTACTTAATTATTTACATTCTAGTTTTTCAACTTTGCCTTGCTTGGTCCTTGTCTTTCTTGTTGCTGTTGAGATTTGTCGAAGTTGAGAAATTTTACCCGTTTGCTACCTCGACTTTGTCATCTTCTCTTTTTTATTCATTTATAATTGATAAACCTTTTATTATTTGAAATCAGTAGCGGGTAAATACATTATAGTTTATTGCAACAATCTACGTATTGTTAATTTTATTTGCATAATTTATAGATTTTCCCTATCTCGTTTTTATTTTTATATAGTTACCAGATGAAAACTAGTCCACCCCAGGCAAGCCTTCCCAAAAATTCGGACGTCATAATTTTTTACCGATATAAGAGCAAAAATAGTATATTGTTTTATTCGGAGTAAAAATGATACTTTTTGTGACGAGACTGTATGACATACAAGCGAGGCACAAAAAATAATTTTTACTCCAAATAGAATATGCTATTTTGTTTTCAAATGCCACAAATAATTTTTTTAAACAATTTTAAACGTTCCAAATAATATAATGAGATTTAAAAGTAATACATTGTAAATAGTTATATATTGAGAAACTATGGTTACGTTCGTTGTATTTTACACTTTATGTCAGTTTAATAACAGATGAGTTAATCAGCAAAATAAAACACTAAATCACCACAATACACCAAAACACTTTTACTTTTATACTGGACGCGCGTTTCGCTAACTATGTTAGCATCATCAGCAGATGATTAAAAAAACTCAAACTGATGCAGATGATTAAAAACTCAAAAGTTTTTAATCATCTGCTGATAATTCTAACATGGTTAGCGAAACGCGCGTCCAGTATAAAAGTAAAAGTTTTTTGGTGTATTGTGGTGATTTAGTGTTTTATTTTGCTGTGTTATACCAAAGGTTCCAACCCTCAACTGTAAAGATGAGTTAATAATATATATTTTCCTACTTTTGTGCTTAGTCGTATGGCTAGGCGTTAAAATTAGTTTTTTTATGTTGTCAATCACGTCGCAAAAAATAATAGATACTTTTGTGACGTTTGAAAAAAATAACTTTCAAAACTTAAAACTTACGAAGTAAAAGAATGAATTTACACTGCTTAATTTATCGACGATTTTTAGCTAAATTTATTAAATAATATATTATTTTACATTATTGCGACATTTCTAAAAAGGGAACATAAAATCCGGACGCTTATGAAAAATCCGCCCGGATCCAACCGGATGTAGTGAAAACCCGGACATGTCCGGATAACTCCGGACGTCTGGTAACCCTACATATACCCCCTGATATAGGGTTTCTATAGAAGTTTTTGAAAATTCCTACAAGTGAGCTCTGAAATCCGGACTTTGTCATCAAATAAATAATTATTAATTTATTTAGATATGTAAAGTCTGCCTATCGAGAGAATACCATGCAGACAGTGAGGGTTGTTTTATGTCATTTTCACAATTTATTCACAATTTAATTGTATATTTTGTCATTGTTTGGATATCTACTGATGATATTCTTCATTGACCCGTTGAACAGACGGACAAACTTTACTTCAAAGGGGAAATTAAAGGAAATCAGAAAACTGTTAAATATACTCTTTTGTCTTTGTCTGCATCGCTATTAAGATTTGTATTGCATGCGTTACAAATGACGTCAGAATTGGACTGTCCTTTTCTAATAGAAGGGAAAACTCATCAGCATTTCCTTAGTTACTACCTTATAGTTGCATTTTTAATTACCATTAGCTAAAGTCTGTTCAAAGATTCAGGAAAGATTTCGACGGATGACATTCAAAAAATGACAGAAAATACAATTTACGTGTGATTTAAAATATAATCTAAGCATGTAATTATATGAAAATAAAGACAAAGGAAGATAAAAGAATTCACATACACAAGTGCACTGAAAACGAAAAAAAAACCACATAGATACTATGGGTACTTTCGAACAATGCTGGTTTAGTAGATATGTGACATGGTAACGATTAAAATATTCAACAAAATTAAGTTAAGTGTTTTTGCGGGCACATTTTCCGGACATTTTTTGAAGCCCGGACACATTAAAAATTTTGACACATAGAAACCCTACCCTGAAACCAGTGGCGTATAGAGAGGGGGGCCATGGGGCCCAGGCCTCCCCTAAGGTCTGTAAATTGGGTTAAATATTAGGCTTTTAGGTCAAAAATGGCGCACTAAAAAGCTTTATTTTGCCCCCTCCTTAAAATAAATTCCTATATCTGCCCCTGCCTGAAACCAAACCAAACCAAACCTTTTTATGTATTTGCAAAAAAGGTTTTTATTTCTTGGTTTTCTGGTTCCGTGGCAAAATATCCAATGATATTTTCGAAAAAAATAAACAATTTTTTAGTATTTTTGTTCAAATATTTCAAAATACCTAGGTGAACACATGAACAACATCAAACTTCATTTAAAGCTGCTTGCAATATTTTTCAGAATTTTATTAATCACTGGAACAATTTCTTACCTAACTTAGCCTAATTCTCCTGTTTTTTTTTTCATAGAAAGACATGATTGATAAAAACAGGAAGTATATAAAGACAATGTAAAAGTCAACGTTACATTATTCACTATTTCTGATGGTTGCCGTAAATGGTCTAAAGTTAAAATAAAAATATAATTATTTACTACCGCAAAGAAAGCTTTTACTTAAGTTAAAAAATATTGCAGTTGTATGCATTTTGGACATAAGAGAAAGGCCGCACTTTTTTCTAAAAATCTCAGGAATGCAGTTATTTTTGTAATAAAATATTTATTTACACAATAAATTAATATACCTATACATATGCAAAAAGATATAATAAAACAATATTATAATATTAATACCTATTTTCTACATGTTTTTATAAAAATTATGTTAAAATAATAGCAAGCGTGACAATCAATATTATCAAACAAATTAATACAAAAAAGCACTGGTTAAGCAGTAACAAATATTTACAAAAGCTACACTTGACTTGTCAAATTTGAAAGATTGCAGCGTGGTTTTTTTCCAAAATATAGCGATTTTGGCCATATTTTTGCAATCCGTTTGGAGAAATATCAAGGACTTTCAGATATGGAATTAGCAAGTTTATTAACAAATTGACTTGTTACAATAAATTGTGGTTTTTAATACCAACAATAATAAATAAAAATTGTACAAATTTTAGCACACATCAATAATTATATTATATTTTTTAAATATTAACTTAAACAATGATTAATTAAGATATTTTAAACAAATATATAATATTTAAAGAAGTCGTCCATATTTCTCAAAGAGACCTATGATACCTCTGATCTAACTTAGCTGCTATGAAGAAGAAAAAAGACTCAGTCTCGGTCTCATACAAATATGTATCACACCGAGACTGAGTATTTTTTCTTCTTTATAATTTAAATATATAATAATATTGCACTGAAACAGAACACTCATTTCGCTAACATTTTTTATTTAACTATATATGAAGCTGTAGGACTCATACTGTCACTAAAACAAATAGGTTTTTAATTTAGTAGTAATATTTTCGAATGATTAAAAAGGCAAGGCAATTATTTAAAAAGTAAATTAAAATTTAAGTAAAATATAAAAATTAAAACTAACAAAAAGTAGTAATAGCGAAATATTTTATATAATTTATCCGAGAATTGTATTTGCAAATATGTCCAAAAAAAGTTAATTATCTTCTTACTATCTGCCTTAGCCAGACAAGTGAGAAGCGTCTAGCTTAAAATTTTAATATTTTATCAAAAAACACAGGTAGAATAAACATGACATTGGGTCCATTCAAAATAGTACATGATTGCTAAACATTGTAGAATCGAGATGTGTTAATCGAGCTGAAAAATCGGATCATTTAAAACGATACAATTATATAAACTGTCCTACCACAAGTCTAGTTATCATATGCCGTCGCCGCATTATTGTTGGGATTTATGTAAAGTGAAATTTTTAGTGCCCAAACCGCGGTGCAGCCATAAAAAATGCCGATAAAAAAATATTGCCATAATCAATTCGATACCTAAATTGTTCCATTTCGTGCACTTCCTAATACCGAAAAGCCAGGTATTAATCGTTTGGTTTCTCTCTTTTTGCCGATTATTTTTATTTCGTTCGCACCGTCTATCCCTCCTTCAAACGGGCCAAGTATAAAATAAGGAATTGGCCAATTTCGTACAGTCCTTTCGTTGATTTGACAAGATTAATTTAGGGTACTTTCTATCTTTGGTAGGTTTCAACCCATTCGACATCAGTGACATGTGTTTGTGCTCGAAATTCGCGACCCTTTCAATTTTTTTCTAAAGTGGATTTTTTCTGTTATTTCAGCTAAGAAAAAATGATACTGGTACCAGTATTCATTTTATCTTGCACACGTAAGTCATCTTCTTAAAACAGTACCTCCTAAAACAATATTTTCATGAAAACGAATCTAAACTATGGACATGAAAATATTTTTCCAAAAAAATAGGTCACAAAAAAATTTGAAATTTCCAAATTCCAGTAATATCATCGTCGCTAAGTCAACAGTTCCAAGATGTGATCGATAACTTCGACTTGGAATATCACACGGATATCCAGACTGGCGGTGGAGGGGGTGGTTCTTCTGGAGGCGGTGGTCAAGGGGGCTCAGCAGGGGGCAAAAAGCAGGGCCTCAGTGTTGGCAGCAGCTTGAGATCCATCGCAGAAGGATCCTCGAACACTGCCAAGGATGCCGTTAACAATCAGGATGCCGCTGGATACCAGGCAGCTTACGTGGCTAAAAACACTCTGGCCCAATCAGCAGCTGGAGTAAGAATACTTTAAAGTTGTTTGTTCCAATTGTCTTGACGTACCTCAACTTAAATAAAGGTAGAGGTATTCCTTTGCAGTGACATCTTTCACAATTTTTGGAATCTATTTAGCGATTGGTAGAAAAAAAATTAAGTTCTAGTTCCAGTAGATCAGAATATGCTTCCCTTAAAAGAATATTAAAGTCTGGTTGGAATGGTCCAAGTGTACTCGGACCAAGTACACTTGGATGTTGCTATATAAGTATACGCACATGGATGCTGTGCGCGTCTTACTTGTACGCTGGTTCTATCGTATCAATATCAATTATCTATCCAAGTCGAGTTGGAAGGCTAATATCCAAGTAAGTAAGCAGCAAGCCTTCTAACTTGCTTTCCAATTCCACTTGAATAAAACAATTAATACCATACAAACAGCCTTAAAGTGAGTGGCGGACAAAATCCACAAGTATATTTATATGGCAGCATCCAAGTGTATTTGGCCGGGTATAAAAGCAATATGATAATACAAGAAGCAGTAATAATAATTTGTTTATTAATATGATGGGTAGGGCTGAAGGATATTTATTTCTCATCCCACTGGATAAAAATAACATCATCAGTTTAAGGAATTCTTAACAGGGATGTTTTCAATGAGTTCATGGTTTATTAAGTTAAAACTATAATGAGAACGGTGAGTTAAATTCTTAAAATGCCATTCCTTAACTATTTAACTGAATGTTGGAACTCCAATAAGCATATTTTCTGAAGCACATATTAATGAGGTCAATATTGACGTCAATATCTTGTAAATATTGAACTGTAAATCCCAACTAAGTTCCTTATAAGTTCTTCTGCAATTATGCAAAATACTTAATAGTATTCTCAAAAAGTTTAATGATCAGATTAACGTCGAATGCTGTTTGATCATAAATATGTATAAACAGGGTGGTCCGAATTGCATTCGAGAAACTTCAAACTTCTTTCTTACTTTTCAAATCATTTAGAAAATATGTAGGTAGCGTCCCTTACACGTAGGAGTCATATTGAATCGAAATAAAATATCTCATGTCAAAAAACACCCAGACAACAATTTTCATTCAAATCGACGTTGGTTCAGAAATTATTTTTGAAAAAACCGTAAAAATCTTACTTCTACACCCTGTATCTCCGAAAGTAAGGCATTTTAGGAAATACATTTATACGAACTTTTTTACTTATTTTTATCTGCAGAATATGCTGCCAGTTTGCCGAATACAGTTTGTACTACCCTGTATATACAGGGTAAGCCTTAAATAAGTGTAAATATTTTTAGGAGTAGTATATTTCGACCCCAGAAAGCACGATTGGGTTTTTTTCGCGAAAAAAATTGAAAATTTGGAATTTTTGGAAATTTTTTGGGTTTTTTTTTAATTTTTAGTTAAAAAACATACTTTCTTGATAATATGGCAACATAGGTAGTAAATTAAATTTACAAGAATGAAAAAAGATCCAGCGGTTCTGAAAATTTAAACAAAAAATCATTTTTTTTTGGGATATTTCAAAATAAAATAATTCAGTTATTTTGGACTTATTTGAAAAACGGTAAAGAGAAAATATTTTATGTTTCTTTTATCGAGATCTACAAGTCCTGAACATATTTGCACTTATTTAAGACTCACCCTGTATATATATAGAACACAGAAAAAAATGTTCAAATCATAAAGGTACATCCTGAAAATTTAATGTGAAATTACTAGATATTTTTTATTATAACAAAATATATTACTTTCAATAACAAAAATTGATATAAATGACTATGTAATTTTTTTTTCAAGCAAAACACGTATATGGGTAGATATATAAACTTATTGCATATTAAATATTGGAAGTTAAATCCTATGTTAAAAAAATTAAAAAATATGATATTTTCATTTAGGATAATGCTATTTAACGAACTGTTGCATTTGGATTGTTAAGTAACTATTTTTTTATTATAAAATTCAATCATGTTTTCTAATTAATATTGTTGCCTAAAGCAGTATAATAGCCTTAACTTTTACTTGACAATTTGCATACCCAAAAAATGCGAAACAAATCATTATATACAGTGAAATGATCTTGACAATACCTTTCTCTTTAAGTGTACTAACTTACTAGCAAATAAATGTGGTCTAAAATTGGTACCGACAACCTATTAATTTAAAAGAAAATTAAAATATATTTTGGTTCTTTAATAGGCATCAGCCACAGCCCAGGCTGCATTAGCAGGGAAACAAATTATCCTTCAAGGACTTGAACAACAATTTAGAGATGCCCAACAAGCCTTAATGGGAGAACAACAACAGCTGATGCAAGCCCAAAGGGCAGCCGATTCCACGGCGCGCGCAGCTCAGGAAGCTAGAGCCCACGTCAACGTGTTGCAACAGACACTCAATGCGGCTCAAGCGGCTTCAGATCACGTTACGCAGGCCTCCTCCGAAGCAGCTGGTGAATTAGCAGCGCAGCAAGCCATGGTAGGTGCAGCTATGCAAAGGTTGGATCAGATCGGGGCCCAGCTGAAGAGCGTGCGCATTGACTTTCAAGCAACGCAGTCGGCAGCGCAGAAGGCCCAAGCCGCTGCGCAGATCGCCGCTGCCAATGCCGCATCGGCTGCCGCCAAAGCCGCAGCTGGGTTGGCCAAAGCTGCACAGCTTCCGCCGCCCCCTCCACCGCCGGAGCTGCCCAAGGACGACGGGGGCAATGGGGGAGGGGGCGACAGCGCCGGGGGCAAATCTGGCGGGCACGGAGGTAAAGGAAAAGCAAATGCTAAATACGAACGCGATTTTTACAAACCCTATGATTACGAACGATAAGATTCACTTAGTAAATTTATTGTTTTTATACGTTTTGTTTAAATAAATTCCCACAAAAATTAACACGCTTTTTTAATATCGATCAATTAACGAACCCGCTCCACAATTTCTAATATTAATTTGGTAATGGCTTATTAATTAACCTATGAATAACAAACTAACCGAGTTGGATAACCATTGTTGGATAATTCTGGTTTTATCGTCTAGGACTGCTCCGAACCGTGCCCCTGCTGGGAGACATAGTAGAATTCTTCAGGCCATTAGAGGCGCACCTTTGAAAAAATCACTAAAATAAAGGCGCCAAAGACTGACCCAGTAGCCCTTATGTACTTATGACTAAATTATGTATTTTGATTCAAAAAATTCTAAATTATTATGTGCGATGATTATGTATAAAAAATAAATAGACAAATAAAAAACTAATATAGATTTTTATTAAATGCATACGTACTCTAATATAAACCTATTGCCTAATTCCCTTATTATGGAGGCTTGTTTAAATATTGTATATGCGGTTTCGTGGTATAAAATAATTTCGATATCGGTGAAAAAGATTCAGGACTTTCTTTGTTACATCGATAGGAGTTTTTTCAGATAAATTCTTTGTCAATAAACTGTTTAATCAATAAGTAACGGTGAAGAAACGCTAATGAAGTAAAACATTTTTATTATATGGTCCAGTTCCTTATATATTAAAACTTATTTCGTTAGTTTAAACAACCGTTCAACATTAAAATTGGGAAATATACTCTTAAAATGATGGAAATTATGTCTCTTGGAATTCGAATCGACGGTAAATTAGACAGTTGTGTAAAAATAGTTCTATCTATAAATACAGAATTACTTTTTTAGAGTAACTTTTGCAATTTTAAATAATTTCCGACAACAAATATTTGAAATATAATATTTGTTTAATTTACTTAAAAGACACCTAATCTAACATTTTACCATAAGTTGTCCTAGTTTTTTTAACTACTTTTTGAAACTGTGATTATGCACTGCATTTTTGCTAAATTTATTGTAGTTTTATCCTGTAGAAGAACATCTTTGTCAGAATGAATCTTTTTTATTTTAGATTATTTTTGTATCATACTTTAGAGTATTACATTATATACAGAAAAACTATATTTGTGTAGTGTCTGGTCACGAAGTAAGGCGTTTATTAGATAATAGATCACAACTGTAATTCATCTAGAAATATAAGAAAAACTAATTTTTAATGTTGTGTTATTTTGTTGTATTAGCTATTTTAATTAAAAGAATGCGATAGCTTCTGTATAGCATTTTAATTACAACCCATTAATCCTTTCATTACATATCCTGTTCTTGTAAGAAAAACATTTACGCCTCTGTCTTCACGATTATTTTTCAAACATTTTTGTAAGATTCTTCATTCTTCTTATCAATATCAACCTACTTTTCTATAAGACATTGTAAATCAGTAATTGGAGAAATGTTATAACTAAAGTCTTCAAGAAAGAAGAGACTATAATATCACATTAGCAAGTTAGAATAATTCAATTTATTTTATTTTAAAATCTAGAAATGATAATAGCTTTGTTCGGGTTGTTGTTATTACCGATTCTGAACCGTCCTAGAACTCTGCAGCGCATGCGCAAATGAAATAATGTCTTCATATTTCCTTCTGCGCATACGCATCACAGTTCTAGGACGGTTCAGAATCGGTAATAAGAGAAACCCGAAGTAAGCTAATGTATATACCGTATGATCGAAAAAAAAAACGGCGTCCAGTTGGCTGGGAAATGACGATCGATGACATTTCCCATATAAATTTACATATAAAATGACAGCGATCTTCATTTCATAGCCATCGCTGACGCCGTTTTTTCTCGGTCATAAGGTACAATATGATCGAAAAAAACGGCGTCAGCGATGGCTATGAAATGAAGATCATCGCTGTCATTTTATATGTAAAATTATATGGGGAATGTCATCGATGTTCATTTCCAAGCCAACTGGACGGCCTTTTTTTCGATCATACGGTAATTTTTAACATTGTAAGTAATATTCCGAAATTTTATATTGGTAAAGGAGTAAAATATTCTAATTAAAGTTTTATTTTTGATTCTTAAGAACCATTAATTTTAAGCATTGAATATAAAATATCAAAATCAATGAAATTTTACAGAAAATTTAAGTCTGTAAGAAAAAATATGGGAGATAAATCATGGAAAACAATTCTAAATATTGTTATTATTTAAAAACTTCTGATGCATGCCCAACCTATGTACACTTCGGTGTAAATTAGTCAATATTCTCTAACAAAGAAATAATAATAACAAAGGGAAAACCTGTGTGATGCTTTTCTGAGCTCATTTATTAGTTTTTCAGCATCCAAGTAAATTACATGTTCTTATGTATATAATTAAAGGTCACATAAATGAGCAGTAATTAGAATAATCAATTTCGATCATTAAAAGGATATCAAAAAATAATTATTCTTCAAGGTATTTAAATAAATATCACCAGTGCCATCTATATAACACAGTTAAATACAAATTTTCGGATTTTTATTCTTGCTTTACAGTATTCTATACTAAGTTTATAATGAATTCTCTAGATGTCGCGATAGACAGAAAAAGAAATATTTAAAATTTATTTAAAAATCGCGTTCGTTTGATTTGAGAAAGTTATAAACAAAACGAATTGTTTCCGGAATTTGTAGAGCAGCTTTAGGAAAAGTGCGATTTTTTTTTGATTCAGTTTTTTCCATTACCGTTTTCTGCTTTGTATAAAAGTAAATATTGTTTTACATATGCTTGAATTCAAAGAAAAACCGAATCGATCGGTTATAATTGCAGGCCATAAAAAACTTTCTAATAAAAATTATTGGGGGTAATCGAAAAGCGATGATTAATTACTGATGGCTGAAGAAAGACCATCATCAAATGAAGATTACGCGGCGGCTGCGACATGTCAAAGAAGCGCATTTAGTTCTTGGTCAGGCGAGGTGTTTTACTTTTATCATTGATACCGTTAGTCAGTAAGCAAGGAGTTGTATTGGGTCACCTTTCAGTCTTGAGTAGTTTCAGCTGGTCAACAAGTGATATTGCAAAGCCCGATCGCACCGATGGTTTTTAAACTTTTCGTTTAGTGTTTTTTTTAGTTTTATCGTACCAAACCAAAAAGATGAAGTGCGTTAGTTTATTATTATTTATCACAATTTTCGGTAAGTAATTATTTCATTATATCCTTATTACGGAACTTGTTATATATATATATCTGTGTTATTGTCGCAATTTCAATTAATTAAAAAATAATTTAACTTAATTCAAAATATTTTTTTTTGTTTCCTTTCCCGTATTTGATTGTAAATATTGCTAATAGATATACATACTCTAATTCACTTTGAATTGTAAAATTGTCGCATGCATTTAAAATTTTCTTTCACGTAAACCTTATACTAATATGTAAATTTAAAACCCTATTAAGAAAAATCTGTTTATTTTTGTACAGTAATTAGTAAGAGTTAAAATTCGGGATCGAAACATTCCGAAATTAAGCCTTGTATTTTCCAAAAAAAAATACAATTCATTAACTTGTACAAGTGGGTCAGTGGGTATGTGTTACAAATGAGCCAAATATCTTCTTTCGGTGCCCATACAGATTCGTTTCGTTTATTCTGGTCATTCCGTGGGTTTTTTCGTAGTTGTATGCTTAGTTTCACTTTAATATCAGATTTAAACGGCGATCTTTTAGTTTAGTAAACAATGGTTAAAGACATCCTGTTTTAAAAGAAAGTATTCTGATAGTTTTAGGTCGACTTGCTCCAGTCCGATCAATAAAAAATATCGGTTTGAAAATGTTTGTAATTTCCCGTGTTGTGTCACAGCAATTTTCAAATTTCACTAATTTTAACAACTCGTTAACGAATTTCAAAATTATGGAATTAGCTTGTTTAAATAGAGAGCTTCGATTAATTAATTATAAATTTGCTTTAATTAAAGAAATATATTTTAATGCAAATGTAAATAAAGGAAATTATGTACAGTCTTGGCAACCCCTTCATTGATGTCATGTTATAGTAAAAGTTATCGTTTTTTGTTTTTAGATTAGGGATTATTTTTGTATTTAGAAAAAACAATAAATAAAAAAGTTTATGTACATTCTCATTTTTATTATACTGGGTGGTGCATCAAATTTACTGCAGATCAAAATGTCGGTAGGAATTTGGAAACATACAACCGTTTCAAAAAAAAATATAAAACAACATATTTTCTGACAACGATTATAGATTCTCGGGAATGAAGATATAGCCTCTATATCAGAAGAACCCAGTTCTGCACTAGACTTTGCAAATGATATGTATTCGAACAGCAAATATTTGTTACTTATACATAAATTTTAAAATAAATCCTTACGTTTAGCGGTCTAATGGATTCACACGAAATTAGTTCAAAAATCGGTCTAACAATTAAATTGATGAATAGATATTTTTATATAGTTTTATAACGTTTACAATTTGGATTTATTTTCTGTTATATTTGTTATAGAAATATTTTTTAGAGTTTTCTAGGACACATTTTCATAACTATTACAGTTATTTTTTGATTTATTATAAAGTTTCAATAAAAAATACTATATAAACATGGCCAATAAAATATTTATGTTTTTTTAGGATATTTTTTTTTTATATTTATGTATATAGTTTTGAGTATATGCTGTTAAAGTTAAGTCCACCCCTATCGGGCATCCTGTATGTTTAAAGAATATGTAGCTGCCTGTAGGTCATATATCTTTTATTATTTAGATAAAATATTTTTGAATCAACTATTATTTTTGAATTGAAATACAGATATACAGTCCGGCAATAGTGCGTCGGGCATCTGTAGCTCCTAGAATAAAAAAACTTGTTAATTTTGTTCAAGTGCAAGCCTACAGTATGAACTAGGATGTATTTGAAGAAAATATTTTAACTTCTATAGGTTAGCTCAAAAAAGTGTGTGTATCGCAATGATTTTTTAATGGAACACCCTGTATATTATTGCATTTTTGGCTTTCTTTACATAATCCTAAGATATGATTAAATATATTTCTAGAGATAGTAATAAATAAATAAAAAAATTATATTTTGCAACCTTTCAATTTCAATTAAACAAAAATATAACAAATAGATGAACTGCCCTGAAAACAAAACTATATTATATATTTACTTTAGATGGTCTATACTTACTTTGCTATAAATATCGTAATCTTAAATCATACAGGGTGTTCAAAATTCTACGCCAAACTTTCTGAAATATAAAATAATTTTTCTATGTTTTTTTTTTAAATGGAACGCCCTATAAATTATTTTTTTATTAGATGGAGAGTTAAAAAATGGACATTTTTTGTGTTTAAAGTATTTCTAATTTTTTAATGGTTTTGCAGATACCACGCAGTATTATATCATATGGCTCGTTCAACGGTAAAATACGAGAGAAAAATCATTGGGTGGCTTTGATAAAAATTTACTGTTGAAAATGCCATATGAAACATAAAACCGCAAATATCTGCAAAATCGTTAAAAATTTTGAAATACTCTAAATACAAAAATATTTCATTTTTTAATTCTCCGTCTATTGAAAAAATAATATACAGGATATCCTGTTTGAAGGAATGAAGAAAAAATATTTTATATTTTAGAAAATTTGGCCTAGAATTTTGAACATCCTGTATGATTTACAATTACCATATTTATACCAAAATAAGTATAGACCATCTAAAGTATATAACTAATATTTTTTTGATTTCAGGAGAGTTCTTGTATTTTTAATAATTTTTTAAGAAAGGCTGAAATAAATATATATTTTTATTTATTTATTAATGTCTCTAAAATCATCTAAATATATTTACTCATATTTCAGGATTATGTAAAATGATGTGAAAGGAAGCCAAAAATACAATAATATACAGGATGTTCCATTTAAAAAAAATCATCCCGATCCACTCATACTTTTTGGAGCCAAACTATAGAAGTTAAAATATTTTTTTAAAATACATCTTAGTACATACTTTAAGTTCGAACTTCAACAAAATTTCCAAGTTTTTTATTCTAGGAGCTATACAGATGCCCGACGCACTTTTGCCGAACCCTGTATATCAATCATTTTTTGCAAAACAAATATGTCATCAATTTGAATGAAACTTGTTAATGTAAGAAATAATAAAATAAAACACTAATTCGCCACAATGCATCAAAACACTTTTAAACACTGGGTGCATGTTTCGCTAACAATGTGAAACAACACAAACAGTGTCATCAGCAGATGATTAAAATTGTGTGATTAAAACTGAGTTATAGTCAACTGCTGATGATGCGTCCATTATTTAAAAGTAAAGTGTTGTGGTGAATTAGTGTTTATTTTGCTGTTGTGACACCTAAGGTTCCAACCCCCGACTCTAATCAGAAATAACACTAAACCTAATAGAGAGTACAAAAAATAATAAAATTAAAATAAAAACCGTTCTGTATGGGCACGACGAAGTGGTAGAAATTAAAATTAGTTAATGTTTAATTTGCAGGGGGTATATTCCATCATGGTCGGTCTACCTGTGTGTTGGAGTCAGATTTTGGATTTATCCTGAACTGCGCTTTTAAGAAATCTGGCTTGTTTAGAGTGCGAAACCTCGGTGGTGTCAAAGCTCACATTGGTCTTGGTTGGTAAATCTTTTCTCCTATCTATCTGCCTGTAGCATCCTGTACCATTCATAGATATCATTCATTACTTACAAACATTACTAATACATTAGGGTAAAGTGGTGTACAAATGAGACATTTTTTCATAGTAACAACTATGCAAATACAGAAATATTTCTTCTAAAAAACATTTGATGGTAAGTTAACCATTGCCAGAGTAAAAAGATACCAAACGTACCTCTAAAAAAGTCGGTATGCAAAAAAAAAAATGATATATACATATGTATATATACCGGGTGCATCTCAAAAGTGGCTCACCCTTATAACTTTTTCACTTTTTCAGATAAAAAAAACGAGATTTGGTATGTTAGTATATGACATAAATTAGGATTGATTGAGGTATTCAATTGTTTTTGGTCACTTCCTGTTTCACAGGAAATGACTACAACTCTTGATTTTTAAATGGCACTCTCGGTATTGTTTTACTTTATTTGATAGAAAATGACATTCTGAATAGAATCATATGTCATATGTCAACTTTTGACATTCTCGCGTAATAAAAAATCGTATTTTAAAATTCAATCTAGAGTGACATGGCTATGTTAAAAACACTAATTCTTAATCAAGGAGTCTTGGAAAAATAGATTTGATCGTCTAATGTTTTTAGTGTCTTGTCCTGACCAGTTAGAAAATGCTCAAATCGTATTTTTAATCATATCTCAATTTTTTCAAATGGAACGAGGGTGGCTCATTAGCATATCTTGAAAAAGCATTTTTTTACGAATCATTTGATACCACACAATTCAAATAAACCATATGCGAAAATGTCAAAAGTTGACATATGATATGTCATTATTATTCAGAGTGTAATTTTCTATCGACTAAAGTAAAAAAATACCAAGGGTGTCATTTAAAACTCAAAAGTTGTAGTAATTTCCGGTGAAACAGGAAGTGACCGAAAACAATTGAATACGTCAATGAATCCTAATTTGTGTCATATACTAACATACCAAATCTTGTTTTTTAACTGATAAAATAAAAAGTTATAGGGGTGAGCCACTTTTGAGACGCACCCGGTATATAAATCTGGCGTGTCTCACTTTTAAATCACTTGACCATATTTATGTAAATAGTAACATAGTGTCAATGAACTTGAACTAAAATTTCTCCAAAAAAAATCTACGGTTCCAATTAACTACATGTCAATTACCAATCAAAAATTTAACTGATAAATAAATATGTACATAGTAAAAAAAATAACCTTGTCTACGTAATAAAAATTAAGTGGCGTTTAGCATTATGTTTATATAACGGAAAGTGTACTCAAATCAATTTTGAAAGCCCCTAAAGAAACTGATAAAATGAGTATACGAATATGATATTATTTAGCTGATGACCTTTGAAAATACACACACCGGAAAAGTCTAGGGATATTACAATTTTACCCAGCCATCGTCAGTAATTTTATTATTTGCATTTCTGATATAATAAAATTAAAATAAACAAATAGTTTACACGACGTATTGGAAATAAAAATGCGAAATTTACCGAACTTTTCAAATTTATCTTGATTTTTATTGAACTCAAAAAAATACATACATTTTTTTTTATTCTAAACTGTGAATTAAAAAAAAAGATAAAACCATTTTTACTTAATAAAGGGTATGGCCTCCTCTACTGTTCATTACAGCCCTACATCGTCTCTCCATGCTCCTGATCAGGTTGTCAATCTCTTCTTGAGGTATAGCCTGCCACGCTGCATTCACGGCCCGAACAAGATCCCTACGAGTTTCACGAGGCATACCCATTCTCAAAATTCTTCTTTTTGGACCGCGTCCCATACGTGCTCGATGGGGTTGAGGTCAGCAGATTGTGCCGGCCAGGGTAAGATGTTTAATTGATGAGCATTGATAAACTCACTTACCACTCTGGCTGTATGAGGCCGTGCATTGTCATGCATGAGAATGATGTTTTTCCCAAAATCATTGGCATATGGTAACACGACAGGCTCAAGAATTAAATCACGATATGTGATTCGTGTTAGAAACTTTTCAAGAAAAACGAGATCGGTTTTTCGGCCTAACTGGACTCCTCCCCAGACCATAACTTTTCCACCTTGATAAGGGTGCACTTCCTGAACATGATCCAACTGAATAAGATTTTCCAGTTCTCTCCATACCCTAAGCCTTCTCGAATCCGGATGAATTCCAAAGCGTCACTCATCCGTGAAGAGAACATTGGCCCATTGTTCATTCGACCACTGAACATGATCTTGAGCCCACAAATATCGTACCTCTCGATTTCCTCTCGTTAAAGGTTGAGCTCTCCAGAGGCGTCTGCTTCTTAAGTTGAGCTCTCTTAATCTATTGCGAACAGTGTCAGGACTAACGGTTACATTATGTGTTTCCTGGAGAATTAAACTAAGCTCTGGTGCTGTAAGAGTCGGTCGGCGTCGAGCATTTAATTGTAAAAAATAATCTTGCTGAGGGGTAGTAATGCGATGTTGCCCTGTGTGCCTTTCAGCAACATCACCACTTTCATGGTAGCGTACACTTAATCGCGATATTACACTTTGCGTTGTATTTAATGCTCTAGCCACGTCGATTTGGTGCATTTCAGCTTCGAGCATACCCATGGCCCTTAGCATTTCGTCTCTGTTAAGATGTCTACGCTCCATAATGTCGTTTAATACTAAACAGAGTTATTTGAATGAATTCTGGCCAGTTATCATAAACACATAGACAGTACAGGTTAAATTCGAACAATTGATGCAAGGTGCTTTTTATACATTTGACAAAAAATGCACAAACATTTCTGCAAATATCCCAAATTTAGAAATAACTAGTGTGACTACTTCGTTTCAATCGAAGTAGAAAGAATCGGCCTACAAATATGTGGTTGTTTATTCAAAACATTTATTTTTAACTTTAATAAAATGATATCCCTAGATTTTTCCGGTGTGTGTATATCAAACCTGGTTTTTACTTACCACAGAAGAACAATTAAATCATTTTCACAATTAGCTTATATTCAATTCTGTTATGTAATTAAATTTTCCTACATCTTCGTGACCTTTGGGGATTTTTTTTTATTAAAATGAGGGCTGAATGAATCGAAGTTTGAAGGTCGTAAATTTATTAAAAAAAAAATATTGTTTGTAATAATTTTTTGAATTAGTATGATTTTATTCTATAAAAAAATCTACCAAAAAAAAATAATTTAATAAATAAATCAGAGAAAATCGCGATTCAAACACTAATTTGATAATTTGAATCAGGATCGTACTTCCCTTTGGTTTGTTTCAACGTGAATTCACATCGGGTTTACCACAATTTTGTAATAATTATTTATATCTAGATAATTCTGTTCAGATATCTATCTAAAGAAATGTCATGTGGTTAGTCAAATGTAAAAAAATATATAATTTGGAAAATAGCCTATTAAAGATTAATCAACCTAGTTATATTTACATTGCTTTTGCAATTATTTAAATTAATTTTGTTGGTTTTTAAAACCTGATATGTAATTGTCATTCCACACCATTTAGAACGACCTTAAAATATCTGTAATTTAAACTAGATAATTTATTTTATAATTTATTTAATTTACATTTCAAAAATAGCTATGCACCGTAAAATTTTGGGTCTTTCAGCACTTCTATTACCGGTAATAGACCGGTAATGATCTTGATGATTATTTTAATAATGACTACATTGATCATGACCTTTCAGCTTCATAAAACGAAGCAATCATTAAAAGATTGCTGGGGCATTGAGGTAACTGAAACTAAGATCAAAATTAATAAAAAAAATGACACAGTCGAATGGTTTCTTTAACTCTAAATTTGTTTTTAATAGGCTTTTTCTAAAGAATCTTAAAATTATTTATTATAACATTTTTTTTAAGTAAATGTGAAACCTTGATATTTGTTGGGTAAAGATTAAAAAATTCATTGTATATTATTTATAGTAAAAATTAAAAAATGCATCATTGCATTCGTTTTTTGTATTAAAAATATATTTTTAGCGAGGATTACTTTCAAAATGAATATAAAAAATTAGTGTAAATATCCAAAAATTAAGTTCCTTAGAATAATGAATGCATAATGATAATGATCAAATTAACATTTTTAATCCAATATTGTTCAAAATTCTTTAATGCGCATGCTTAGTATATTGTAAACTATTTAGTTCAGTCATTGGGGATTTTTGCTTGGAAAAAAGTCCGGAAGTTTTGAAATTTTGCAGGTTTATAGGTTTTGGGGTCCCTAACTTAAAATCCATAAAATGCACATTTCCAGACTTGCCGCCGGCGCCGCCATCTTGCGAAGATGGCGCCCAAAATCGGTATTTTGTAAATATCTCGAAAACTATGCGTTTTTCGCAAAAATTTGAGGAGAGCAAAATTAAAGAGAATAAAATTTCCTATAAAAAAGGTCCTATGAATATTTTCACTAAAGTCAACCGTTTAGGCCCAAAATCTCTGGAAATTTTTCAATTTTGCGTAAAATATGATACCTATATGTATAGTCGATTTTCCGAAATCAAATGTCGGTTAGGGTTCCCTAAAACTAGTTTTAGTTTAGTTTCTTCAATTTTGTCATGAAACAGTGGCGTATCATTAATTCGCTCATAAAAGAACAAAAAACCTATAAACCTGCACAATTTCAAAACTTCCGGACTTTTTTCCAAACAGGCCCCTTTTTTGATCCCCAATGACTGAACTAATTGAGTTATTGTGATTGATCTGTAGTTACCATTTAACCCTGTAATATTTAATAACCCGGAACTTTTTTATACCTATGTATATTTACATCATTTTTATAGATAACTAAAGCAATAATTATTTGAACATTATATAAGACACACAATAATATCGGTGAAAAAATAAAATCGTGCTATTATTCCAGATCATTTTTAAAAATTGGTCACTCCGTATATATAAAATAAAACAATAATTTATCGCTATTCTCTTTTATGTTGATTGTTGATTGATTCTATACCAATCTAAAGCAGAATTTTTTATTATGTTCTTAACTAACTATTTGAATAATTTTTATGCATCAAGTACAGTTGTTAATAGTATAATAAAGAAAAAGCAAGGTCGCATAAAAAGGATGTATAGTATCAAAACATGTGTAAGTAACTAAGATGTCTTTATTATATTACTTATTTAATATAAAATATAAACTAAGAATATTTGAAAAGTAATGCGTTCTTGTTAAAAGAATCCTTGATATCCGTTCTATATATGCAAATAAGCAGAATGTAACATCATTAAAAAAATGATTTAAGTTCTCTCTTCCTTTTATTATTATTTTGCAACAAGTAATTTAAATGTGTACACGAATATGTGTTTTATAGATTTTCAAAATATCCTAAATATTTCCTCTTCATTTTTAGTTGAATTTCGCACTCTTAAAAGTATAAAACTTTTTGATCACATTATACATGTATGTATTTATACACAACAAAGTGTATGTCTACAAGCACGATCATACATTATAGCATATTTTTTATAGCATAATCGTGCATATAGTATTTTTTTCTTTAATCATTTAGATTTTTTATAAAGCTTTTTTGAGGTCATATTCTATACATTTGACCTTTTATTATGCTAATTTAAACTGAACAGAGCAATCAACCGTTATTTTTATTAATTTGATTTTTGACCACAATATATACAGTATTTTTTTTAATTATATTTGAGATTTCCCAAATTGACACATATACATATTAATATTATAATCATCTTTTATGTTATCTAATAATACATATTTCCTAACAATATTCAAATTTTATTTATTTTTAACAGTCGTATAATACCGTATAATCGCCATATTTCCCATATAATTATACATATAAAATGACAGCGATCTTCATTTCACAGCCATCACTGACGCCGTTTTTTTTGTTCGATTATATTGTTTCATCGTTAGAACATCTTTAAATTATAATAGATGATGTGGTATTAGACGAAGAGTATGTCATATATTATAGTATGATCGAAAAAGAAACGGCGGCACAGACGGCTAAGGAACGACAATCGATGGTAATTTTGGCGAGGTCAAGCCCTAGACTACATTCATTTGACCTGTACTCTCCTTTATTTTCTAAAGGCACTTACTGTCAGTTGGTTAAGAAGGTTTTAATTTATTTTTATATCGAGTAAAACTGATTTTTAAATGGTGTAGTTTAAAATTCGAGAAAAAATAGTATTTTGGAAATAAATCTGTGCGCCTTGTAACGTTCTATCATTTGTGATAAGTTTTATGTATTTTTCTAGTAAATGTCGTCTAGAGATTGACCTCGATAAAATTATTATCGATTGTCATTCCCCAGCCCTCTTTGGCGCCGTTTTTTTTTCGATCATACTGTGTACGACATACTTTCCATCTAATACAACATCACCTATTACAATTTAAATATGTTCTAACGATTCTATTAATAATTTTTCAGGTTTTAGTGTTGGTGATGAATTGGGCTTTAAAGAATCGATATCAAATGTAGAAATAAACAAAAGGAGATCTTCAGAGGTATCCAAAATGCAAGCTCAGTTAATTCAAGCCACTCAAAAGCTTCAAGAGGAAAAAAAGTCTAAAGTTACTGGGGGTGATAAGGTAAAACTAAAAAAGACCGATTTATTTGGTAATCGAATTGAGTTTATATTCTTTTTTGTGGTATTTATTTAAACAATGTTGCATATCACGCTTTCGTTATTTCAAATTGCATAATGTTATTGTGCTTTGACGCATTTTAGTATAAAATTTGATATAATGCCATTATTAGGCTTAGTATAGAACAAAAGGGATATTGTATTCATGGCCCCGAAAGAGTTTTTTTTATTAAAAAAATTAATATAATTTCACCGAAAACGAAACAAAATTGATATTCAAGGTCCACGAGCAATTTTGAAAGTGCCCCCAACATCAAGAAATCCAGTTTTACGCACGCAATTACGGGAAAGTACTTTAAATTAAATACATTTAAAGTAGCTAGTCTTTGGAAATTTCAAATAAATATACTTTCATCGCGTGGATGAATCGGAGCATATGTTCCGTCACAATTCGCCGTGTTTGTTTTATTAAGAGAAAAAAATTAATCACCCCATTTCATTGCACAATGAAAATGAAAATCTTAACCACCCACTTTTGCTGGCGTCATGATTAGTGCACTTTCAAGGTCGCAGATGTTAAGTCTGCATAGGGAGACGGAAAATTTATAAACGTGCACGTTCTTAGTTCATATATGTTATAAAATTATTAAAACTACAAATAATAGCTGAAACAATAACTTTAATTTTTACAGGGTGTACATGAGTAAATGCAGAAACATTCAAGCCCTTCCTTTTTCGTATAAAAAGAATCAGTTATAAAATCAATTAAATTATTTGCTTCTACAGCTTGAAAACAAAGTTACAATATTATCCAGTAGCTCTTCTTCCAATGATTGAGGTTTTTAAAAAGTATTCACGCTTACATTGTAGAACACAACAACAAATTTCATATGAATAAACACTTTATTTTTTAAAAAGAAATTAGCTCCAGAATGTTTTCAAACATATTCATTTACACCCTGTATATTGTTTTACATAAAATTAATGAGCACTAACAAGCGCTCATTATTATTCACCTATGATACTTTAAAAATTAGTTTTATCTAGTTCTCATACGATAACTAATTGAAAATGAAATAATAGCTTTCTACAATGAGAAGTAATAAGAAAATTGTTTTTGTTTCTTAATTATTGCTACTTATTATTAAAAAAAATGAATTTCATGCTCTCATTTTAATTTTTTAAATTCAATAATTTAACGTACACACATACATTTTTCAATAAAACGATACATATATAAGTACTGCGAGTTATTAAAGTAAAAAATGTAAAGAAAAATAAGTATAAAAGTCACAATTAAAAAGAGAATGTCTTGAAAATTACTTGGGAAATTACAGAGTGTTTATATATGAGAATTAGTGATATCAATGCCACATTTTTGTTAATAAAAACGAATAATATTCTTTGCGCAATTTATATTATTCTGTATCATTTTAAGTTCATGAATTTACTATATTTAATGATAATCTGAAAAAAATGTATCATGAAATTTACTATTTTTTCTTTTATGATAAAATGAGAGTTTTATTTGTAGTCATTTAACTCAGAGATAATTTTAAAGATATTGTTTTTGCCAAGCATGAAGTCCTTGTCTCCTGAACATCTTGTTTTCGCTTCAAGTGAAATTCAATAATTGTGAACGCAAAATCAACAACATTGTCAGAAAGTGTAAATAGATCCAATGCCAAGTAATTATACATTTAGTCTTTAAAACTTTTTAATAGTTTTGCGTAATTTTAACTGTCCATCCGTGAAGATAACTAAATGCCTATTTCCAAATAACCATCATAAGTTATTAGGCGTGAGGTGAAAACAGCACATATGTACTGTAATTCTTCGGTGACACAATATTTTAAACGTTTTAATGGTTTTGTTTCCGAATAATGACTTTGAAAACTATTTAAATATGCATTATTAATTGAAAACGTGGATGACCTTTAATGGGTATTTTGTTGCGTTGTAGACAAGTAGGGCAGTGTCGAATCTTCCTCTTCAAGTAGTGGCCCCCTTGGCAGCTGGAGCCGTGGTGCCTTCACAAGAAGTGCCTCCTTTCAAGCCTATCCCACCTGCCGCCGAACGACCCACTATTTCTAAATCTTCTAGCGCTAACCAACCTTCTTTAATGGGTATTGCTTTCACTCCCTTTAACTCTAAATCTTCCTCTATCTCTAGATTTTCCGTAGGTAGTTCTAAAGTATCTGTAGACCCTTCGTTAATGGCTGTTATTGCTGTACCTAAAAAGAAAGTAGCGAGCGATAGACCTAGCGGCTTCTCTGATAGAGTTCTTTCTACTGGTGAAGATAAGCCTGTTCCTCAACATTCTTCTAACTCCTTGCAAACTCTTCTCGCTAACAATAACGTGACGGAAGAGGCACTGGAGTTGGCGTTGCTTCAGCAACAGCAATTGATGACGAAGAAGAGGAGAACGACAACGACGTCGACTACGACCAAGCGTCCTGTAACATCAAAACGAGCCACTAGTGTCGGAAAAGTAATGAACGCACCGAAAGAGTATTATCCAGTGGGATATGACAAAAACTTCGATGATAATTTTACTGCCAGAGTTGATTTACCTGACACTTCTTTTTATTGTGGAGACCAAAAGCATTTTCCTGGACTCTATGCAGACGAAGATCTTGGATGTATGGTGAGTATAATTATACCCAATTTTTTATCAAAAGAATGCTAACTCTTGCAATTCAAAAAAGGAATATTATTTTTTATTTCTACCAATTGTATAATTGTATAAAATTAATATATATATATAGTACTGTAGAGTATAAGATTCGTCTAAATATGTTTATGAGAGACCACACTGTATATGGGCAAGTATACTATCAGGCAGACAATGACAAAGGCTTATTTTACGTTCACTATTCAGCAAAATCACGTTGTCTTTCATTACCAAGTTCTCGGATTAACCATTTTAATGTAATTATTCCCATTATATCATAGTTTATACGAAGAACCTTTAAATGCATATAATTGTTTTGACTAATCGCTCCAAGATATGTACGCAGCGTTTGTCTGTCATTTCGTCAGACTTTGACCAATTTTGTCGATCTCTTCGAATATTAATAGTAATTATGCAATACCGTGTGAAATGATTAGGCTTTTACATTTTTTTGGGTCAAGTCCAAAATGTAACAGAAAATTTCGACTTTTAAATATAAAGAAAGAATTCAACGCTTTCAATATACTAATTTCAGTTGATATGTTTTAAATTCGTCAATTTTCAAATTAGGCATTGATAATATCTGGGTTACTTGCATGGTTAAGCATTATTGAAGAAAATATATAGAACCCTATACTAATAAAACTACTTATTTGCAGGTTTTTCACGTATGTGCTTTAACAGACGAAGGTCTTTTAATGAAAAGCTTTTTATGTCCGGAATCCACGTTATTTGATATGGCCATACTCAAATGTCAGTGGTGGTTTTATGTCGATTGCAAGAATTCCAAAAAATTATACGACTCCAACATCCCCATATCGAAAAGCTACCAACTGATAAAGGCTCTGACATTTTTTTCAGCGTACAAGAAAGAGGCTTCATCAACGACAAACAAACCTGCTCAAGACTGAACCAGTCCAAGAAATATTTTCAAGTTTTTGATCATTCGGTGCTTCCGAGAGTTTGTCTTCTAGTCATAGTATTATTGCATTGCGAATAGATATTCTATATATTTATTTTTTGATAAAACGTATTTATTTTTTCTTTTTCTTATGGTTTTGCATGCGTTAGTTTAGGAAACCCATCAGTCACTAGTACGATAATACGATAGATGAAATTTTAATTTAGTTTTTTAAGGTGCCATTTTTTTCTAATGGAATGAATAACAGTAATAAATTGTTAAAGCTATTTATTTACGAAATGTTCCACTTTACAGTTGTGAAAGTATCCAAAAATAACGTACCATGGACAGAGACGGATCTAGACATTTTTTGGGCTGATTTGTAACAGATACAATAAAAAATATTTTTTGAACTTTAGAGAAAAGTTATCTCTCCCGTCCGTGACAATGAATATAAATAAACAATTTCGACGTTATTAAATATTACGTAGAATTAATTCAAACCGTGATTAAGATTAAGTTTTTTTATACTTACAATTAGTTATTTAAGTAAGGGTGAAATCGTATTGTTATTGTTACTTGCCGAACCGTTAAAAGCCTGAAAATATTTTATGTTATTCAACCAAGTCCTTTATTGTTAATTATTGTAATAAATAGAGAATATGGGACTGTAGTTAAAATGTAAATTTTTTATTAGATTATTAAATTCCCAAATTCTATGCGAAATAAAAAACTTATTTCTGTATATATATTTTATACTACAATTTTTATCCATTTATATCACTAATAGAAAGAGTTTCATGGAAGATATTCATCATGGTTCCTAGCAACGATGAATCTACTACTTTTTTTCTTTACATGCCCGATATTGCACTAATTTATACAAGAAAAAATATACATGTTCAATCTATGTAACTTTGTTTCTAGTGTCCGTAGTGCTGTATAAAGTACCAACATTTGAACACGTACTACAATCTATTGCTGGCTTCAAACCTATCGTCATATTTACTGGACCTCTTAAAGGCGAATCGGCCTCATCTGAAAAATAAATATACTTGTTAATAGTTTGAGCAAAAATATCATTATACCATATGATCGAAGAAAAAACTGCGTCAAAGGCGGCTGGGCAATGACAATCGATGATAATTTTGGCGAGGTCAAGCCCTGGACGTCATTTACTTGGACCGTACTCTTGTTTATTTTTAAGGGCACTTACTGACAGTCGTCCTTAAGGTGTAATTATTTTTACATTGAGTAAACATTATTTTTCAATGATGTAGTTTAGAACGCGAGAAAAAATAATAATTATAGATTTTTTAATTTATGGCAATTTTTAGTAAATGGCGTCTAGAGAATGACCTTGCTAAAATTATTATCGATTGTCATTCCCCCGTCTTTGACGTCGTTTTTTTTTCAATCATACGGTACAATATTACAATACCAACTCGTCATATTGAATTATTACTAGGTGGATTTTCCAAAATAAGCCTGTTTTTTGAATAGGAATAAATAGGATTATTGATGTTAACTAAGAATTAAATTGTAATTTAACGATTACATGTAACATACATATGTGCGATTATTTAATTGTATTGGACTTAGTTACACCATCCCACATTCAAAGGAAACTGATCAGCATTAAGCCGCTTAGTTGGAATTTGGTGTGAGTGATTAAAATCATTGCCATAGAGAACCTATTTTTACGAAACTGTATTCAAGTTATTATAACATTTATACATCGGAAAGTTACTGAGCACGTGAATACAGATATACCAAACATTTCATTCACAAGACTTTGATAAATCTAAAGCACTCTAAAATATATAAAATTTGTTTTTATAACTAAAATTCGGAGAGTTCTACAATAAATTAATAATATGATAATGTTGTCATTCGTGTGGAAAATATAGAAGAGGCTGTGATGGCATACATTTTTTAACGGGTGATAATTTAAAAACAGTTATATATGTAGAAACTTAAACAATACACAATTATAGAACCTTACCATTATTTATTTATAGCGACAATAAAAATGCTAGTTATAAAATTGACCACTAAAAATAAGATTTATCTTTCTTTCTGGTATACCATCATACCTAGACCTTTGGGTATGATGGCATACTGTATGTTGCTATACCATTTTAGTTCTTTAGCTCCTAAAGAAATTATGCTAGTATTAAAATGTAATATTTTTATTCAAATATAAAAAATTAGTAGGTGTGTATTAAGTAGAAGTTCGTAAAGAACAGCAACATCTGGAGCTGACTTTCAGATTCCTTGAGTCCTTTTGATTTTTTTTGAAAATATTTTCTTTTTCGACTTGAAATGTTGGAGATTCAATAATTTTTTGGAAAACTGGCTTAAATAAATATTTCTGGCTAACTGGCTTAGCTTCAATATCTTCTGAATTACCGGTAAATAACTCCAAAAAGAAAAACCTTACTACTTCGTAATATTTCTTTGCGCTCTTCTTCTAAGCATATTTTTTACATGAAATGTTTTTGCAGCTTTGCCTCAACCTAATGGTTTTACTCTACTACTTCGATAGAAAACTGACTATCTAATAGGGACTAAAGTCTGGACTTCAACTGCTATATCAAAAACAGGGTATTTACACAAAAATATTTTTTTCAATCACTAATAAAAGAGTTTTAGAATTTATCTTCAAAAAACAATCGCAATTATGCGGATTCACTAAACGAGGCATAAAAACAAACTAAATGAATTATTAATTGTCTATTAAAATGTTTCTAACGTAAAGCCGGCCTCAGTCGACACGTGTACTTGACAAGAGTATATAACAAATATACCAAATTTTTGTAAATAGCTATGGCAAGCTTGGCTCTCACACGACGCGACGAGTAACAAATAATTACACAAGTAAACTATTTCCACAACATGGCAAGTATATGCCAATAACAAATGTTTGCCAAGTACGCGAGTCGTTTGAGCCCGGCTTTACAGGTATAAGGAAAATGCAAGTGTGCCATTATAGCCCGTATACCATCACAGCCCGATCTCCCCTAACATATTAATGAAACTCTTAAAAGTTACCTGTGGAACCAATAAGAAATCTTCGATGTAAATCAGGTCGATACAAGAGATTAGATCTGTCGGAGCTATCGAACGGCAACCTTGACAGATTCCAAATCTTGTGCGACAGGGCTGGTAAATTTTCAGGCGGATTCGCTAAAGAAACTTGCGAGTTCACTATCGATTCTGAAATCTATAATTAACAAACAGTTATTTGTCACGTATTATCAGTAATAAACAAAAAAACAGCTTTGAAGTAGGTGGGCATTATTAAAATTATTTTCACAATAAGGGATTTAGAGATGGGATTTTTTTCGATATATCGATATATAAAACAAAAACTCTATATAAAACAGCTATACAAAAAAATACAAAATGCCATTTTCTGTTTTAAATACTTTTGAAAAAATATTTTCTATGTTGTATTTTAAATAATAAAAGTAATTTTTTAATATATGATCAAAAGTAAAGACTACTGTTATGATATCGTTTTACAGTGTCAGAAGAATGTTAAAATATTTAGTTTTAATCATCCGCTGATAGTCCTAACATGGTTAGCGAAACGCGCGTCCAGTGCAAAAGTAAAAGTGTTTTGGTGTATTGTGGTGATTTAGTGTTTTATTTTGCTCTTATAAGACGGGAAAAATCAGAAGACCTCCAAAAGACTTTCATTAATTGAAACAAATAATATTTATTAAACCAGCTAAAGAATTAAAAAAAAAAAATTTAATGTGTATGTACATTAAAAAGAAAGAAAGCATTTTCATTGTGTATTATCGCTTATTTAAAATAGCTGTTTTCTATTTTGCATTTTAAATATAAATTTGAAAATAATTTTCTATTTTATATATATTCCGATTTTTTTTAAATATAGTGATCGATAGATGGATAATTTATCAATATATCGATACCGAAAACATATCTATAGGTAAGATGCAATATGGCCCATTCCTATTCACAACCCGATGTAAATCAGCAATTTTCCAACGATAATCAAAACTTGTTACGTGCTTCTGTTTTATAATGATACAGTATTTTGTTTTCGAATATTATTTTCACCTGTTATCAGACACGTAAATCTGACTTTTTCAGTACAGTGTTTCTTTATCAGTTATTATTAAATATGTACGAGCAAACAATTAATGGAAGCATTAATATTTAGCGAAGGCGTAGATTTCATTTAATTTTAAGCATGGATGGCGTCTAGTTTAATTTTGGTGGGACGTCTAAAGAGCACGGGTTGACATTTTAACGGGTGTGATTTCGTGCGCCCCCGCAATATTACCGTCCCCAAGGGGTACGTTTTCGAACAATAAAAAAAATGTATAATCTTACGTTACGTTTCGATATATAAGGATTTGTGTGGAATAATGGCTTATATACACAAACAGCAGGCTTTATATCGCTAACAAAGTATACGGTGATAAATGTTTAGTATCTCCTATAGTTATACTCCAATTTAACTTATAGGTCACTATTTTCATTTCTTTATTGCCAGGAATAAATAACTGAAATAAAATGGTATTGCACAAAAATGTTAAATAACCTGGTTGTCAATGTTTATTTTACTATTTTATTTATTTATAACACTATTTAATTCTACGAATTATACAATGTTATAAAAATGATTGTAGAGTTATCTATCAGTTTAAAGCATTGATATCTGTTATTAAATCTATATTAAAAACCCTGTTTCTGACATACATTTTTGATATTTCTAAGAAATTAAAATTATCAGTCAAAAAGTTCAAAAACTCTATAATAACTGATGACAATTGAGGGAGGTAAAAATTATGAGTTTAAAAAAATAGACAGATTTGGACAATGTTTGTAGAGATATCTGAAAGATCTAATGTAATCTTCATTTGAACGAACTGACAGTTGTAGGAATTAAGAGTTACCACCCCAAGTGGCAACCCACTTAAAGAGGAACTCAAGAATCTGGAAGACTCCATCCGTAACTTGGAATGGGACTTGGTCTAAGATACTCGAAGAAATTTCTCAGAACTTACGACCGAGAAAAATCAAAGATTTTCTTGATTTAAGTAAGAACAATCTTCAGATTATCATGAAGTCTTTAACAGGGCACTGTCTTCTCAACGAGCACCTCAGTAGATTGAAACTAAGAAACAACGGCAAATGCAGATTCTGTGGGGAAAATGGGGAATCACAAGAACATTCGAAGTGTTGTACGACAGATATCCAAGATGGAGAACACCCTGTGAAACCGTCTCAGATAATGGCTTTTGCCAAAGCCCTAAGACCGTATAATGTGTTATAACTCAGTATAATAACTCAAGAAAGGGGGACACACAATGGACCTGTAAGGTCGCGGTGATTAACCCCCCCCCCCCTCCCATACATTGAACATTCTACAATAGTGACCAGTTTACAACAGTCTTTTAATATACCTTTGTAAAGAGCTTGTAAAATTTTCTATAATTCAGGAAATAAAAAGTTATCACCATGGAAAATATAACAGAGTGCAATTTTTAAGACCTGAAAAGCATACTTTTAATAATAGGCAGTTTTATATGCATTAACCGAATAAAATGTCAGCCAAACAATAACTAACTCGACTACTATAAATTTTCTTCTAACAATTAAGTCGTTTTATATTCAAATGCAGTTCCAACCAGGGGGTGAACAAAAATTAAAGAAAGTGAACATTGCAAAAGTTTTTTTTTATGTGGAAAGAGTATAGTTACCTTAATTAAAACTTCGGTTTAACTTTAAAGACCTTTTTATTTTGAAAGTGAGTCTATTTACATAAATTTCTAATTCTAACCGTATTTCCCGATAAGTTTGAATGGTATTAATGACAAAAATCAGTTCATAATATGTTTAGGCAGCCTAGCAACCGGTGATTTTTCCCAAGGGGATGCAAAGCCATCAGGGGTTAAACATAACACACCAGACAAACAAATTTTGCAAGTCTAATTTGAGCTTGACCGTTCAAAAAATTAATTTATTGACGTAGGGTACATAATCCTTTTTCATAAATTTATTTTTAATTTCTTTTTGGAACTTATAAATAATTAGAAGTATTGAATTGAAATATAAATATAGCATGCTTAGTATTAATATTGAATGTGTCTATATAAAATTCTATATATTTATTTTCATGAATATTCAAATATGAGTCTAAAACAAATTAACATAAAGTCTGGGTTTATTTACGTTCTATTGAACTCTGGGTAGTTTTAAAATTTTATAAAAATATTAAAACATTACTACTAGTTAGTGGTAAAATATAACACTAAAGCACCACAATACAGCAAAACACTTTAATTTTACATTGGACACGCGTTTAGCTAACCATGTTAGCATAACCTGCTGATGATGTTAGTTTTAACCATCTGCTGATAATGCTAACATGTCCGAAACGCGCGACCAGTGCAGAAGTAAAGCATTTTAGTGTATTGTGGTGATTTTGTGTTTTATTTTGCGGTTGTAACACCAATGGTTCCAACCCCCAACTGTAACACTAGCCGGTGTTCAAATTACAATGATATAAAAACTTTGAGGAGAAGAAATTTTTCGTAATAACTATCATCATATAAATGTCTCACAATCATTCTTTACTGACAATTGATGATTATAGGTCTGTTCTCAGAAGAATCCCTGACTAGTCAGCACTGTTCTCATTGGTTAAAATGCGTAGAAACCTGATTGTTAGTCTGGTTTCTACACATTTCAACCAATAAGAAACGCGCTGACCAGTCAGAGATTCTTCTGAGAACAGGGCCTATAACTGTAGAATAATAACATACCTTCATTTAAAAAAAATAGAGATATGTAATTACTTTACAGTTATCTTATATATTACCATAACAACAAAATCAATCACTAAATTATACCAAAACGCTTTACTTATTACACTAGATTAAGCAGATTAACTTCAGTATTTAATTAAAAAAATTCCCAAAAACCTTGCATTTGCTACAAGTCATAAATCGAGGGTGGAGGGTCAGGTTCAGGGGATGGTCTGGTCCTCACAATAGAAATTGACCTCAAATCCAACGACGTAATAAAGAAAGAGGGATATATCCTCTATTATAGATTCTGGACAACACCGGTATCAGGTCTAAGGAGAGACCAAATTAAAAAGGTGGAGAAAATGGAGACAGATCCTCCAGCCTCCACCTAACAGGTACCTTAGCCTCCTCGACTGTGAAGGAGTGAAGGACAGGGAAGGCCAAACCCCAACCGTAGACGGGTGTATACCCCGCAGGAGAAACATCTGCTGTCAGAGGAGGATGGGAAATACCCTGTCCCCCCAGCAACACATAGACTATATGATGAGTTGTAACTCAAGGAAGGGGGACACAATAGATCTTTAAGATCGCAGTGATTACCCCCCCCCCTTCCGCTCATTCTACATTCATTCTATGCATCTGAGACCTGGACCCTGAAAACTGTCAACAGAAAAATAGATAATTTCAAAATGTAGGCTTACAGAAGAATGCTGCGAATTTCAGTTGAAAGTCACCACTCGGCTTTCAACCAAAATAAACCAGTTGTACCTTTAGTACGTTAGATATTTTAAGATCTATAATAGACGGAGAGCTGGCTACATAAAAAACCTTATCATCGTTACATGGCTAATTTTTCTTGTGGAGTATCCTTTTGTGTAGCTATTGTGAAATAGTCATGTCTGCCAGCGCGATCCCGGGGCTTAAAGCGGGGGCGGCCAATCGAAAGGGTGAAATTTTGATACTAAAAATATTATAAGATACACGAGTTATAATTACCAAATAGCTTTTATTTATTATTAAGAAACGTGTAAAATTGTTGACAAACATTTTTTTCGTGGCTAAAATTCCGGCAGACAACGCGAAAGAGGCATGGAATTTTGACAAAAAAAAATCATCGCATGCATGCATGTCGATTTGTGGAATGTCATGTTTATTGTTTATTTATTTAAAAAGCCAAATGCAAAAGGGTAGACAAAAAAATCGTGGCTCAATCAGCGGTAGAGTTATCAAAAGCGCGATATTACTCTACAGGGTGAATCTTGAATAAGAGCAAATATTTTCAGAGCTGGTAGATCTCAATAAAAGAAACATATTTTCTTTTCACCGTTTTCCAAATAAGTCCAAAATAAACGAGTTATTCAAGTTTGAAAATTTAAAAAGAAATTGATTTATTTTTAGCCACCTGTTTTTTTTTCTGCATTTGCATCCATTCTTT